TTTGGCATTATTAAAAATAGTTTTTGATTGCATGTAAATAATTAATTACAATTAAATAATCGAAGACTGGAAAAGGAGTCATAGTCAATAAAGTTCAGTTTACATTTGAAAAATTAAATAAATAAATATTTATTATTATTCTCTTACATTAAGTGTAACATAAATTCTATTATTATTCGAATGTTGTTTTTAAATTATGTCCAATGCCGTAGCATCTTCCGTGGGCAACTTCATTCTGTTAATTTTGTGTCACGGTGCGCGCGCATCGTAAAATTAACTCTCATCAATTTTTCATAACGCGCCTAAAGTAGTATAACTTCAAAAAATCTTGAGTAAAGTACTTTCCAAAAAGTACCCTAAATAAATGTAATGGAGAATCCTGCGTTTATTTATATAAATGTACCCTAAAACCCCCTGGACTTTTTGATTCCCACTAAATTTGGGGGAAATCCTCAAGTGTGCATTGCCACAAGAGTGTACAGGATTATTCAGGGCGGGCACGTTTCCTTTCCAATAGCGTCTCTAATGTTTGCCAGCGTCGATGCCTTAATAACAATTGATCAAATGATTATGTATGACATCATTGTGCTCTATAGAATGCAATCGATTGCTTCATACTTGGTTTCAATTCTTAATAACATGGCATTATACTTTTTATTTGCATTTGTGCTTAATACTAAAATTTTGCGAAACAGTAAACATTATAACATCGTGGGGATTACAATTAAAAGAAGACCTTATTGAGTTATCAGTGTTGGCCTATTACCTTCAGCAAGCGACTCTCATCTGCTTTGCACCATGTGGATTTTCTGCGTGTTCTTTTAAATATTTTTTTAAGTTTTAAAAGTGCGCAGTTAATACTCGCTTGTATGGTGAAGAAAACTGGCTTGCTTTAGACCCAAAAAGTCGACGGCGTGTGTTACGCACAGAAGACTAGACTAGACTCCCCTATAAAGAAAAAACAAATGAACAAGTACAGAAAGATGAGGCCCAGACCTAAAGGGTAGTGTAGGGCGCCATAGCTTTTTTCATTATTAATTATGGTATTTTAAGTCAAGAATTACATAAACTTCGCTAGTATTTTACTTGATGTAAGTAATATTGAATATATGGCCTAAAAAACAAAGATTAATAAAACAAATGATACGTGACAACTGACAACCGCAGAGCCGTGTACGACTGGTTGTCAAATCTAATAAATAATCACGTAAGAGCGGTCGAATGAGCAAATCATTTAAATTGATTGATTTTGCATTACATATTAATTACTATAGTGAATGCAAAGAAAGTTAATGGACTGGTTTGATCTCGGAAGGTTAAGTAAAAAAGGAGTAGACTTGTGAAAGCTACCGACCGACTTGTCTATGATCTCTATAGCGTAAGAGTCAAAGCTTTATCAATCCTTGATTGTGCCTGTCAGTTGTATCCATACCGCAGCGTTAACCATATCTTTGGAAGCGTTCAAGTATTACGTAACGAATTTTGGGAAGGGGGGGGTCCTTTTGTAAAACGTACGATGCGGGGCAGGGATTGAATTACGCGTTATTGTTAATATTATTTTCTACTTACACCACATAAACGTAACTAAAGAGTCACTAGGTGGTCACGAAACGTTTAACTAGACTTGGGAACAGTACTGTATTTGGGTACTGAAAACGTTACGGCGAGTTACATGGGGGGGGGACAATAATCCAAAAATTGCCTTACGTAATACTTGAACTCTCCCTTTGTTAATTAAGTAAAATGTGTAGATCAAACACAATAAACGTATAGAAAATCACACTATTGAAGTGGAAATTCCAATATTAATATCATTTTAATATCTCAAGGTCACATCAAATAAACGTGTTCTATGTTTTATATTTTCGATATTAACGAGCTCTTCTATGTTTTATAGTTTCTAACAAAGTTTTAAATATTAGATCAGGTTTTAAATAATATGGAATCGAATTAGCTTAGCGAGCAGTAATATGTCATCAAGAAAAGAGCGTACCGGCCGGCCTTTTAAGTAATGCTTAAAGGAGGCACTTGCGAGCCTCCTGGCAATGTAAGTGTCCATGGGCGGCGGTATCACTTGTTAAATAAAAAAAGTGTTGTAATTTTCTTGCAGAAGTTCATTCGCCCAGACATGAGCAATATAACTTTCAATAGCAACAGCGACCCCAGTGTTTTCATATGCAATAATATTGTTCTCGCAACCTTTGGATCGCACGTTACTCAAGAATGAAGTCATAATCGCAATCCATAGTACCGATGCTAATCCAGGACCTATAGAGTGTAGACTGACCTGTGGTTCGGGGCTGGGTTCTCGAGCAGTAGTGTCTCGGTACCCATCTGATTAGCAGAAGGCTTTGAATGTAGAGCCCAGCCCCGCAGCCCCCGCGTCATGCTTGACATTCATTGCGCAGGCCTGCGTAAGCGCATTTTTACTTCATAAAAAAAGGACCTGTAGGTCGTTCTTGTACGAGACACATACTCTCTACAGAGAGTATGTACTTGTCTGGTACATGCTGCACTTCCATACCTTCCGCAAATGACAAGAGTCAATGGAGACTAACCCCCCCGTAGTTGTTCTAATCAATAATTATCAGAACTTAATTTGTAAAAGTAAATATTGTTTTTATTTATGTAATTGGAAGTGTATTAAAAATAGTGAAAGGTATCTTTAAAGGGGAGAAAGTTGTGCCCATATTGGACAATGTTAGCGTGACCTAATTGATGTTTTATTTATTGTCTATTTGCACTTTTTTTGTTTTAACTTAAAATATGTGCTAGTAATACGATTGCTTCGTAAAGTTTAGTTCCTTTTTGAAGTTATACTTCTTTTGGTGCGTTAGGGAAAAATTATGAGAGTAATTTCAATGACGCGCGCGCACACCGTCACAAAAAACCGACACCTTGAAGTTAGCTAAAGTCAACCTTTTAGTTTTTTGTGATATTTAAATAAACATTATTTAACTAGATAATGCGTTATAATAAAACTTTCAATGTATTAAATACCTTTTTTCTATTGTTAGTGTAGTTTTTCTACAAACGTAAAATGAAATTTTTGAAAAGATTTTTATCTCGTTACGCCAAAGAAGTATAAGTGCGTGTACATAAGTACACACACGTTTTTTTTATGTTCCATTCTTAGGTAGGCCATGATCAGTTTTATTCACAAAACGCAGTGTAATTGTTATCGGTAAAATCAGTTGTTGTTTAAGTGATACCACCGCTGATGGAGTCACTGCTGAAATTTCAAGTGCGTTACCATCCTTTTAAGAACTAGTACGATCTTTTCTTGTATGTATATCTTGTATCCGTTAGTCGAATTGGTTCGGAAATACTTCAGTGGGTAGCAACCAATTTTATTTATTTACTAGCTGGTGCCCGCGACTTCGTCTGCGCAGGATTATTATTTCGAGTAGCTTATATAAGCGAGGCGTAGAAAAAGCTACTAAAAATATTGACTATTTAAGATAAACATTTCCGTCATACATTACATACGGTATAACTCTAGCGGTTTCGGCAACGAACGCCAGAATAGCTCGCAGATGGTAGATGTTTTTCTACTTACTTCATATTTTGGACAATTCACACAATATCTTTATTGTAGCCTGTGTGTTATTCTGAGGTATTTCATACAATATACTTAAATTCTTGAGTAGTTTTTATGTGACAAAAACAAACATCCATTCAAATATACACGTTTGCGTTTATATTTATTTTAGTAAAATGTTCATTAAATGAAATTATATCCTGAATAGTCATTTTATTATTAGTATCTACAATTATTCACTAAACATAATAATCAAATATACAGTATTTATAATTTTCTTAACTTACATAGTAATAATAAAAATAAGTGAAAATTAATAAAAAGAAAATTAAAACAAATTTAAAAAGTTGGGTCTCTGGCAGTGTACCTTTAACGCTGGCAGCATTTCCTCGCTGTATTACGATACTTATTCATTGAGCGAGAAAAGCACCAGCTCTGGAGTCACCGATACTATCCCAGGCGCCAACTCAAATCTTCAATTAGCGCCTGTGCACTTGAACCCCACGGCCCTAAGTCTGCTCCAAACTTAAATATTCTCAATAGTTATAGTAACGAAATGATTTTATGTTTGTTGTTCCCTAGCTCTTGGTCTATGTGCAGCATGGTACGACATTCAAGGAAAGTAAATGACGTGTGAAGTTGCGTGATTTCTATCATTTAACGGCAACTTTTAGAAACTTTGTGATAAACACACTAAATTAATAATTGTATGCAAATACTTTATCAAAACATCAAGCTTTCTATTTGAATTCGTTATTATTATATTCTCGACTTGGATGAGCTGGCATCTAAATTAGCGAAATAAAATAGGGAATAATAATTTTCAAAATCTCATGAATGCCTAGAGTAGGTACGTATAGAAAAAACAATAATGTCTTTTAATAAACTTGATGAAAACGTCCACCAAACGAAAAAAGGAATTAAAGAAACATGTCATGCTTATTATTTGTCGTTTTATGGTTAAATTTCAGTTTTTTTTTTTCTTTTTGTCTATTAATGTACTTATGTTTTCTCATTTCTGTATAATATATGTTGTTTATCAAATCTAATCTGTTTTATGTTAGTAAGATTGATATGTGTTAGTAAGATTATTAATAATTAAATAAATTATTTGGTCTTAGTTGAGTTTAAAGATGACATGAAAAACTCAATATAAATGCGTGTTGTCGAGTATTTAATATTTGCGAAGGTGAGTTTACTTTGCAAATAACCTTAAGCGCTAAAAATGTCAACCCAAAGTGTTAATAAGTCCGACAATAATTGCAACATACAATATTTCTTCTTTATATCTACACAAATTTGAAATATGTTTTCTTGAATTTACAAAATTCATAAGCACTTAAAAATAAATACGAAACATTGTTAAAAAAAGCTCTTTCGAGTTATTTGAAGTCGATTAAAACTTTTATAAATTTTATTACACAAGAAATTTATAACAATTTTGTTTTATACTTGTAATATGTCCAAAACTCAAGGAATTTTCTTGTTTACAGGCAAGCACCTAATCTTCGCAAAAGACCCAGAGTCCGTCAAAGATGAGTTCGCCTTCGATAACCCTGGATTCCGCCAGGAGGAGAGGAACTGGCACAGTGAAGCACCTACTCTTCCCATGGGAGGGAAGACTCATGCTCTACATGCCGAGTTTACGAAGCCAGAACAGAGTAAAGACGATTTATATATACAGGTAATTAAATTTATTATTTATTTCTCCACAGATTACATACATTTGTAAATTTATATTATGCATACAAAACAATTAGGAATCTTTGGATTAATTTAATTAGAAATTAATATCTACCGAACAAAACAATTAAGGAACCATCATAAAGAAATATAATTGTGACTTTGGGAGAGTGAATGAAGTTTGGCAATGAAATTGGCAACACCGAAGGCAAAAGATCGTATGGACGTTCGCCAACGACATGGACTGATCAAGTCAAATAATCGTCGTCCTTAAACTATGTAACACAGTTGCAAAACAAGCGCGGGAACAAAGTTGATAGAGGAAAATTATTTGTGCCAGATCTTACTATACCTGACCACCATACTCAGACATGAGTTACCGACCCAGAGATATACCTTATAAAACAAAAACCTCTGCCGCGCGTTCATCAAGAACAACGGCACGGTTTTAATGCAGTTTTCATCAATATATTCATGAATACTAGTAAACCGTGAGGAGCCGAATTGGTAATCTAATATATAAAATTCTTGTGTCACAATGTTCGTTCCGATAACCCTTCGAAACGGCTCGACCGATTCTTATGAAATTTTATATTCATATTCTGTATGTCTAGCATCAGTTACTATCTTTCAACCCCCTCCCAACCAGTGATAAGGAGTGTCTACCCCAATTTTTTTATTAATTTTTTTTGTTTTTAATTTTTATGAAAAATACATACAACCCTTAATTTTCGCCCCTCTACGATCAACCCCTATTTTTTATTATTCTAGATAGTTATTTTATTGAACTAAAAAATTTTTTTTCCTAGAAATATGGAATGTTATATGTATATGGTAAAACAAACGTTTGCCGGGTCAGCTAGCACTATATTCTATACAAGAATCGTCAGATTATTTCTTGTTTTTCACCAGAAAAACTCCATACGTTTTCGTTCATGGAAATCCTAAATATAAATAAATAATTATTTATATTTGTGATATATGATATTTTCAGTCCTAATGTAACTTATTAATATTAACTAGTGTTATTTGTATTCAAATATCACTAGTTAGTATTTAATCTCTTGAGCTGGCAACGCTTAGATTACATAAAACATATAAATCGTTTATATAACATCCGTCGTTACACAAACTTTACCATCAAAATTCCATACCTTATATGTTGTTTGGGAAAAAGCCATGTTAGCTTTAATTAGCTACAAGATTTATTAATATGTCATAAAGAAAGTCAAACACTTCTTAGGCAAGTGAATCGGGCCTTTATTTTTCCAAAAATCGATCTCTTATACACACAAAAAGCGATCAATAATTAAATTCTTATAACAAAGAAAAATTAGAACAAAAATATCTGTAAGATGTTTAACGTTTGTCTATGACCACATCATTATCTATACTTTATGACATTAACTCACCACAGATTTTGTTTTTATCGTCATTATACTTCAAAGTAGATTAAAGTTAATAGCTTTAATGCCTAACCTGTTTTGTTACTTGCGTATTCCGATACACATTCCGATGTAATGCGGTATAAATCCGTGCGCACGCGTGGTAATTGTCGGGAGCCCAAGGGATTTTGGGATTAACTCGAACGCGGCAGATGAGGAATGATACCTTATAGATGCCTTCATAAGTCAAATTATCGTTGGTAGAAATTTGAGTTCCAAATTAATGTTGGTTAAATATGGGATTTTGGAATGTTAGCCAGGTAAAGTAACACGGAAATGTATTAATATAATGATACAATTCCTTTATCGTATTAAGAAGCTGTACTTTTATAATAAGATAAAAGTTTTTAATCTAAAAATCATAGTTTCGGAGTAAAAATATAGTAATTTATTAGGCCCTTTTATTCTACAATATTAAAATAAAACGTAAGTCAAAGTCAAAAATCAATTATTCATGTGGGTAACACAATGTACACTTATGAACGTCAAAAAAAGAAATAGGGAAGGTACTTCTTCACATTTATTTTTTATTATTTTATTTTTCCATAATCAATATTGCAAGTTAAATTTATAGTCTAATATTAGATTATATAAGAAAATACAAATGATTTCATCTGATGGTTCAACCATAATTATATTTAAATAAATTGAAAATAGAATCTACCCCATCAAGGGCACCTTCTACAGTTTGAGGTACCTTCTACGCTGTGGGTAGTTCCTATCATTAAAAAAATATAAATCAAAATTATTTATTACAATGAAATTAAACAAAAAATAAAGATTTAATTCTATAATAAATATTAATTATAGGAACAAAAATTACATAGCTTTTCTTAAGAAAACCAAAATTTAATTAGTTAGGTATCTTAAATTTAAATCACATTCAATCTTTGTCGGATTAGCACTTTTATTTTCGGGTTGGCAGTATAAATTTGGTTTTCCTGGCCGTCGTCATTTTGTTTGTTTTATTACTTCTTACAACATGCGTATAGAGTCGAAACCTTAAGGTGTCAAATGACTTCGAAGGAATACTATTTGAGGATTGGTAAATTATTCAAAATTGTTCACTCATCAAAATAAATAAAATATAAAAATAGGTATAAAAATATCAATAGAATAAAAACAGGACAAAGTTAATGAAATATTAAGATTAGCACACTAACAAATCTTTCCTACCTACCAGAGGGTTAGTCAAGATGCCTATTATTATTTGTATGTAGCAAGTCGAAAACTTAATTTGTATGAAAATTACAGTTCGTGTCGACAAAATATTTTCATACAAATTTAGTTGTACAATTCGTTCAAATTCCCCATCTAGTGCTGTCCGAAAGTACCCACTAAATAAATTTTATTTTAATATTAATAGGAAAAGTCATAAATTAAGTATTGAAGTATCTAAGTATATTTTGCTAGTTATGATAGAATACTCTACACGAAAACTTATTTTATCTAGTAACAAGAGACAAAAACATTGATCAAAAATTACTTACCGACGCGAAAAACGTCCATCCTGTAATTCATTCTCATCGGTCAATTTCGCGAAATTCATTATGTATAGTTCTACCTCACTCATCAACATACAAAAACAAGACTGTACTTTGTTTCGTTCAAGTTTTATTTCGACTGTATGAATTCCCCCTACGAAGGGTAACAATCTTCCCCTACATTAAATGCTTCTAATTTTACATTTACTGCCAGTTCTCAAATCAAGAGAAGAACTGAAGAGAAGAACTGGCAATAAAGAAGAAGAAGCGTTACGCGTTAGAAGTTATACTTCTTTGGCGTAACAAGATAAAAATCTTTTCAAAAAATTTTTCTACGTTTGTAGAAAAAACGACACTAACAATAGAAAAAACTAAAATGTTGACTATAGCTAACTTCAGGGTATCGGTTTTTTGTGACGCGTGCATTGTAAAAATTTACTCTCATCATTTTTCCCTAACGCGCCAAAAGAAGTATAACTTCAATAAAGCAGTACCTCTTTAGGTCTGGGCGTCAGATTTCTGTATCTGTTTCATGATCATTTGTCAATCTTATAGGAAAGTATTTAAATTTCATAACTACATTATTACATTGCCATGAAATTAACACTATAATGGAAATCAGATTAAAAAACTTTCAAGCATGGCAACTGGCAAGGTACCAACTTACTGTATTTTTATTAATAGATCGTATTTTCTGTAAGTTAATTCCTAAATCTAGAATATACAAATTTAAAGTAATATTGTGGAATCAGAGCAGTGTTGGCCTAGTGGCTTCAGCATGCGACTCTCATCTCTGAGGTCGTAGGTTCGATCCCCGGCACCAATGGACATTCTTTCTATATACGCATTTAACATTCGCTCGAACGGTGAAGAAAACCATAGTATTGCCTTTTTTTTCGTTTTGCCATCGGCTTGCCAAGACTCAAAATGTCGATGGCGTGTGTCAGGCACAGAATACTGATCACCTTGCTTATTAGATTTACAAATTATCATGAAACAGATACAGAAATCGGAGGCCCAGACTGTAGCGTCAGTGTTATATTTTATTCAACAAAGATGCTATGTGGCTTAGAAGATGAGCTTATCTATAATCTTTGCGCTTAAAATTGAGATATGGATGGCCTTGTACCTATTTGGATATCTTAACTCAAAATGCTAGTGTAATTATGTAGCATTTGGAAGATGATTTTTTTTTATAACAACTCCACACACCTTTTCCCTCTTTTCTGCTTAGCTGTGAAGCTGTAATGGGACTAGGCAACGGATAACAAAAATTATAGATATGGATAGACATATAAATACATATTTAAACACCCAAACCTACACAACACAAATGCTCATCACATCGATGTTCGTCTCAGCCGGGGATCGAACCCGGGATCCATGGTTTCGCAGTCAGGGGTACTAACCACTAGACCAATGAGTCGTCAAATATGCCCTGATTATTCGATTACCGCTCTAGAAATTAAGAATTTTTAAGGTTATTACTCATTTATATATACTGAATTTCAAATCCTTTACAAACTTTGTCAACGTTATCCGATAGTAAATAATATAATGAAAAGCTTATTACATACTAACAAAATTATACACAAAGAATAATCAGAACTTGTGGTTTTTTCCGAATAATTAAGTTAATGGCTTCACGTTTGAGGTCAATTTGAAATTAATTGAGAATAATATTAATTTTAATGTTCTATTTATTGCGGTCAAGCAATTAGTATTTGTAAATTAAAAATTAATCTCTAATCGTTTATAGATGCTATGAAATTAAACCGTGATGTACCAAAAGCTGACGTTGAATCATTTCATATTAGTACCAACATTTTCAAAGTTACTAAGGGTCAACCTATATGTACCCTTGTTCCGTGGGGTCCTAGCGCTTTAAGGCTTTTTAAAGAAATATCAAAAAGGTTAGTCGACAACACAGGAGACCGAAGATCTGGCAGCTACCTCGGACAAAGAATTAGTCTAGATATTCAAAGGGGGAACGCTGCCGGTATCTTCGGAACCTTGCCTAAAGGGACTCCTTTTAATAATATATTTTAGTTATTATATGTTAAGGTTAGTTATTTATTTAAATGTATATGTGAATTATAACTTTTATATATTATAGAATTGAAAGCACACGTAACTAGTCATATTGTTGAATTGTTAAGCGCGCCCTTACTCTTAACTCCCAATAGCGATAGGGATACTATCCTATCCTACCCAAGTTTTTTTTCCACCCGTTTCACCTCGTCTATCGTTCCACAACTGAGCGTTTTTAAGGGAGTTTTTGCCGCGCACCACCACCAGCTGCCCACTGAAATTTTCTGAACCAATTCGACTTAGGGTCGACTTAGATCCTTCAAGAAAAGAGCGTACAAATTATTAAAATTCCGGCAACGCACTCACGAGCCCTATGGCATTAAGAGCGTCCATAAGCGGCGGGTATCACCCTGTTCCCTGGGATTGCTCCCTGTTCTTAAAAAAAAACAGCTTGTAGATCTCTTAATATCCCAGTGAGGTTGCTCCGTGAAGCCTGTGAAGTGCCCAGGAGACTTCTGTGCTTTTGGAAGGAGCTAGGCTGGCTAAATTAGCCAGGAGTGTACGCACAACGGACCAATTATGAGTCTAAGTGCGGAAAATGAGTCCACCAACCTATAACCTATCATATCTCTTAATATCCTTAAAGCGGATGTCGCAACCCAGTAATGGAATCATTTGAGGGTTTCTTCCCCAAATTTTGGGGGAATCAAAATGTCTTGAGGATTTTTGCAACTGCAAGTTTTATTCTGCAACTGCTCATAACATTCTGCGGTGTAAATAGAAATTTGAAGAATATCTTCCATCGCAGAAGATCGCTGTCGGTATCGTTATTGGAAAGAAGGATATGAGTTTGATGTTGTAATTGTGAACAAAAGTAAACTCAAACTCGAACTAACTTTATTCATATAGGTCACCAAGTACACTTATGAACGTCAACAGAAAAGATGTTAAAATGATTTTAAATTTACATTTACTACCAGTTCGCAAAAAGTAGTGTTGCTGTAAGATCTAAGGTTTAAGAGAAATATTATAACATTCCTCAAGACTTAGTTCATGCGGATGCGATCAGTGATGTCATCGAATTATAGAGTACAGTTTAAAATCAGTGGCGCTACAGCCTTTTTAGTTCTGGGCCTCAAATTTCTGTATCTGTTTAATGATCATTTGTCAATCTAATGGGCAAGTAGGCGATCAGCCTCCTGTGCCTGACACACGCCGGCGACTTTTTGGGTCTAAGACAAGCCGGTTTCCTCACAAAGTTTTCCTTCACCGTTCGAACGAATGTTAAATGCGCACATAGAAAGGCCAAGTCGGGGATCGAACCTACGATCTCAGGGATGAGAGTCGCACGCAGAAGCCACTAGGCCAACACTGCTGCAGTACTGTATAAGTGTTTAATTTTATCAATTACAGATCCGTAGAATATTTTCTTATTCATATTTGTTTGTTGATATGGAGACGCCTGTAGCGGACTTGTTATTTGATACAATGGTCTTGCGGGCCCGCCTCCATTATTATTTTTTACGCCATTGTCTTGTGCATAATATTATGCTGTATATAATAATGACAACGTGCTATGTGTGATGAAACATCCTATCGCTGGCCTGTCTTGTTTTACGTCCGAACCCAATAACCTATCTCAATCCATAGTCTGTAAGAAGACCAAATGTTGTAAGAAGTGTGCCAATAACCAATCGACGGATTGTAATAGCCATCTGTCGATACAAGCTATCCATGGGAGGTCGTATCGGTGTCCTTGGATAGACCTTTGTATGAAAATGACAGTTGACGAAAGTTCGATTTCAACAGTTAATTATTTTAATAGATTTTAACTTACACCAGTTTTTAAATAGTTAAAGAAAACTGTTTGTTATGTTTTAAACATCTTAATATATATATTTCTTCTGTGCGTGTGTATGTGACTGAACTCCTCTCAAACGACTGGACCGATTTTGATGAAATTTTTTGTGTGTGTTCAAGGGGTCTGGGAATGGTTTAGATTCACAAGCCGGCCGGGGGGGAAATCAGCCCGGCAGATGGCACTGCAGTCGGGGGGTACTTTTATACTTTGCTTAATATCCTAATCGCTTTAAATATCATGCAGGACAACGTCTGTGGGGTCCACTAGTACATATGTATATTTTAATGTTATTTGTACGGTTTTATTTACTTTATTTGGTTTACATTGATTATCAAATATGAGTGAAAACACGGTAAAATGGAACGACAAAGAGCATTTTATCCGTCACCAAAAATGGATTGTCTTCGTAGGGTTTGGTTATTGGGATGAAGATAGGAGATCGATCGACTGTCGCGGTCTGATCTCAGATTGTGGATTGATTATTGGGTTCGGGCGTTAGATGATATACCATTATTTTGATGGTAATAAAAGATTCGATTGATTTGGGGTTAGTATGTAGATTGTAGGTGTCTTTGTTTATTATTTTTGTTTGCATGTAAATAATGCTCAAATATTGTCATTTTCTATTAAAAAATTAAAGCATTGTGCAATTGTGTCATATTCCGTTTGAAACAAATACAATTTGAAGTGCGATTTGCTTGTTTGATTGTCTATTTCCTCGTATTATTACAACAATATAGTTCCATTCAAATGGAAATGTTTGCTTGATAATTCTTCAAATGAGTTCACGATAGCAATAAATCTGTAGCAAAAACTCTTAGCTGTTTTTACAAGTCATTATAGATACTTCCTTATAACTTAAAAGGTCAGTAAATTAAATTTTAAGTTTTGATTATAGCTTCTGGAGTTGACCATTGGTATCATTATAGTTTTAAAAGTTGAAACATTGTGCTTGGTTTTTTAATCAAATTTTGTATTACGTTTGTGTAGTATAAAGTGTCAGTTGAATTATTATAACTTTGTCCTGCTGAAAAACAAAAGCCAAAACTGTTTTTTTTGTTTCTTAAAACAAAGATAAGTTTTTGTGGTATTTGATCCCAAAATGTTTATAGTTTATCTATATTTTAAACTATATCTTGTTGGGTATATTTTGTATCAGACGTTGTTTGCGATGGATCCGCTTCCACAATAGCCTTCAATTCTTCGTTATCAAATTTGGTCTCCGCCCGTCCAAGGCGTTGGAACCAAAACGCACTGTTTTCTTTTGCAACCCCGCCGCCATACACATAATTAATCCTTCGAGCCGTTTCTGCAGCACTGGTGCCACGGAGGAACTCGTACTCGTAAATAACGCGATATTTCATGTTATCCATTTTATAAATAGTGACGCAAAAAAAAAAAAACGGGAAAATGAAATGAATCATGATTTTCGAAAAACAAAAAAACTAGTTATCTGTTTGTGATGTTTGAAAATGAATTTGGAATTCGTATCCAAAGTCATCGACGTCAATTTCATAAGTAAGAGCCAAATATATATATTTTTGAGGGAATTAAGAAACATTTGCAGTTTGTCATGTGTCAACCTAAGACAAAATTTCATTTGGTTTAAACTTTAAAGTATCACATTAAAGAAACTCTATATTATTTAATTTTATTAATTCCTCTACAAAAGCAAAACAACATTACTTAGACTAATTTACGTACAACTTTACATTCCTAACAATTGATATTACTATTTCAAAACCATTTTATTGATGAGGCCTTTATGATGTTTCAGCGCGCTCGTGTTCGTCGGGTGAAACTATGGGCTCGAGACTTCACGGGCCTGGGTTTGACGTGTGGTGGAGGAGCAAAGGCTGGAGTTTGCATACAGTCAGTACTTCGTAGTGGTCCCGCCGCGGCAGCTATGTTACAACCAGGTTAGAAATACATATCTGTAGCTTGCTATTTATGTGTTTATTTTACTGATAAGTTTTGTACAGAATAAGTTATGAAGTTATGTTTATGCTTTTAAGGAAGTAGGCTTGCTGATCCCGGAAATCGAATTTATATGGTTATATCTTAGCGACAATCTTGCATTGAAGTTTAGCTTCTGCATCAATGGACCCTCTACGAGCTATCGCGTACGTTGTCTTAAACCCAAATATGTATACTGAATACGTGAATGAGAGAAGCCTGAATTTAGTTTCAGCGCCAATGGATCTTTAATTATATATTATGAACACTATCCCGTACGCTATGTCCTTAATCAAAATATGTGTATGTGAATACGTGAGTCAGAGAAGACAGATCCTGCTTATAAAATAAAAAAAGTCCAGGCTACTAAAGATTATATATATAAATTATTAAATTACAGGGGACAAAATAAAGAGTATCAAAATCGAATTCACTGGTACACCATTAGAAGACGCGGTGTCCATTTTGTCCTTGGCTTCCCCGTACCCAGTGGAGCTTGAGGTCATTGAGGGTGGTCGGGTCAGCGGCGAGGGCTGGGTGGTTCACCATCCACTGATGAAGAGAGCTGGATCTACTGGCGATGTTAGCACGGTAAGTTGTTTTTATTATTTAGAGCTGTCATAGTATTATTCGATGGGACAAACGTACTCGACACAACAGGCAAAATCAGTTTTAAATTCCCATCTGGGGCGACCAAATACTTTCTCTGATTTATATTTAAGTAAATTTAAATTCACCCGCTTAACGGGAACGCGGTTTTATAATATTATCTGCGAACTAGGTTGAATTAGGATCCTACATGAAACTAACCGAGAGAGAAACCACGTCTTAAAAGCCCGGCAACGCACTCGCAAGCCCTCTGGCAATTAGTGTCCATAGACCTACCGTCTACGGACTTTACAACGGGTGAGTGCCTGTTTGCCCTCTGTTGTCTATAAAAACTCGACGTTCTGACTACTACTCAATCATCAATAGTCAAACTAAAAAGTCCTTTCCTAGTAAATATATCAAAATTATTGTAAATTGTCTAAAGAGGTTTCAATTGAAGTCCTTACCATAAATATGTAACTTACGATAACTTACGACAAAATGGCGCGTTTTGTAACACATAAGTGTTGAAAGATGTAATTAAGTAAATTTATAGGCTAAATGCTGTTTTGTTCAAAACAGCGAAACATAATTGACGTAACATTTAAATAAGCGTTATAAATTAAATTAGCAATGTAACTGGACCGAGACCCCAATTCTATAGTCACTGCATTATATTCCTTAACTCCCAGAAGTGTAAGTGACAACCAAATATGAATAATACAATAGACTAACCGTACAACGTTGTAGCGTTGCATACTGTATGCCCATAGACTACACAAGGATCAAAGAGTGAACAAGAGTAAAAATAAAACTAGGGGAAATTAGAATATTTAACCATAATTCTTTCCCATAACAGCTGTGCTAAGGGAAACTATATACGGAACAAAATGGAGAGATATCACTATCCGGGCAGCAGGCACTATGCAATACAATGAAGAATATGTCTGAGAAGAGATAATTCTCAAGTTTCTAGCAAAAACCGCTTTAATTCATACTTTAATCGAGGAGTTTTGGTGTTTTTAATAAAGCTAGATGGGGTTTAAAGACCTATTTGTTAGCGTATGAAGTAAGATAAATATATCTTCTGTTCACGTAAAAAACGCGGAAAAAGTCTCAGCACCTGCTTGTATTAATTAAAAACATGTACCTAATTGATTAACGGCCGTTCAGTCGTTCTGACGAAATATGTCTGATTCTTCGGAAACCAAGGACTTATTACACTAAAGCCACGAAATATAGCAACCATGAAAGTAATGACGATATAAATTAAATATATCTTAATTAAAGTATTTTAACTTTTGTTACAAACAAAATAAGGATGTGTTTCCGATAACAACGGTGTTGTAGTTAGGATGTTGTCATGTTCGGAATTCAATCACATTGTTGATTATGGAATGTCTATTGTGTTGAAGCTCATTAAAGAAAATGTATGGATCTACCTACGAATGTAATGCGCACTTACATTTCATTTTCATTCATATATGTACAGTTTATATTATATAAAGACTAAGCTTTAAAACTTATGATTCACATTATATATAAATGATGTCATAAGTCACACAACAACTACAAGTAGCAGGTGTAGTTGTATTTTACTATTACATATATACAGTATTTTTTTAATAAATTGCTTTTGTGATTTCAGCTGGAAAAAGAAGGGAAACTCTTACATCCTCCACGCTCACCGGACCCGTCGCACTCAAACAACTCCACATTAGAAACGAAAAGTAAAGGTGGCATTAAGAAAATACTTGCGGATAAGATCATCACGTCCACAACACTCGAAAGGAACAAGAAAGAGAAAAAGGAAGGATCCACAACACTGGAACGAGAAAATGAAAAGAATTTAAAACTGGCAAATAAACAAAGACATTCAGATATCCCGCCAACTTTCAGTAAACCAGAAAGAAACAAAAGCAGACATTCTACAGGAAGTGACGTACAAATAATTCAACCAGAAAACGGAACAGCATATAACATTGAAAACGTAGAAGTCCAAAAGAGAGAAAGTGACCCTAAGAAAGGCATGAAGTTCGGAATTCGTGTCCTTCCACCTAACGTACCTGATGATGGCGTACTTAAGCAGAAAACAGTCGAAAATGGTGGGGTAACACAAGAAAAGATTGCGGTAGATGAACCAGATAAACCTGAGCCACAAAGACCTGCTCCTACCACACACTTTAAGCACGAAAATGAAGTCGAGCATAAAAAACCAGTCGTTGCTAAACGTAGAGAAAAGATGGCGCCTCCAGTGCCAAACGCAAGAGTAAAAGTAAATGAAAGCGACACAAGTATCAGCCAAGAAACGACAAAAATTTCAGACTCCTCACAATCTTTTACCAGAACGGATTTGAATTCAAGTGGAATTAAAAGAGATGAAAACGGCATACCTCAGGAATTACCTCAACATATGTTCGATGCAGCTAAAGCTGCTAGAAACAACAGAAAGAGTTCCGCCGATCTCATTCAAGAGAAGGAAAGGAAGGATGAAGCGCCTAAACCTGCAAAGAAGTCTAAAGGAAAAGCACCCTCACCACCAGCTGTTGAAAAAAATAAAACAGACGACAGTATAATGGAGCAAATGCAAAACGTTAACGACTTTTTAAAATATGAAAAGCAACATTCGAGTTTGCTATTTGATACTTCCGCATCAACCACAACTTCAGGGCTTTCATATAACACTTCAACACCAAAAGTGAATAAGACTAAGCCACGCTTAGAAGAATCTATCAATTTCAGTCAAGATGATATTGACGATATTGTAACAAAACCGTTTAAGCGAGAGAGCGATTCACTGAATAATTTCTTCCAGGATTCGAAATCTAATTTATCAAACCTGGATGGGCTTTCGGTAGTGTCTCTTAATAACAGTGACAAAAGTGAAAGGGGCTCCACGACTATCGAGTTAAATAATAGCGATATTACAATTCATAGTTCTCCTCTAAATGAAACAACACGATCTGAGTCCGACGACGTATCTATGGAAGACAATGAAAGGAAGGCTGCATCTTTAGGCGATCTTTCAAAATTTGACCTCAGAGTTAAAACAACAAAGATAAGCACAGGTACTCTGGAAAGAGCTCAGAGTTTAGATATATCTGCCGATGACGAAGAAATTCAGGAAACCACTTTGTCGCCTAAAAAACGAAAGGCTATGTCTGTGGTAGAAACTACATTTTTCGACTCCGGTACAGAAGATGTTTTGTCAGAAAATCCTGAGAAGAGTGTTCTATTAAAACAGAAAGAACCTCGCTTGAGCTTGAACATAGCAAAAACTTCAGCTATTGAAGGTTTGAACACATTCCAAAGAAATCGTCTAAAAAAGGGTTCTGAATTTGGAAACTTAGAAGATGCAATCGTTAAGGGGTCATCAAGCTCCATAGATTCAGAGAAGCATAGCTCTCAAGAAATCCACAAAACGCGATCCCACACCAGCTTAGATACAACCCAAGAAAGCGAACATGAATCATCAGATCATTTGGCAAAAAGAATAATGGATGAAAACATGAGAGTTCATTTGAAGCTAGTGTCAGAATTCGCGAAATCTACTTCAGATGGTGGAAACGTTAGTTCTTTAGAAAGCACCCAACAAGCTCACAAAGATGACTCCGCTAACGATACAAAAACTACGGCAGTTAATTACCAAGAGAGGGTCACAATGAGTTATGATACCAATGTACCTGACGATATGAAAGTTTCTCGGAACTCATACGTAAACAGCTTGGAAAGGCCTAAATCAGAAATGATGAAAAAATTACTTGCTAAAAACCCTATCTTCAATGTTCATATCGATCAAAATTCCCAAAAACAACAAGTTACTACAAGTAAAGATACACCTACACCTATGACAGATTCACATAAATCTGCTTTGCACCAACCGGATATAGTAAACTTTGATTTGAAGACTTCGGAACCAAAAGGTAGAGATTATGATGAGTTTGTCAGCAATATAAGAGTAGGTTCGAATAATAACAGTTTAAAGTTAAATCGGAGATCACAAGAAATTCTGACAACTGAGTGGAGTGAAGGTAAAGAGGATCAGGATATACAAACCACCAATGTCGTAACTATATCTACAAACGATAAAAGTGTACCTATGGAAAAGAGAACTTACACGAAGTCTATAGAGATTGGTGAACCAAGTATTAAACTTATACCAGATTTAGTTGACGGAATCAAAAAGACTGGCGAGAAAGAAACTAGGACGTTATATATGGAGCCCGCGAACGTATCATTGACGATGCAACAAGAACCTGTTCAAAAAACTGTTACTGTTAATGTTTCTGAAGATGAATTTGGCAACAAGGTTATCACACAAAATGTCGAGAAGGTTTCCACAAAATATATCACAACAAAAACAGAAGCTCCTGTACAAGTTGAGCAGATTACATTTGGTATGATGAAGGGATCAGGAAATATAGACGAAATCGATTTGGAAGAAGGAAACGTTCAGGACATAGATAGTAAAGTGCTTCAAGAAATAAAAAGACAAAACCCTAACATGCACTTCACGACAGATGAACCATCGTACACTAGAACGGAAACTATAATATTAAACACAGCAGATATGGATGAAAGTCAAGCGAAATTTCTTATGGAACGATTGCAAAACGACCCCAGCTTTATGGCACAAAAAACTCCTGAGGAATTATCTAGACTAGGTATTAGAATAATACAGGACTTAGAAGACAAACAAATCGCTTCCGAAGACGGGCTCGAAGTAACTAAAACAAGATATTCCATTAATCCATCCGCCTTATCAGAATCCGAAAAGCAATGTAAACTTACATCTAAAGATATACAGGAAGAACATATAACCGAAATTCAAGTACTCACGCCACGTTCCGAGAAAAATGTGAACCAAAAAGAAGACAAAACATCAAGCAGACAACGAGCACCTCCAACTGTTACCAACTACCAAGAACCAATGTTGTCATATGAGCTTGACATCGAACTATTGAACGATTTCATATCAAACGAACGCCATCATTCAGCAAAACAGCATTTTGATGCGGCAAAACGAACGAAAACGACTCACGGCACAAGCGAACCAAAGAAACGCCATTCCGACTTCGACTTACCAAGGAACAGCCATATTAAATTCCGAACAGCTACCTACGAATCACCTAAAGGCACAATCGTCACGAGCACAGATTTAGAAAATCGACGCTTATCACAAATGGATCAAATGCAATTGCGAGCGCCGAGTGAAGTGCCAACTGTTTCAAGTCCTAAACCGGTAATTTTAGCTAAACCGAGTAATATTCCGGTGAAGGCGTCCGACAAAAAACCGCTAGCGGGTTTGGTGTCTTCTAAAATACCTGTGTTCTCCACACAAAAGTCTTTAAGTCAAGAGAATCTGACTGATAAACAATTTTCACTGCCTCGTTCTCCACCCTTAACATTAAGCACCAGCACGGGAAATATTTCTGTTACGTCCATCAAAAGTAGCTCTAGAAGTCCAAGTGGCGGGCAATTGTAAAAGACGTAGTGCCTTTGCGAGATAATTTACAAATTCACCTAAAAAAATAAGTTATAACCGAAAGTAGGTCTTATATAAACTAACTTTTTAAATTTCTCCATATTGATATTTCTGCTTCTCATTATTGTCTTTTTTCACTGCAAAATCCTTGACATTATGGGTTAAATATCTGTTAAAAGTCGGATCGCATTTGGTGAATGCAACGATGGCGGGAAAATATATATATTTATATGCGAGCTCTGGAGTTTAATGACCTTTATTTCTTAAAAAAAGTGCCTTATAATATTATTAGTAAGTCTTGAATAACGTAGTTCGGTTGTGAGAGAAAATTGTAGTTGTTAGTTATATGTCACAAGAGAAATTTCACAAACACTCCGTCCGAAAAGAGTATTACCATTGTAGTGTAGTGTACGTAAGTTAAATCGGTAACCGTTCTAATTATGCTTGAATAAGGTTAGGCGGCAATATATTGGTTTAACGGTGAACCTTTAAAAGTAAACTTAAGTCTATGGAACGTCTTTGAATTTTAATTTGGTTTGGTTATAAGATATTTGAAATACTAGATTGCCTAGTATAAAATTTACACCTCGGTCTATTACCAATTCCAAGTGGACTTTATTGATTTGAGATTTAGAATACCACTGTAGCGTGGTTGTACCGAACAGTCTTCCAAACGCAATGTTGCCAACATTGACTTAGTTTTTGAGAATTTTTCAATGAATTTTTGAATGTACTTAAATATTTAAGGAGTTATGTACTTTATAGAACTTTCACGTTCACTATCACTGAATAAAGAAATTTCAGAAGATAATTCTGACACCAAATTTACGAAATTCTTTACAATATTGTACATTATGTTTTAACTTTATAAAATTTATTACACATGTTATTTGAAAATAATTATTTTTATTGTAAAACATTTCTTTGGATATTGAAGTCGAAAGTCGACTACCAGAATTATAGCTATTTTAAAATACTTTTAATTTGAATTCATTCGACATTCTGATGATAGTGAAAATGGTTAGTTTTTGTAGTTATGTGATCATGTTTTGTTAAGTAAAAGTTTTTATATAGTTATGTTCATCGCGTTATTAACACTTATTAATCACAATTATACAAATCGTATTTTAATATTGTATTATATTATGAAATAAATACAAATTATAATGTTCGTTTGTCTTTTATTTTTTAATTGATAAGTAATCGGGCAACTGTTGCTTTAGGCTCTGCTTTATCGTCACTGTAGAATGATAACCTCGTATGTCAAAAAACCATTAATTTTTATTCCTAGACTTTTATGTCATTTAATTAGTATAATCATGAAGTGAGGACTTATTTATATTAATAATAAGTTAATCCATTTTACCATCTAAAACTATGGACACAAACATATAATAATATTTTAACAAACATTGACGAAATGAATTTTTTTTTCGTTTCCTGTAATGTTTGGTTCTCTGGACATACGAGTTATCATTCTACTGCGACGTTATGGTCCAAATACGTCCATTGAAGAGTTGTATAGATAAACCATTGATGCTTTTGTACTACTAGCTGTTGTGAGAGATTGATTCAACCAAACATACTTTTTATTATATAAGTATAAACACTGATCTATAGAGAAACATCTCGTAGAACATTCAAGGCGAGAAAAAAACAAGTTCAGAATAAATTAATTTTATTCAACGCACGTTATATTCTTACATAAACTATATCGAAAAAGTTAAAATAGAAAACATTACATACTTGGAAAGGCCACCATTTAATAGAAAACGTTTCAACGATTAAAATCTGCCACAAAATACATTTTCGGCAATAATTCCCTTTTAATCTTAATACATATTAGATAACTTCCGATTACCAAATTTATCTAAAAAGGAAAAATGTCTTAACACTTAACTCTCCTTAAAACAATATTGCTTTAAATTTACAATTGGTGTCATTGAGCATCGGCTTGGAAGCCATTATCGTGGCTATTGACAGATGGCAATACGATGTCGTTACGAGTGAGGGAGACAACACTATTCTCCCATGACGTCTTCATACTGTTTCCGGAAGCAATCTCCCACTGGGAAGAAGTCCCAGCATCTTTGCGTGTACATGTTCCATACGAATGTTTCTTGACCTAAAATAAATTCATTTTAGATAATTTTATCACATTAAGATTGTATTTTTTTAATATTATAGGGGGCAAACAAGCCTATGGGACGCCTATAAGGGCAGCCATCGCAGCCCATGGACAGCCATTTTAGTGGGTGCGTTGCCAGCCTTTTAGAGAGGAGAACACTCTAACGTAGAATATTTGGGAGGTCATAGAAGACCTCCACCGGGAGTCGATTCCACAGTTCACTAGTTCGCAAAAGAAAATGCCTTGTGAAACGGACTGTGGAAGACTTCCAGCCATCAAATGGAAACTTAGTATTTCCGATATTACAGAATTCTAACATGTTCGTCATACAGACACAAATATTGTGTTTGACATCGTATATAATAAATGGCAATCAAGCTTGTAAAAGTTAGGAAGTATTTTGGCCTCAGCACAAATGCAAATCCTAAAATATACTAAAACGGGTTTAGCGGTTTCAGTACGTCGTTTACATACCTGTATATTCAGTGTCGGGTTTGTTGATGAGATGCATCAAGAAGAACATGTAATTTGCGAGATTGTGCTCTCGTTGCACGTGTGTGTCGAAACCGTGCGGCACCTGTCATGTCAAATTATTGCCTATGATTTTAGGAATACTTGGTTTTTTGGTAAAATAGGGAAATTTTAAATGTCTAAAATTTTATCTAATAAGATAAAATCCCAGCAATATTAAACAGTATTATGATTAACGAGGTTAACCTCAGTTGTGCACCTATTTTCTATCTATGTGTGCAAATAATATTCGCATGGTAAATTAATCGTAAGGATTTCGTCATGTCTATGACCTATTATAACCTACTTGTTTACACAGATTATATCAATTACACAGAAATTATACTCTATGCCTCAGATAAAGGAAGAGAGTAAAGAACTTTAGACATACTCGGAAATAATGGAGCTTATCTTAGGTAATATCTGAATGATGGCGTTTATCTGAAACCATTCCAGTTTATTGGATGGAAGGGCCATCAAATACTACATATACTTTATATTCCCGAAACAAAATGTAGATTTCAGTTGGATGACAGATTTTGGGTAGTCTTAATAACTATTGCCAAAGCCTGACCTTATCAAAGTAGTCCTTATTGATGCCACAAATGAAGCAGTTGGACTCCATGTCTTCTTTGACTGACTCCAGTTGGTCACGGAGCTCTCCGAACGCATCGATGATCAAACCTGAAAGATTTTTTTTTATAGTAATAAATTAATGTATTCCATTAAAATTAAATTGATCAAAAAAGGATAATACCACTTTAATTAATAATACGATCCTAAAAATGTTTTATAAAAAGTAAATTAAAAAACGGTTGTCTGTAAAGCTAGTTTACCGGCGAGAGTTTAACGTGACAACGTCATAACAAAACATGATTGCATACTTCGAGTGGAAGATAGATAGATGTGGCGCAATTGTAAAATGAGCGTAACGGGACAATGATCGTAACGGGCCAATGTGTCGTGCTTTTTCGTGCGTGTGACGTTGTCACATTAGAAATATGTGATTTTTACAAGCAAAGCTGTACCTACCGTGAAATGTACATTTATCCGAAGTAATGAAATAAAAATCTAATCACGTCAGTATTAAAAGGTTATTTAACGCTGTATGCTAAAACACCAATTTAGATGAACATACTCATCTTATAGAGGATAGAAATTCTACTTAGATAATATAAACTATTTAAAACTTACCCTGAAGGATAGCCAGCAGGATAATGATGACGAAGAAGAAGAAAGATATGTCAAAGATGATGCGGTACACCTCCGAATCGTCTCCATCAGGAGGTTCGAGCTCGTCCCCGATGCCCCCTCCTGCGCGTACGCCTTTGTATAGGTTGAACACGAAGCACTGAAATATCACATAGTAATTATATGCGATATATATGTTACAAATTATACCATTGTAAGAGAAGCTTATTAAAAATAAAACTGTGTTGTATGTATGTCTAGGCAGTCATCGATATATCCACCGAAAGTAGGGATGTGACATTCTGCATAAAAAAATCGATTTTTTTATTAATCGATTATTTTTTTAGCATGATTATTTGTTAATCGATTTTTCTTAAAAAAAATAATCGATTTTTTTATTAATCGATTTTTTCCTAATTTTTGGATTAATTTCAAAATAATCACCCTAAATATTTTATTTTTCATGTTTTTTTAATTATAAATAAACAATAAAAATTATAAACACAAATTAACGTTTAAGAATAATCAAAACCAAAATAACTTAATCTCGTTTTGATAGATTTTAGGTGAAATTTGATAAATGCTGAGTGTATGCCTTTTCAGAAGCACATTGCAGTATTTTTGTTGTCTTTTTAATTGTATGTAATCTTGTGCTGCTGAATAAATTTATTTTACTTTTAAATTATAATGTTCCATTCAAACTTTGAGTTTTTGTAAAATTCACTGGTTTTATCATCCTTTCGATGTTTTACAAAAAAACATCAATGCATCGAGTATATCAATACATCTTCAAGGAATCGGATTCAATGTATCGCATTGTAAACATCGTTGTATATCGAATATCCCTAATAGTTCGAGGTCCGGGTTATAAGACCAGACATAATGTCGGGAGGTGGGAGATAAAAAATCGACTATGATTGATTTTCAATTATAAAAATAATCGATTATTAATCGATTATTTTTAATATAAAAATCGCGTAAAAAAATCGATTTTTACTTTTTAAAAAATCGATTAAAATCGATTTTTTTAATAATCGATTATTTTTTCACATCCCTAACCGAAAGTATAAAATTTTTACAATTATATTTTGTAATTTTATTATTTTAAATTATAAAACTTACAGAAAGCATGTCATGGCAATTCCTGTTGATCTCGTCATCCTCTTCTTGAACGTAAAATTTGCGGAAGAAGTTGAACGCTATCACGGTGTAGATGTATACTATGATTGTTAACAGCATCACAGTTAACACCAACTGCAACAAATTAAAACAAAAACAGTGTTAACAAAATGTGCAACAAACAAATGAAACAAAATGTACACGTATGAACGTCAAAACAAAAATATATATGAAATACTACTAATTTTACATTTACTGCCAGTTCTCAAACCAAGAGCGTGAACGTAAGAGAAGAACTGGCAATAAGCGCATACGGCAGCAACAGGCAGGCTCCTCCTCTGTCACTCTAACCCATAACTTACCGTATTTAAGACAGGCGTTTTCCCTCTCTCTACTCAGAGTTACTCTAAGTTACTGAGACAGATATAAATATCTTTCTAAAATAAAAATAATATGATGAATGAAGCAGAAGTTGATCCACGGAACATTACATAATTAATCAGTTCAACTTTAGTTGGGCGTCCCGAGACGCATATGGCATCAGAAACCAATACGGAAGACGTGTCGCCGACCCACACTGGGTGGTGAAGTAGGATTTTAAAAAAACTAGATAAATGTGGAGATAAAACTCAAGGCATTTAGACTATATCACTATATATATAATATACTTTAATTCTGGTCGAAGACGCGAATCGTCAAAAGAAATTGTCAGTAGAAATCGGCAAAACTTTTTCAGATATTTCTTCTAAAGGATATTTTAAATAAATACATTAATTAAATATGCAACGTAACCTGTTTTCCATTATGCGTGACGGACTGAAGAATGGTTCTTAGCGTCTTGAAACCGACGGCGACATCCAGTAAATGGGCGGCAAAGAAGAAGTTGTTAAAATTGCCCATCACGGAGAAACTGAAGTACCAGAGGGAGTACAGGAACGAGTTGTCTGTGATAGTAACACCCGCCTTCCACACTTGGTAGCGCCAGTCGATGTTAACGATGCTGAAAATAAATAAAATATTTTTTAAATATCCAATAGGCGTACACCTAGGAAAAACATAATGATTATCTATTTATTTATCAATAAGGAAACATAACAAAACAAAAAACTTGGCGATTAAAAAGAGTGGCGGAAAGTTTATTGCCAGTTCTTCTCTTCCGTTTTACGCCCTTCACTTGAGGACTGGCAGTAAATGTAAAATTAGAAGCATTTAATGTATTTTTTTTGACGTTCATAAGTGTACATTGTGTTACGTAAATTAATCAATGATTTTGATTTGGTTTGATTAGACACATCACAAATACAAGATATATAACAATATACAAGTTATAATTATAGAAGTGTCCTTAAATTGTTTACAGATACGTTTTTATAATAAAAGTATCGAAAGGCTCGAAAATGTAATTAATAGTACATACACAAACATAAAACAAAATCTAATTGAATATTAAACGTTCTAATCGCGTTGGAACATAAGAAAACATTAAAAAGCCCCAAAGTTACTCTATGGTATACAATATCAGCGAAAAAAATCCGCACTAATATATTATAATTTACTGCAATTCTAATATTACAAACACAATTTGTTTGATGCAGACCGCATCCAAATGATTAATCCGAATGGGTAACATTATAGTTTATTCACATTGTCTTGTTTCCGCTTGAACGTCAGATTCTTCTGAACATTTGTAACCGGAGCCCTTAGCACGAACTTTACTATAGTCGAGTGTCCGTATACGTGAATACGATTCCTGACAATTTGAATAGTTTAAACCATTTGAATTCGAATGTGTATGTATGTGCTTTCGTTTAGTTTTTAATTTAAAGAAAAAACTTTTTAACCGGATTAAAGTTATGTATTATTATAAATTTACAATTATTTAACATAATTTTAAATTTATCCGACGTTTCGCGTGCTTTCCAGCGTGCGTGGTCACGGTGACTGAAGACAAAAGGTGTTGGATGTCAAAAAGTATCTCAGCTGTAGAGAAAGTTGCATTATCTGTATTTATTTCCCCGGAGTTGGTATCGACTAAAAGATGGAGGGTTTTGGCAAAAATGGCTCACGGTGCCCTATTTTCGCGGATTGTTTTTCTTGAGATTTTAATTTGGATATTATTGGATCCCAGGTGTTTGACAATTTTAGGCCGTCTTCTCTATTGAAATTGGAGTGTTTTTTGATTTCAATGGATTCGCGTACCTATCTTGGGAAGATTCTTTTTTCTTTCGCAAGTACTTTCGGTTGGTGAAAGCGTATGTAGTGATTAGGCCTATCTAGTATGTGTTCACAGACTGCTGATTTTGTGTGTCGTCTATGTCTTATGTCGGCAATGTGTTCTAAGACAATACTATAGTTTTTAATTTCTCATGAAGAGTTGCTCAAGGTTTTATTAAAAAAATTAAGATTAATATTATTGTTAATAAATACTTACTAGTTCCATAGTCCTTTATTGCCTTCTTCTTCTTGGGCCGAGAAAGAAGTCTTTTCCATTCCCAACATGTTGGATATGGAGTCAAAGTCGTAGGTCTCAGAATACTTGGCCCGGACTTTCTTCTTTATAAACTTATCCCAATAGTTCACCGGGAACGATCTGAAAGATATGTCTTTATTTGTAAAAAATAAGCGTAACACTTATATCTAAGTTTTTAAATAAATAATATAAAAAAAAGTACTGATCAGTTTTATATATATATTTTATAATTAATTAAGGAATAAAAAAGCATAAAAATATTCGAAATAACTCCTCATTTTTAATACAGGCCCTTAACGTCCATTTATAAATATTCGTGTGATTTCAGTCATGGTTTTTAAAGATGACTTCAGATTTCAAATTTTCATGAGGTTTATCAAGATTTTTAAGCCCTGTCATAATTTCTGGTCCAAAGGATTAAGGTCACTGAGAAGCAATCCTCATGTCTAATTAAGAATGTTTTGACGCTCAAACCAGGCTTTAGTGGTCTTGGCTTTGTATGCAGACGCAGAGTCCTGCTTGAACACGAAGTGATGTCCCGCAAATAGGGTGCTGGAATGTCTTTGACAAGGCGATACAAAACCGTCTCTTGGTACACTGTAGCACTGGTTTTGACCCCCTTTTCGAAAAAAATTAACCTCAGTTAGCCCGTAATAGGACACTCCCAACCAAACCATTACTGATGATGGATGATGTCCATGTTGCACCCTTGGAACTTTATTTTCAGCTTCTTCAGAACTCCTAGCGTACACTTATAATTCTGTTTATTGTACTTCTCTTCAATATGAAAAATTTTTCGTGTAAAAGGATATCACGGTGTGTTTTTCAGCTTAAACAACACCCGCGATCTCTTAATTATTGCTTTTAGACGAGCATTAAGTAAGTGCCCACTCTTTTTTATGCTCGTAGACCAAGATCTTCATTTAAAACTTTTTACTGTTTTCTACTGACACATCTGCAAATCCATCAATTCTGTTTTCGGACAGGATTTCTTACTATCCGCGCCTTGATAGCTTTGATTACTGCTGGTGTTCTTGCGGAGCGTGGCCAGCCAGTTCTTTTCTTGTCCTCAACACTGGAGACTTCAAGGACCTATCAATAGTACCGTACACAAACCTAAGCGTTATATTCAAATTTTTGAGCAACTTGAAAATGTTACTCGGCGAGTGTCACAGGTGCAACCAATAACAACTATTCGGTTTACTTTCAATGTCCACTCCATCGTGAAAAATTACGGAAAGTTATTGTTTTTTGTTTTAAAACAATAATCAAACATTCCAAAATAGAATGCAATAATTTTTTTATAAAATCCTGCTCGAAATGTAGAAATAATGTGCTAGTGACAGAACTTTGGGACCAACACTTATATTGATTCAGTGAAACTCGTCTTGTCTGAATTATAAAGAAAGAGACCACAATGGTAGGAATCGATTTTAGCAGTCTTTCCACTAATTTCGGTAGATTTTACTCCTTTAGATTAAAAGTCGTCAAACCCGACTTATGTAACCTAATATTAGTTAACTTATTTATCTTAATATATTTAAATTACGTGTCACGTTGTTTGTCCGCTATGGACTCCTAAACTACCGAACCGATATCAATCAAATTTGCACACCGTGTGTAGTTTGATCCAACTTAAAAGATAGGATAGCTTACATCTCAATTTATACCCGCAATATTATTTTATTGCAAAATATTTGTTTATTATTTGATAGTCACAATTCTAACAGATGGCGCTATGTTGAACTTGAAAGTAGCAACGTTTCACATAAGCTACAATTTAATGGCGTTACCACCAAAAAAGCATGGTGGTCCCCATGACTGGTGTTCTCCTACCGTTTCCCTTGAATAGGTTAACTATGTAATATAACTAAAACCTGAGCCACAGCAAAGCTTGGCCGAGTCTACTAGTATATATATTATATATATATATAAGTTAGTAATAAAAAGCGCAAACCAAATGTTAACAATCATCTTACACTTGTACGTCATTTTTGGTAGTAATAAATGAGCCCTTTAGTTTTTCATACATTCACAAATTATAATATAACATTATCGTATCCAAGAATGTCCAATAGGTCGACATCCTATCGCATAGGTAACTCATAAAATAAACAGTTTTTTAGAGCTCGCAATATAACAGCTAATGTTATAAGCTCTTGTTTTAAACGATTAAATACAGTTGACACTTAGCTTCAAACCAAGAGTTTCATTTATTTGAACATCCCTCCAACAACCGCCACCGAACTTAACTCCGGTTATGTTAAATATTTAAACCGAGATCATCAAGAACGTATACATAATCACGTACTTGGTTTTAAGACAACTTAACACTAAAGTATTGGGTAAGAGTTCCAATAAATGCTTTCACTAACTTGGCAGAAATAACAAGTTTGTCCCAATGGCTCTTGAGGTCGTCATCTTCCGGTTGTTCAGCGATGTAGAGACCGTCAAACTCCAGGCGACGAGCGATGTCCTTTTCACGTTTGAATATGGCTAGAGGCACCTGGAACGAGCATCTTAATATTCATAAATGGAATCCCTCAAGGCAACATATCAATACAATTTCCATAAGAATCTATACCCCCTAGTTTTAAAAGAGTACCGAGAGTTTTTACGCCGGCTTTTTCTCTCGGCCTTCAACCTCTGTCTTCTTTGCCGATGAGTAGGGATGCCTACAGATTCAAATTTAATGACGTGGAATAAGTTATACAATATACGTATTTTATTTTCCATAATAAACATATTTTATTTTTTTTATTTTTATTTAGTAAGTGATATGGATAGTGTACAGTTCCCCCAATCTAAAGGAAGGATGCTCTACCAGTTTAACCACTGGCTGGTGGAACCGAAGGTTAGTTTTTTTAATAAAGCCTTAGCGTTCGGAATAACACTGTTAACGGCATTCAGAGTATGACGTCGTCGCAATTTGTAGTTCAAATTGTTGGTGCCGCTTTCTTTTTATGTAATAGGAGGCAAACGGGCAGAAGGCTCATCTAATGTTAAGTAATACCACCGCCCATTGACACTCACATTTCCAGAAGGCTCGTAAGTGCGTTACCGACCTTTTTAGAATTGGTACGCTCTTCTCTTGAAGGACCCTAAGTCGAACTGGTTTGCGCAGGAAAAACTGCCTTCAGAAACGCTCAGTTTTGGAACGACGGACGTCGAGGTGATAAGGATTGTATTTTGTATTCTGCATTGACGTCCAGTGCTTAAACTCAGCTGCAAGTATTAGTCCGAACAAACTCGTCTGAACAATCTGCATGGTAAATTCGGTAGAAGATGCAGATACCACCCACATCTCTACGCAACGCCAAGGTATGAAGCCGCACGGAAAGTGACTGGTCACATTTAAAATAAAGTCTTTTGGACATAAAAATGTATACTCATTCTATTGTATTGTTTGGTGTTGCATTTATCCCGCAGAATAAACAATAACCTTTTCATATAACTAACTGATTTATTTAATAATTTATGATGAGTTCGATAGACAGCAACGTTAATTTAAAGAGTTTTCAGTATAATATAATTTAAATCACATACCTTCAGATGATAATATCCAATGAGAATAGCAAGCGATACGATAGAGTGAAGAGCAGCGGCCATCTTGATAACGTGTTCCATATAGAAGAAGTCTTCGTCTATTCGCACCACTTCTAGACTATCATCGTCTTCACTTTCACCGCTGCCTGTAAACGAGAATATCACAATTATTAGAAAAGATCGTAACGTAAGCTGGCCAAGAGATTGAGTATTCATTTCGAGTAGTTAGTGTGTAGTGTAGTTTTCGCGTAGTTAGTGTGTAGTGTAGTTTTCGCGTAGTTAGTTGTAGTGTAGTTTTCGCATAGAAAGAGTTCAGAAGTTTATTTCACATAGTGTCGTAAATAAGTTTTCTATTTAACATACCCTCTCCACTTCCCGAACCTTGGCCTGATCCAGATCCACTGATGATGTCTCCGATACCAGAACCTTCTTTATCACTATCCGGGATCGAAACCTGAAAATATATATTTGTCTATAGTAGATTCCAGTCCGTTGAAAGGTTAGAACGTATAGTTAACAAAACGACAGATCGCCTCGCTTGATTGTGATTGGTCAATGGCATCTGGCACAGTTTATTTAATTCAATTCGTACAATGACGTCATGTTAAAACTATACCTCTTATTTAAAAAAATCAGTTAAATTTTTAGACTTACCTTATAGAAGAGCAATACAAAGTTGATACAGAACGCGAGCACCAGAGCGACGTACTTCAGGTTGTAGAAGTTTCTCGCGAGGAAGGATACTGCCCGTTTCGTGTACTGGGAGAGGTCTACTTGGGACAGGGCCGACGGAGCGGGAACTTGTACTGCCTGGAGAGATTATGAAGAATAAAGAAAGAAATAAGATATTTGCTGATCTTGTGTTGTTCTATTTTAATTATTATCTTCAATTCTATTCTAATTATTTCTATAAAATATATTACTTAATATTTCTCTAGACTATAGAAATACAGGAACGTTAATATAATATATAAAAAAGTGTGTGTGTGTCAGCTACGACGCTCGATTGGAGTTTACTCCTTACGAACGATAAAATGGCGATAATGTTCTGTGGCTGTCGACCATATTTTCATACTAAAGGTGGTAAGAATATATGTAGTAGTATTAAAACGTACCTACATCATCTATGCCCAAATAGGATTTTCTTTCTGTGACCAAAGTTACCTTTATAGTAAGAGAAGAATAAGAATGAACTTTTTAGTTTTAATTTCACTGACCATTACTATTGACAAAACTCTATGGCACGCTAGACAATCTACTTTTATTTTTTACACCTGTCAACACTGACAATGTTGTAACGTGGCTGTCAAAACGTGAATTCAAAATAGAAAGGTCTGTGTAATGTATTCCATCTCATTCTTTTTACACGTTCAATCCATTTGTCTCTTTCTACATAATGCCTCAACTTTTCGTGTTACACATAACGCCTCAACTTTTCGTGTTACACTTGATTTTACTCCTCATAAAATTTCCGTACCGGGCCTTATAACTCAAATCGTTTCTTAAGGAGTAAACTCCAAATATATAATAAACAATTGGTTTATAAAAAACTCAGTGGCGCTACAACCTTTTTAGGTCTGGGCCTCAAATTTCTGTATATGTTTCATGATCATTTGTCAATCTAATAGGCAAGTGATCAGCCTGCCTGACACACGTCGACGCGCTAAGGCGAGCCGGTTTCCTCACGATGTTTTTCTTCACTGTTTGAGCAAATGTTAAATGCGCAAATACAAATAAAGTCGATTGGTGCACAGTTGGGGATCGAACCTACAACCTCAGGGATGAGAGTCGCACGCTGAAGCCACTAGGCCAACACTGCTAAATATGTAGAACTATTTAAATTTCTCAAAATAAATCATACCTTTTTAAATCGATAAATGTTCTCATATCCACGCTGCATGATCAAGTATGTTTAATTAAGTTTAATAATTAAATTGTTAGAGTTTTAGGTATGATACTTTATATTGTAAATATTTGTAGGTAATTAAAATAATGTTTACCTTTTTGCTTTCAGCTTCAATGGCGGACATAGCAGCTTGTTGCGCTGCCTGAGCCTCAACACGTTCTTGGGCCTGTTTCTTTGCTTGTTCCCCACTGAAATATTAAAGTAATTTACATTTTGAAAAGTTGTTTTTTTAAATAACAGAAATTAAAATGTTAATTTCCAAATAAAAGTGAACGAACAAACATAAAACACAGGGAAATCTCAAGAAAGTATATTTGAAAATATAAATTCCGAAGTTTTAATAGAGAAATCGGGCAGGAGGCTCACCTGATGTGAGGCCCATAAACACTCTCAATGAAAGGATTGCGAATGCGTTGCCGGCCTTTTAAGGATTGGTACGCTCTTTTGTTAGAGGTTGGTTCGGATATACTTTAGTGGGGAGCTGGTTTCACATAGTGGTGGTGCGCGGCAAAATTGCCTTAAAAACGCTCAGTTGTGGATCGGTGGACGTCGCGGTGATACGGGTGGAATTTCGTATTCTGCCTCGACGTCCGATGATGAAAATTAATCACTACATGTGATTTAAGTTTGTGTCTATTTTCTTACCCGAGCAAATCGATGAGTGAAGGCGGTTGTTGTTCCTCAGTATGTTCAATACTCTCGTCTAGGGACACCTCTGCCTCTTCACCGGAAGATGGCGTCGAAGTGGTCGGTGACTCGTGGGGCTTAACTTGTATCCTATTAAAAAATATTACATTTCGCATCACCAGAATTAATTATTCAATGCTTTTTAGTTTAGGTCTGAAAGTTTCTGAAAATATGAAGTAGGAGGAATGTTTGTCTAGGAGTTTCATAGTTGGTCTTTGACATAGATGACAAGTCTTTGTTTTTAATTTATTTTATTATTATTAACTACTTAAGATGTCATGTGGAACATGGTGTAATGGTTGCAGCCTTACAAACGTTGTGTACAAAAACATGGCGATTAAAGAGTGGCGGAGAGTTTATTGCCAGTTCTTCTCTTCCGTTCTACGCTATTGATTTGAGAACTGGCACTAAATGTAAAGTTAGAGGCATTTTATATACATTTATATTTTGACGTTCATAAGTGTACATTGTGTTACCTATATAATTAAATGATTTTTGACTTTGACTGCGGAATATTGTAAGAAGTCTTAATTTAGTTCTGATAAGACAAACGATCATGAAAACATTGAGATTCCGCTGAGGAATATTAATAATAATAATAAAAACTTTATTCATTATCTACAAATAGATTGTGACAAACTTCATGGAGACCCTGTGTTGTGGGTAACTAGATAACAATTAGTCAGTGGTACATGGTACATGTCTAAAACAGTTTATTTTTAAATTGTAATAGTTATTATAATAATTACTGACAAATTTTTGTCATGTTACTTTTTCCCTTTTCATTCGGATTTCATAATTTATTTGTCAGATATGTACTATGTTACATTTATTTTGTACTTACTGGCCATTATCCTCTTTAGTAATATCTAGACCGAAAGCAGAAACTTGCATTTGTCCTGTATCATCTGCCGCAGGTAATGCGGGTAGGTGGCGAGACGGACCTGAATATCAAACTTGATTTAAATACACAGTAGTAACAATATTTGTAATGAGATAATGGTGATATGGTGTTTGGAATAACTTAAGAAAATAATATTATCAAAATTTGGATACTTGTGTTGTCGATGTTGTGATTTCTATAACAATATTTTTTTATTCAAATTACAAATTTTAGATTCAACATTTGTAGGTACTAGTGTCAATACGCAGGTGCAATTATCATATTAATTTAATTAAACACACAACAATATCTATTAACGCAGCGAATTTTCCATTAGTTTTTATCATTGAATTTCGATTAGAAGCCAATGTTAGATAACCTTTTTTTAAACTGTTAGATTTTGCGTTCTGCGTTATGATTTTTAAGCGTTCGGTCACCAATTTTATTTTGTCTTTAAGTTTACACCTAGCTAAGCCGCTGAATATCAGATTGACACAAGAAAATTATTTAAAATTGTAGATATTTATTTAAAAATATATTTATTGGAAGTTACCTAAGCAAAACATCCGATATAATTTCCCAACATATTTATGCAAATGAAAATCTTTACATATACTTATCTTATCTTTATACATACTTCAAAAAATACTTTTATTTATGGAGTATGGACCACGCCAGACTCATTTAGTGACCGAACATAGCCAAGCTGTCACGCTAGTACCTTTGTCCCTTACTTTGTGTGATCAATCTGTGTTTAAACTGACCGATTTTCTCCTCCTCAGTAGGCTCCGGAGGGGGAGGTTCCTCTACATGAGGTCCACGCATCAAGCCGAGTAATACGCCGAATATATACCTAGATGTGAGAATATACAAATATATTAAAAACGTAAATCAAGCATTGTATTAAAATTACCAGCAAAATTACTAGACCACCAAGTGCTACGTGGATATGTTATTGCAGGACTATTCTAATAGATCAAAAAATTATACTAAGTCAAATGCTTGTGTCAAATATTTGCTTACAAATTTAAAAGATTTAAAAAAAGATCTGGGTTTTAGATACAGCCTAGTATATTGGGGGTGCTATTAAAATAAACATAGCAGAGGCGAAGTAACGTGGTAAAAAAGGTCAATAATTAAGTGAAGCGATGTGTGATGATACAAATGAGTAGTTGTACACATGAAACGAATTCTAGCTATTTCTTTACTATGACCTCACAAAAACGTAACGTACATATGATTTAATATTCATTAATAATCTTTTACATAAATCGAAGCAAAATATAAGCTTGAAATAAAAATATTTCATAGAATATTTAGTGACCATTACCAATGACTGTGCATCGAGTTAAGCATGGAATGAAACACAATTTTGTATGAACATCTGTATTTGTTAAACACTTTATTCTGAATTTTTTACGAATGTTGCTTAGTTTGTCAAGTTTTAAACGTGAAGCTTTCCATCCTGGATTCGACTCTTGCCAATTTTTTCATAACTACAACTAGAATCCCTATTCTCAATCCAAAACAATTTTATCACTTCATCGGTAAGTGCAACGGCTTTATTGGGATCACCGTCACAACAAAACTGATAGAATATAACTTTCTTAGGTGCATCGTAAAAGCCAAAATAAATTTACAAGTATACTTTTTTAACGAATTTTCATCTGTATATATGGAAACTGAGTGAATTCTGTTAAAATTTAGACCATTTCAAAACCTTACCTTATAACAACAACGAATCCATATCCAATATAGTAGAACAGATAGAAGAAGAGTTTCAGGAAGCCGACCACGAGTTCCGCGGGTGGCATTTGTTGCATGTCCGCGATTTTGGCCTTTATGTTGGAGGGCGATAAGAACGAAAATGTTGCAGCTATCGCATCTTTAACCGATTGGTAGCCACGACGGAATGGGTCTTTGCCGGCTCTGGAAATATAATGAAGTTCAAGAACAAGATTTACCATCGTTTATAAAGAGTTGATTCACATTTAGGCACACACTTTTCCACAAAACTAAGTGCAGACTAAATTTTCCACCTCTAAATTGTATATCAATTTTCAGAGGACGGAGGAAAGTGCAGGAGGCGAGTGCGATGCCGGCCTTTCAAGAACACTCATTTCATTTTTTAAAACGTTCATTGTTCATAAAGATTTGATTTGCATTTAGGCACAAAACAAAGCATAGATAAACTTTTCCATTTCTAAATTGTATAACAATTTTTTAAAGAACGGAGGATAGTGCAGAAGGCGAGCGCGATGCCGGCCATTACTTAGATAATAAACCTAGCCCCATGGAGCTAGAAGTGTCATGCCTTAGGTGAGCTTATTTAACAATCTGTAAAAGCAGACAAACCAAATCAGAAGAGCTCACCGTTCATCATCATCATCTCCCAAGTAAGTATACGCAGCCTCTCGATTCTTTGGTCCACTTGCGGATTCCTCTGAAGCAGCCATCAATCCCGAAGCATGGGTCATCTCAAAGATGGCATCTTCACAGAAATTGACGAACGCCTCCAACTTCTCCTTGTCACCGCCTTCTGTTACTATGCTGTAGAAGAATGCGCGCTTCGATTCCTGCAAAAGTATAACATACGAACTGTGACAAAAATACCTGTTTAATATGAAATAGATCGACTTTACGCCAAATTGTGACGTCTTAGATATTAGTTTACGTTAGGTTATAATGTTTATTAAAATTTAATTGAATAAAACTCAGAACAAAACTAAAATTTATATGTAATAAACCGTTTCCGAACTGTATTTTTTAATTGACGTTTGACAGCTGTCATAAATGTTGCTATTATTATTTAAATTGAATACTTTAACATAATCTGTTAGCCTTGTCCCCGCAACTAAAGAAGGCCACTTGAAGAGCAATATCTGACTGTGGCCGATCGGAGACCAAGGCTCGCTTTAGGTCTGCGCCAGCGGAGTATTTCCAGTAGTATAATCTCTACCAGAAGTCTCTCCATTACTGGAGGTTGGCCGTCAGTTCTTGAAGCGGTGTCTTAGTCCTGTGTCAGATCAGCAACTCTTCCGCAATTGCAGTACCCCTCCACCCCTAACGTTGCCGGAGCCATGATTTCTTTATAATCTGTTATAGTGTAGCAGGTACTATTTACCCTCGACCAACACTTATTACCCCAAAACTACTAAAACCATTGTGTTCAACATATATACGTAATATAAATAACAATTCGAACGGTGGTTTAGTAATTACGAAAAGGTTATTTTAGATTTATAAAATTGTCTCGTAAAGAATTGGTGTACTAACATCGAAAGAACGAGTCGTGATAGTAAACTTTATTTTCAATATATTACCTTAATCTGTGGTTTCTCCCACTGTTCAATGTTGGATTCCTTGATTTCGAAGTAAACCCGCTCTATGCGTTTAGAACCACCCATTATCTCAATTCTTCCAAGGAAAGGCTCGAAGTAATTCAAAACTGATCCGGCGGTTTCCAGGAAACGAGCAAGCCTAAAATGAAATGTGGTTTAATACCTAATTCACTAATAACACTAGGTTTTGACAAATATTTTCACATTATAACAAATGTTTATAAAACGGCGTTATTTTGAATTCTATTTCTTTACAAACAAACAAAACATTTATTCGCCAGGGACAGAAGTATGAATTTAAATACTTTTTTCAATAAGAAAATTTTTTGTCTCTTATTGAAAAAGTATTTAAATTTTAATTAATAAACGTACAGAAAACACTAAAACACACTTACTTAACCTTGGTGCCTGAAGGGCCACCACTGTACAAATTGAAATTTATTATAAACTAAAGAGTTAGCTGAAAAAAATAGCTGGCCATTAGTGGTGGAGATGGGCTCTGTTATTGCACCATCATCACCAAACGCCAATATGATACGGCCTTCTACAGTGTTCTGCAATACTGACCTGGGTTCATTCGGCATGTGTTCTGACAGGTTAGTAAGAAGTACGGCCAAGTTGAATCCAATTTCTTTGGCAGGCTCGTGGAATCGATCGCAGAAGCCGATATAGTCGAGTTTACCGTCGTGGTTTGTCTCGCAACAAGCCAGAAGGAACTCTATCTCTTCCCTTTAAAATATATAATAGTAATTTAAAAAAAAATAGTTAAATTGTTAAGACCAAAAACAGACAGACAAACAGAAGTCTTTTATTTGTCCAAGTCAATTTTTAGTAAGAGGTACGAAATAATACTGGAGCAGTGGGCCTTGTGGCATCAATGGACTTTCTGTCTATGTACGCATTTAACACTGAAGCAAGTAAAGCAAAACATTTCGAGGAAACCGGCATGTCTTAGACCCATAAAATCAACGCCATGTGTCAGGCACTGAAGGCAAATCACCTATTTGTAAAAAAAAAAATGATCCCGAAACAGACAGTAATCTAAGGCCCAGACCTGAAAAGTTGGTAGAACAACCGGTTTAAACGGTAGTGATTTTTTGTGTTTTTTTAAATAAGTTTATATTAGTTTGTTTTAAGATTTTAAAATTAAAAAAAATCCTTCCTATGTTAAATTACTTATATATACAAGCATTTTTTTAGGTTCAGCAAAACAGAGGTTACCATACCTCACAAACAATTGGATCAAAAATATGTTTCTAAGATACTTACGGACTATAACTCTTCTGCTGTTCCATCTTCTCCTTAAAGTCTTTTGGCAGAACCCAACCATCATTATTAGCGTCAATCTCTTTGAAACTAGCGCTTGAAGTCAGATCTTTCAGCTTCAGGAACATATCAAAGTATTTCAGAATCAGTTCTACGTTAGATGCGGACTCTACTAAAGTGTCGACCATCTGTTTACCAATTGTTCCTGCAATTCATAAAAAAAGTTTAAGAATGGAAAACGAAGAAAAAAGAAGAAAAAAAACATTAAACCAATTCAAGAAAAGTTCTTACCATTTACAACGTTCCCCTCCAGCATAGACAGCATCATGGTGATCATGTCTTTTTGAAGATTTAGCAGTTCCTTCAGAAGGTCTACTTGGGAAGAATGCTTGGACAACTTGTCTTGCATATGAGAGAAAAGGAAAAGAAAACCACCTACTGCGTCCCATAACCTGTAACAATGCATTCAGATGAAAGTCGAATAACTTATTACCTTTTAAGAATTGGTATGCTCTTTTTCTGAAGGACCCTAAGTCGATTTGGTTCGCAAATACTTCAGTCGGCAGCTGGTTCCTGGTGGTGGTGCTCGGCAAAAACTGCCTTAAGAAACGCTCAGTTGTGGAACGACGGACGTCGAGGTGATACGGATGGTATTTTGTAATCTGACTTGACGTCCGATAATGAAACTCAGCAGCAGTTAATACTGCTACCGTTGTTCGGACTAATATCCTAACAACTCCTCTACACGTGTGAAAATGAAATGAGAACTTAAGAAGGGGTCGGCGCTAGCCAGATCTACTTATGAAGTAATATGATATCAATACAGTAAATTTTCTTTTTTATATGGCAATTATGCGCTAATATTAAAGATAAAAATCTTATTTATTAGTCCAAGTCATATTACTTTGTTTATTTGGATTCATAATCGCTTACAAACGTCATTTAAGCTATATATGCTATATTTCAGAGACCCATATTTAAGTGTTAACTACGAGTATATATTGATAAATATGGATCAAACTGCAGAATGGGCGAAAATGTTTAATGTTATTCCCATAAGACAGTTCACAATCATGATAATTCATGAGTATTGACTTCATTTTTGTATAAGAACGTACTCAAGTCTGAGAAGAATATTTGATACCTTTAATCAGTTAAAATAGCATTAGCTGTTGTTCTGTGACTCACTGAGTCTTGTTTTAAATAACTTGAAATTAATTCTTGGCGGAATAATAAAGGAACTCGGAGTCTAGGAAGAACCACTGTCTATAAATAAAGGTCTCATACAATTGTATCTGCCCCAGACAAAGTACTTAAACACAAATCATCAAACCGTTCTTTTTTAATAATGTCACTTATTGTAACAATATATTGAAATTATTTTGAAGGAATCTCACCTGGAATGAGCTAACGCTTGCTGATTTTGAGTACAAGGTCCTTGAATGACTTCAGTGAGAGTGTTAAAGACTTGTGAAGCCACGCCGATAGCTTTGAAGAAATTCGCCTTTCCTGCTGGGTCTATTAGTTCCTGTGAATATTTGAGGCAGAATTAATTTTATATGTACTAAGTGATGGTAATGAATAGCAGTCTTTCGGAAATGTTTGAAAGACATGACCTGCACATAAAATCATGATCAAATATTATTTCTTTAAGACCAAATATAAATATTTTTATACTTACTAGACATTTGCCTGTATCTTTACTTTATGGACTGTTAGGCAATTGGCGCGCTTCAAAACGCCTAATCTGTACTAACTCTAAAATATGCTCTTTTATTTTTATTATCTCCTAGTACATTTTGATTAATAAATACAATATTTAAAATAACCTTGCTAGAGTAATGCCAGTAGAAGTCCATGATAGACTCCTGCAGCCTTAGTAGATAATCTACTGTGCATATAACCACGTTTACAGTGGTAGTGTTACCAGCCTGAGTTCGAAGGTAGTTCTGCCACTCTGTAAAAATATATTCAGAATAAGAAAAAAAATAAATCAATGGCGCTACAACCTTGTTCGGTATGGGCCTCAGATTTCTGTATGTGTTTCATGATCATTTGTTAATGTAATAGGCAAGTAGGTGATCAGCCTTCTGTGCCTGATGCACGCCCTCGTGTTTTTGGGCAAGCCAGTTTCCTCACGATGTTTTCCTTCACCGTTCGAGCGAATGTTAAATGCGCACATAGAAATAAAGTGCACAGCCGGGGATCGAACCTACGACCTCAGGGATGAGAGTTGCAGCTCCTTACAAACGTTGTGTAAAAAAAAATGGCGATTAAAAAGAGTGGCGGAGAGTTTATTGCCAGTTCTTCTCTTCCGTTCTACGCCCTTGATTTGAGAACTGGCAGTAAATGTAAAATTAGAAGCATTAATATGTATTTCTTTACTGACGAGTCATAAGTGTTCATTATGTTACCTACGTGATTAAATGATTTTTACTTTTTACTTTTACTTTTAGAGTCGCACGTTGAAACCACTTGGCCAACGCGGCTCAATTTAAAATAAGCATTAATAGCTGATAAAATCACACATTTTAAATAAAAACTACTTAAGTGTATATACATTAAATTAACATTATTATAAGTTAAAATGTCATATAAGTTATAACTTACCCAAGTTGTGTCCTTCACAGGTAAGTTGTATGAACCTAAAGAGGGCGCATGTAAATTCTGCATCATGCATATTTTTCTCACCCGCCGCGCCCTCTAAGCCTACACCCAGCCCTGAAATAAAAAAATAGTATTAATACAATAAAATATATCCTTAAAACACTATCAAACTTGAAACAAATTCAATGTTACTAAATGAAGAATTTCGACTCATTGGTCACAGACCCCTACCAATCCATGGGTCCGGTTCATCCCCGCTGAGACAAACATATTGATGACATTTGGTGTTGTGCTTAGGTCTTGGGTGTTTAAATATGTATTTAAATGTCTATCTATCTATAATATTATGTATATCCGTTGCCTAGTACCCATAAACACAAGCTCACCACTAGCATGGTACTAGGCAATTTTTAAATCATTCTACACGTATTTTATCTGTCATATTATTGTAACCATCTAATTGGCTTTTCGATTTTTAAATTATTTTGTATTATAGTTAAGTATTTGTAAAGTATTTTTAAATAAATAAATTACTTGCAACGTGTTTTGTGAATGAGCAATTAGTAAATACAATCAACAAAATAATACATACATTTTGTTACCTTTTAATACTTACTAAATAAAATTCTCAAAAATTTTATGACATTTTTAAGAATCATGCTATAAGTGCGCATGTGCCATGGTTGCTTATTTGACTCGTTCGGTTGTTTACGAAATTATAAAAGAAGATGTGACATGTGCACGGGCCTTTGTTTAACTTTGAAGTTATACAGTTTATGTAAAGTAAGTGAAATGAAAGAAGTGAATTATAGTGAATCAAGTCATTATTGGAGTGTTAAACTTCCCACCCTAAGAACTAGATCAACCAGCTCTTTTAATTTGAACTGGAAAGCTCTAGACTAATACTTTGATCGTCAAGGTACAACATAATTTAATTGTGCATTGCAAAATAGACTCTAAAACAAAGACATAAAGACGATAACACAATAATAATTCAAAGTAATAAAGAATCTTGTTAGTGTAGTTTAAGCAGCTTCAGCAAGATGCATAAAATATTCATAAGCAGTAAATTAGACAAAACTATGTTCTGTACCTTCAGCTTTAGTGTTCCGTTCGAAGGCATCCAAGTCAAGCACAGAACAGGAATTCATGAGTCCAGCTATTGATGTGAAGAAGCCCACGTCCTTCTTATCTTTGAGGTGATTCAGCATACCCTGAAAGAAGAAAGAAAGAAGAATGTTTAAAGAACTTTATTTTTCAAAAAGAATGTATTTTATTTACATGAGAAACTATTAGCCGTCCAAATTTTAGTCTACTAGGTTCATTCTGATATGTGTCTTTAATGCCCTTTTGATTGGTTAAACGATATTACGAATTTTAGACGGTAATTGATTACCTTTTGAATTGCTTAATGACTTCTTCTAATAATTTAGAATTTTTTAAAATCTTATTTTCGTTTCCAGTACCAGTTTGTTTTTAATTAGGACTGTAACACACACCGTCAGAGTCGACTTATGATAATAATAACAACTGTCATATGTCAAAAAGTTGTCAAGGTATATTATAAAACGTGGATTAAAGGTTTCGTTAATATTTACTTTTAATCATTATTTGAAATCGTTTAAAAAATGGTGACCAGTACAGTTTGTGATACTCTTGGATTCGAAATATATTTTGAGTATTTAGGCTGTTTGCATGTTTGTTCACGATCATAGTAACTAGCCATATCGAGATGATTTAAATACAGGTATATTCGAACTTTTAATAATATTATCAACGGTTATAGTTGGAGATATTCCACACATTTTTTTTCGGTTTTAATCCCATATATCATTTAAATTTTTTCGTTTTTATTCCATTTCTTTTAAGTCAGAGTCGGGACTTATGATAATAATAACAACTGTCATATGTCAAAAAGTTTGTCAAGGTATCATTATAAAACGTGGATTAAAGGTTTTACCGTTAAATATTTACTTTTAATCAAATTAGTATTTCCTTTTGAATCGATTAAAAAAATGGTGACCTGTATGTTTCTGATACTCTATGGATTCGAAATATATTTTGAGTATTTAGGCTTGTTTGCATGTTTGTTCACGAATTTATTAGTAACTAAAGGCCATATCGAGATGATTAATTTTGATTTTAATACAGGTATATTCCAACTTTTAAATTTTATCAAAATCGGTTTAATAGTTTTTGAGATATTCCACACATTTTTGATCGGATTTGAAGTCGATATCATTTAAGACTAAATATTACTCTTAATTTTGAAGAATAGCTACTAAAAAAGCAATATGCTATATATTAACACTTACCATCTGTATGTCAATGTTGCCCCCTCTCAAAATTGATATCCCCAATTGCAACGTCTTCATCACCATGTCACTGGGAACGCCTTTTGAAGCGGAGATGTGTAGTAGGACCATTTCGGCTACTCCTCGGTTTGCTAAACGCGCTTGGTGGAATAACAACTTCTGTTTTTCCATTTCTTGTTCCTATTACATCAATAACTTTTGTATTTTTGTATTTTTTAATCAATATAACTAACCAAATAAGTAATACAACATTTAAAATAATAAATTTGAGAATACAACAAATTTTATGAAGATTGAAAACTGAAAAATAAGATGACTACAGAGCGAGTGGATTTGTTTTCTTTGTGACTTAAAAAAATTGTTTATTATGGAATCTCTGTTCTCTTTAATGGATTAAATTTAAAATAGTCTGCCATAACAAACAAAATCCTTGGAAAACTTAGTTAATATAAGAGAGCTTTCAAATAATTTAGAAGAATTTTGCTATAGAGATGAGAGTATACGGAAAACTAGCAGCGTTTTTAACTTTTATTGAATATTTTACATAATAAAATTACTTCGTAAAGTGTAATTTTATTTCAAGAATTACATACCATGTATGTATCCATCGTCTTCTGCATGTAACATTTGCATCAGTTAACACAATTTCAGAAATAATATACAGTATTATCAAGATGTACAGAGGAGTTTACGCTAGAACTACACAGGAAGTTTTCTTTCTCTTTATATAGGTAAATACTAAGTTATTACAATATTTATATAGCTAGCACAGTTATATGCATATAATATAGAGACTGTCTCACGCTGACCATAAAAAGTACTCGAAGCGTAGTAAAAAATAGGTTAATTAATTATGAATAATTTATAATAGAAATTATTTTTAAAATATTTTAAGAAATATAAACAACATTTCAACATTAGACAAAGTTAAATTATTATGTAAAAGTATCTTTTTAATACGACTTACATGAATACTGGACTTTCCCTCGTCTTCTCCTTCGGGTTCCCCTCCACCCTCTTCCTCTTCTCCCCCTTCTTCTTCTTCCTCTCCACAGGACTTTGCGATAATGTGCGCGTAAGACATATATAGGGGATCCTCCTAAAACGCGTATTTTTGATTAGGTCGTAATTACTTACAGAAATGTAATATTTATAGAAAGCAATACGAAAATAACAATGACAAAATATTCAACACACATTTGAGGCTTGTGGTATATTTGTAATAATATTAAATGTTGTATATCTTAATATATATAAATTACGTGTCACGTTGTTTGTCCGCTATGGACTCCTATACTACTGAACCGATTTCAATCAAATTTGCACACCGTGTGCGGTTTGATCTAACTTAAGAGATAGGATAGCTAACATCTCAATTTATACCCCTTAGCCACAGCAACGCTTGGCCGGTCTGCTAGTTTATTATAATTTTAAATTAAAGTGTAGACAACTTGGTAACAACTCTTGTTCACGATTCAATCGATTTATTTTCTATTCTGAATTAGCTAATTTAGAATAACGTAATTTATTAATACATGTAGTGAATATCAGTAATATAATTAATCCATGATCATGGATTCATACCATTTGATGATTAAAAACAAACGAATAATAACTCTGACAGTACCAGAATAAAATCAACTGGCGTTTTCAAGGGAAAACTTTTGACAATTTTAAGTTTAATTTCGTGGTAGGCAATAAAAATAATTATATCACAATTATATTAATTCAAGTTATATTAGTTAACATAACCGCCATTGTTCTCTTACCTGTAAAGCCCCGGAGCGCTCAGTCATAGCCCCGCGACAGAAAGTTGTAACGAGTTGAGTAAGGGGATCCGGTTTTCCTTCTTCTTCCACAACATCACTCTTCTTTAATTCAGCATCTTCAAACGTTTGCTGCAACATATTTTATGTAAGTTTTCTACAATGCCTTCACATAGATATATTTATTTAATTTTATTTATTTCCACTTCGTTGCAAATAAAAGAAACACAATACATAAAAAATTATAAGGGATGCAACGGGCGGCCTTATCGCTAATAAGCGATCTCTTCCAGGCAAACCTAGTTAAAGAGAAATATATTTGTTAGTCTGTTTTTCGTATCGTCCTGGGATTTTTGAGTTAATAGAAACTGTTTTCTTATTAATTAAAATGTACCAAATAAGCAAACATTGGGTGATTCCAAATAGTACGAAATTGTATAGTTATTTTTCTTTCTTTTAAAAATCTTCTTGCAGTTATACACAGAGTAATATGTATGATATGATAGCAGGTAATTTTGTACTGAATTGTGGCTTAAATAAATTTGTTTTTACCGTTAAATCTTCGATCATGACTTCTTGTCCGATATTTTCTTCTTCTAACCAAAGTTCATAATAAGTTCTAGCGAAGATATTACATGCCCTGTGCCTGTAATTCAAACAAATTTAAACAATTTATAAGTATTTGAGGCAACCTGTATACTTTAGAAAAGTTTTTTAAATAATGGTTTAATTTTTCATAGCATAGCAAGTTAGTCATACCACAGTACCAATGGTATCTTCTGGTCGCTGCAACTTAAAACCTCCCACAAACCTCGGATGCAGGACTATCTTTAGACAACTGTTTTTCATAATCACTATAGGAAGATCTACCTTCCATTTTACATCATCACGTGACCAACGGATAAGTTGGTCTTATAGCGATAAAAACATATTGGTTATCAATATAATCATTAAAATCTTCGTACCTACTAATTTTATACAGATGTATAGATCTCAAGCAAGCTATGGCAGCTCTTTTTCTCGCAGCACAGAGCACTCTCTTCCAAATGTCAGTAGCCGGTTTAGGCTTTGTCGCCTGTCCACGCAGCGTGCAATACACTCATGCGGGTTAGTGCTAAGTTGTAAAATAATTGTTACTAAAGCAATGGTATAAAAATACACTCGTAAATAAATTTTTGTAAAATTATACAAAAATTATATCACTATTAGTTCAAATCGCATTTGTATAAGATTTCGAAAGGAAACACAGTCTCACTTGCGTACGTCTAAAATGTACCTACTGGATTTTGACATTCGGGACATAGGTTTCGTTTTTGAATCGCGTCTTAAAACGAAATCGCAAATACGAATCCAACAAAGATTTGCCACACAAACCTATTTTATTGAAGTCTTAAATGTTCGAACTTTGATTAAATGTACACAATTTTGTAGAAAAAATTGGTAATTATAGATGCACTTCACTTACTAATTAGTAGCAGTAACGACACTCTCACACACAACCACAAAAAGGAATTTTTAAGACAGTTAATTAAGTTAGATAATTATGGAGAAGTAGTAGAAAAAGAAGAAGAAATTACAACATTAGAGAGGGAGTAGAGAACACGACACACATCTTCACACCTTGGCAAGGAATGGAGTGAAGTTTGCCGGAAACAGGCGATGACTGCGCGTTTACGTTGTATAGACACAACAGAACGATAAACGTTCTTACTCATTTGTTGCGGATGGTCGATCTATAGTTTAATAAAGAATAATTCATGAAAAAAAGAAGCACTGGTAACCCAGCAGTGTAGTGCATAAAACGTGTTAATTTTATATTTTGGTACTGTATTTTTCCAGTAAAGAAAATGTACATACATGATCAAAAACAATTTTTAGTATTTTGTAACCTTTAATTGTTAGGTAAAACGCACTGGCTTAGTAAAGTATCTCATATATTTTTTATTAGAATACTATGCATTCATTAATCTTTCCTTTTAATCCCGAAGCCACAAAGTCCATAGAAATGTCTAAAGGTGGTAGGCACAAAAGCTGACACTTTACTTGTTTATAAAAAATAAACACAGGAAGGTTCTTTGAGGGTTGTGGGACTCACGTTCAATCACTCACCATATGCAAGCCAAACAACACTTTGCTCATAGCCACAATCCTCTCCACAGTGTCATCTATTATCTTGGCTTTATTTTCTGAAGTTTCTACGGTGATCGCTGTCTTACTCTTGGACCCGAGCTTGCTGTACAAATAATGTTGCCAGGACATTTCATCCGCCGGGTCAATTTTGTCCGGCAATGTTAGCTGCGTCTTCGCGAATTCTGCCACATCTTGTTCTGACATTTTCTGTAAAAATTTAATACAATTTAAGAAGGTTATGACTTTAATACGTGTCTGAATGTTAAAATAAATAATTTATAAAGGTATTAGTAGAACAGTGTTGGCCTAGTGGCTTCAGCGTGCGACTCCTATACCTGAGGTCGTAGGTCCGATCCCCGGCTGTGCACCAATGGGCTTACTTTCTATGTGCGCATTTAACATTTGCTCGAACGGTGAAGGAAAACATCGTGAGGAAACCGACATGTCTTAGACCCAAAAAGTCGACGGCGTGTGTTAGGCGCTGGAGGCTGATCACCTACTTGCCTATTAGATTTAAAAATGATCATGAAACAGATTCAGAAATCTGAGGCCAAGACCTAAAGAGGTTGTAGCACCACTGATTTTTTTCATTAGTAGTATAGTGTATTATATATATACAGTTTGACATATTTAAGATATATAGATTTGATGATTTCTAACTGCAGAATATTGTACACAAAAATGTTCATTAAATCATTAGTCATAACAAATTTAATCAATTATTAAAATTCTTACCTTCAAAAACCTGTCCTTGCAATGCTGCACCAACTCTTGTTCTCTACCCGCAAAGAGGTTCAGACCAACCGGTAGAAGTCTCTTCAGACAGGCCACCATTAAAGAGGCTTGAACTTCCTTGTCTTTGTCTCTCTTCTTATCGCGATGCTTTTTCTTCTTCTGTAGTTCGTAATAAAACATCTTACTAAAGAGTTCAAGGATTTTATAAATATTGATAAAACCTTGAACTCTTTAATAAGATGTTTTATAAAAATAATAATTATTCGTTGAGACTGAATTAAGGAGAATGTAACATACATTCTGTGACATAAATTTTATTCTAGAGATAATATATTTAAATAATTGGGAAAGATGTTTTAACATTATATTTACTGTTTTAATGGGATTTTCAATAAAATATAATAATTAATAGTTAATAAACTACAACACGAAAAACCAAGGAAAGGTAGAAATACTATGTACATGATGCAAGACATAAGAATTCTGAAATAATGCTTCAAGAGTATTAATAACATATCAAAAATATATCTAAATATATATATAAAATACTTTAAAATGCGATATTATTTTTCATTCAACTATATTCGTGAACATAAACATAATAAGTATAACTAACTACTCTACAATAAACGTGTTAAATAAAAATCAGTCTAAGATAGTTTTTTTTGTTTAAATACATATTGAAAAAATGTAATAAAAATCATCAGACAATTAGTTAAACTGTCGAAATTAACTACTAGTTTCTAAGCACATTACTTTTTGCAGTAAGAAGAGCACACGCGGACCAAATAAAGAAGGATAGAGAAAGAGACAAACACAAAAGGAACAAAAAAGAAATACCTTTCCACCACCTTGTTGAGTTCCATCCACAACGGTGGTCACTCTTCTAGTCGCAGTAGGCATTATCAACACCTATGTACCAAAAAGTGCTTAAAATTAAAAGGCTACAGTCAAACTATTTTCGCCTTTAATGAAAAGAAATAAAGAACATAATTGTATAACATATAGATGTTTCAAAAAACTTTTTTTGGGTTTACCATGTTGTCTATTTCGTTAGCTGATATGAAGTTTTGCTCCTCCTTGAGGAAGTACTGGCTCTTGGACCAAATGTTGAATATTTCTGCAACATGGTTGTAGAGTTCTTCTGCCTCTGTAACAAGAAAAGCAATAATTTCAAAACTGTTCACCCACTTTCAGACTTAGTAAATAAAGCATGATTTTGATTTTGTGAGTACACAAGTAAAATTTTCCCAAATAAATAATTACCAATAGCCACGTACAATTTTTTTGGACACTGGACTTATATAAAAAGAAGTGAACAGCAAATATAACGAAAAGACGGACGCATAATTAAATTCTAATTTAGTCCCCATTATGGACTAATTTAAAAAAAAAATGTGTGCGTGTACTAGATGTACACACGTAAGAAGTGAAACTTCTTTATGACCTTATTAGAAACTATTTCTTTAAACACAGTAAATTTTGATACACTGCCTAGCATACAATTTACAAATTAATTGCTGCAAATTGCGATTAGCAAATTTCAAGTCGAAAATGTAATCCGTTGTCAAACTTCAAAGTCAAAAACATACTATATGTCATATTTTAACGCCGATAAAGAAGTTTGACTTCAAAAAGCAACATGGCGCGTAACGGAAAAATGTGACGCGTAACGCAAAAATGTTACACTAAATTTTTTTTCCAACCCCGATAAAGAAGTTTCACTTAAAACAGTACCTATAATTTTAATAATACAATAACAAATATACAAAATGTCCTAAAACTATTAAATAACAATATTTCTAAATATATTAATTGGTATTGTCGTCGTTAAGAGAATTTAATGTTTCAGTAATAAGTTAATGCGAGATCGAATTATGGCGGCGCGTTGCGCGTGTGCAAGTGCTAGATATATCATTAGAATAAGACTTAATATTGAGAATACTCTATTATTCTAAGGCTTTATTAATAATATTTAGTGTGAATTAGTTTATTTATGTACAAGGGTATAAATATCCTATTAGGTTTATAGGACCTCAGTACAAAACCCTTTCTATGGCACCACTTTACAAATTCGAATCATCTGTCAATGGACGAAGAGGTGATTATGATATGTTGAAAAAGAGAAAATACTCATTCGAGTTTTTTTAAAGTCGGTTAAAAATTGAATCCCGATAATATAATACTTAGAGAAAACTTTATAAGGAAATTGTGATCATCAGTCAATTCACACCTGGTACATTATTCCTGAGCCAGTGATTCCTCTGCAAATCCACGTATTTGATGAGAAGGGGATAGAAGGAGTAGATGTCCCTTACTAATAGCTGCCAGTCTTCTTGTATCTGCGACTCTACTTGGGATGTGTCGTCTGTTGATGACTGGGAATGAAATGGGTAAAATTAAATTTACTATCCAATCTGTTTACAAAAATATTTAATAGAAGAAATATAATTATAAATATGTTATACAAGTGAAAAAAAAATCAGTACTTTAGAACATTGAATTTTCAAAAATCCAAATTATTATATAACTAACAAAGTCAACATCAAAACATTAGATTCATGGGTTTTTTTTAAATTGATTACTGTCTACTAATACAACTTTTCATTTTGGGTGAATATTTACTATATATAATATATATTATATATAGTACATATTATATTATCATATATAGTATATATTATATATATAATATACAACATTTTTTTAACATAAAAAAAACATTAAATACGTACTTTAATAAAACCTCGCAAGCTCTCCTCTTTATGGAACATATTATCCGTCCTCTTCCGCACACGTTCTGCCAATGGAAGGAACGACTCTCTCAACAATTCCTCAGATGAGTTTATTATTATCTGTTGCGTATACGTTGCAATACGGGTCATCCAGGGTGCGCTTTCATTGCCAATATTCTTCTTAATCAGCTTAAGGACGTTCTTCAGGAGCTGGTTCATGTGCTCCGCGGTTACCATGGTGACGTGGTTGCTGTAAAATTATTGTAATTAACAATAACAATATTTAGAAAGTAAACATGTAAGAGGAAATCTATGGCACATGAAAGGCCGGCAGTGCGCTTGCGAGCCTTCTGGCAGTTTGTGACCATGGGCGGTATCACTTAACACCAGTTGTGCCTCCTGCCCATTTACCTCCTGAAACATAAAAACACTTTTTGTCGAAGCGGTTTTTTTATTAGACCCTTAATTTAAAATGAGATACCGTACTTATAAAATATCTTCGATCTGCTATTACATAAATAAATGCTATCACTACAAGTAAACATTGATTTAATGTTATGTTTAAACAAAATTATTGCATGTTATTTTATCACTTTAGAAGTTAATATCTTTTAGTGTGTATAATTTTTTTTTAACTTTTATCATAAAACTATAATAGGGGTAACTTACCCGCCCGTCGGTGTTACATTATCTGGTCCCTGTGCCCACCAGAAAGGCAAATACGAGCACAGCAAAGGTAGTACCACATCGATGATATGAGGTGCTTCATTATACGTCTTGTCTGATTCCACGAAGTGATCGACTTCGTTCAGAATTGTTTCTAGAGTTGGCATTGATTGTTCCATTTTCGCCATTATGTCTGAAAATGAAAAATAATTAGATATATAATGGGTATTTCTATGTCTTCGGGTAGTAATTCAACTTGTAGTCTTCTATATCGCTGGAAATATTATCATTATGCTCACAATATATATCGATAATAATAATAATAAATTTTATATACATTGGGAGTGATTAATTTAAAAAACTGCACAATCAACTATATAAAATAGGCAAGTAAATGTCATATTAAATATAATTATGTCATAATATAAAATTCTCGTGTCACAATGTTCGTTCCCATACTCCTCCGAAACGGCTATACCGATTCTTGTGAATTTTTTCATGCATATTCAGTAAGTCTGAGAATTGGCAATTATTGCAATCCGGAATGAATTATTGGAAGCCCCCTAAGTGATAAGGGGTGTCCACCCCAAAAAATGTTTATTTTTTAAACAATATATTTATTTTTATTCATAAAAACAAAAATACTATATAACATTAAATTGTACCACAAACAAAAAAGGATTATATAAAAAAAAAACACAAAAAAGGGGGGGCCCCCCCCAGTTTTCATTCCAGACAACCGAACAGTCTTTGGGGTAAATGCAAAATGATTCATATTGGTATGTACTAAAAAGTAGGCTATTAGTAAAACCACACATTAAAAGGAAAAAAGGTTCGCGGGGCCCCCCCCTCCCATTAAATCATAATAAGAATAGTTAAGTTAATTATAATATACTAACACAACTTGTTTACTAAATAGTTGGAAACTTTGGACAAGAGTATTTAATATTGTCGAACACGTTTTCGCATTGCGGTGCCTCAATCAGTCGTGAAGCAGTCATTTTATGATTTGGCATTCTGATAAACAATAAACTACAAGCTCCACCTTTTTCAGAATGCCAAATCATAAAATGACTGCTTCACGACTGATTTGAGAGCCACCGCCCACCGAAAACCGCTGTGTGCCGTTGAAAATGTTACAGAATCGCAAGGCTGAATATAAATTAATTACGAAGTACATTAAATTTTTTTTTTAGTCACTAGAGTTGCCTGGAAGAGATAAGGCCGCCCGTTGTTTTTTTTATAATTTGTATGTTATTTGTTTTCCTTTTACTGTAACGAAGTATAAATTTAATACAATTCTTAAAAGGCCGGCAACGCACTCGCGAGCCCTCTGGCATTGAGTGTCCATGGGCGGTGGTATCACTTAACATCAAGTGAGCCTCCTTTGCCCCCTGTTCTATATAAAAAAATGTACTGTGGGGTTATTTGTATTTGTTAAATTTAAAGAAGTAGTCTGTAATTTTACGATACCTTGAGCTTCCAATGAATGATCAGCAATACGGTTGAGTAATGAGAATTGGTTGTGCTTGTTGAGATGCGGCTCCAGGAAGGCCACAGGGAATGTTGAACTAAATGCGCCGAGGCATGAGCCCTTATAATTAAATTAAAGTTTATTAATAATTTATTTAATATTTTTCGCTATATCAATCAGGTATTTAGCCAAATTGTCGTAAAAATGCTATAAATATTATGGAAAGACTTACCAATGCGGGTTTATGTCTCTCGATTTCCGTCTTAAGGTATTTTCTGTCGTGTGTAAGTGTTACATCCGTTCCCAACGTGTATAGTGAGCCCAACATTTTATAAGACGCTACTTGAATCTCGTCAACTGTAAGATTATAAAACAATTTACTATAATAATTTAATACACTAATAATAATTTATTAGCCTAACTAAGTATTGTGCTAAAATTTTAAGTTCGTGAAAGTGTAAGCAAGTTTTAATATAATTAGAAATCACTCTATATTTACATTTATTAATATGCCTAACAAAAGTTGTCGATTGTTGTTGTTTTGGGTCTAATATATGCTGGCATTGAAATAAAAATCAATTAGTGCAATCCACCGCCGGTGGTCAAACGCACGTTATCAGTGTTGAGAATCATACGTTAACTACTAGCCTCAGACTGCCCTTATTTATTCAAAGTAATTTAGTAGTAGTAGTAAATTGGTGAGAATATGACTACGTTAATATAAACATAAAAAACATACCGAATCAATGCAATAAAATTTATAAAATTCAATAACAGTAAAAAACCAATTTCCTTTGTATTTTTACATTATGCATGAAAATTCAAATGTGGTTTTTTATTTCTAGATTACTCTTGTTGGTACTATTAAAACCTGTTTGGGTGAGTATTTTAGTTATACGCAGGACGGGGTAGGTACTTTCGAAGTACTGTGATAATTTAAAATCTGTAAACTGCAGTGCAGTCATTGCTTAACCCATAGCATTAACTAAAACTGCTAAATTTATTGAATAATTTTAGATACTAAGTAAGGAAACAATTATAATAAGAACAAGCGAAGAACAGAAACAGAATGCATTTGTCGACGTATTGAAAAACATTACTTCCGCCAACCAGATATTACAAGATTTAATTAAAAACTACGAGCAACTGCAAAAAATTTACAAATCAGGCGACGATAGCTTTAATGATGAGAGCGAAAATGAACGTGGAAATTTTAAAGCACTATCGTCAGAGGAGGATAGGCATACTACAAAAGGTTATGGTATTACACAAATAATATATGTCGGCGAAACTGAAGAAAGTACTGAAGAACAGTCACCCGGTAATAAAAATAATGGATCCAATATTATTGCTGTTGAAAGCGACCATACGGAAGAGTTTAACGAAACGGACAAAGATTCTTCAGAAGACTATGACGAAACAGAAATCGTCTCCAAAAAACCTCAACACATTGAAGAAAATACAACAACAACAACGCAAAAAGACCGCAAAAAATCTCATTTTAATATCGAAACATATAAAATAGATCCAAATTTATATAGTAAAAACAAAACGCGGTTTAGCATAAAACATAAAGACGCAAAGAGGCATTTTGACCGTCCAATTTTAAGGCATAACGACGATAAAGCAATTAAACGCATCGTGTACGCTGAGGTGTTCTCTCCAGACAAGATTTGGCACGAAGTAGTACATAAACCTATAGAACTTAAAATTTATAAAGATCATTCAAATTTTAGAACTCCTAGTAACAAAAAGGATCTCTCTAGCATAAACACGAAAACGTTTGGCACAGAAAAGGACTTAAGTGATTCTCCTTCAGAATCAAATCCTGATGACGTAATAAAGAAAGAAGAGATTAAAAGTATGTTACTTAGAGAAGCCTATGGCAATGCTTGTGTACAAGTCACCGTTAGAAAATGCTATAAAGTAAGTAAAATAATAAAGTCGTAGAAATGTAAGTACGATTATTACCCTTCCTTTATCTTGTAGGCTTTAAAGGCTGTGAGAAAATCTGTATGTCGACTACGATTTAAGTGTAAAAATTCACTTAAGGGAAGTTTTATTGAAAATGCTAAAAAGGGATGCATTCGTGAATTTGTAAATGGAAAAAATAAACCAGACGACAAGGAAGCCCAGGAAATTATATTTGAAAGAACTATTAATAAGAGTGGTGGTATGCGTTTTACTATTCTAATATTACTAGTGGACCCCACAGACGTTGTCCTGCATGATATTTAAAGCGATTAGGATATTAAGCAAAGTATGAAAGTACCGACTGCAGTGCCATCTGCCGGGCTGATTTGTGAATCTAAACCATTCCCAGATCCCCTTGAACACACACAAAAAATTTCATCAAAATCGGTCCAGTCGTTTGAGAGAAGTTCAGTGACATACACACTCACAGAAGAATTATATATATAAAGATATTATTTATTTGTAATTCATTCGTTCGTATCCCGTGAAGGTGACTTTTTTTTATAACTTTATTCAGATAGGTAACCAAGAACACTTATGAACGTCAACCAGTTCGCAAGTCAAGGCCGTTGAGCGGGCAAGAAACTCTCCGCTACTCTTTTTAATCGCCAAGTTTTGAATCATAAAAATTGTTTAAACTGGAGCAAATCAATGAAGGATTAGGATCATTTAAATAATCGTCAAATTTATAAAAAAACTAATCAAATTTATTAATTACCATAAGTATATAATTACTATAAAGTTTAATTTCATTAATTTTATTCTTCTAGGCACAGATCTCTCGAAGTATATTGACTTATGTTTGCCTCATCTCAGATACGAAACCACCGTAAGTTGATTAATGATAGGTTAATAAATAGTAGTAATTTCAATATAAAATTGTTGTTCTTTCCAGAGTAAAGATTTTCTAAAGGGCACTAACGAGTTTAAAAATATAAACATTCTCCGGGATAAATTTGAAAAGGCATGTAAAAAACTGTCAGCGAAAAAATGTAGAAACGCATGCAAATTTGCGTACGACGCAGCTTGTTCAATACATTCCTGTGAAAACTCATTGAAAAAAGGATTTAAGAAAGGTTGTAAGGCGGAATGTAAAACTGCATATAATCTTTACCAAGCATCGAGTGGCAGTGACGATGATTCTGAATCAGAAAGTGGTAGCGATTGAGATAAAATATAAAAAAAACCTTTACAAAAACTTTGTTTAAAAAATTGCGTGTAATATTATGTCTTTTATTTAAAATAAATATCAAGACCACAGATACTTTTTAAACCTTTGTTTGTAATTTGTTGATGACTTACGCAACAAATCCGCTCCATATTCGCAGTTAGCTAGATGATCGAACATCGCTGTCAATATTGGTAGCATCACTCCATTGATGTAGCCCAAAGATGTCGATGTCTTAAGGTGGGTACCTCGGAGATGTGCATATTTACCCTGAAAACAGGAAGAAACAATATATTTAATATACTAGCTGACCTGGCAAACGTCGTTTTGCCATGTATATCATTTATAATAAAATATAGGGGTTGATCGTAGAGGGGTGAAAATCAGGGTTTATATGTATTTTTTAATGCTGTATCATATAAAAATAAAAATTTATCTAAAAATAAAAAAAAATTAGGGGTGGACTGGACTACCCTTAACATTTAGGGGGATGAAAAATAGATGTTGTCCGTTTCTCGGACATACCCAATATGCACACAAAATTTCATGAGTATCGGTCAAGCCGTTTCGGAGGAGTTTAACTACAAACACCGCGACACGAGAATTTTATATATTTGATATATAAAATGTCAAAACCACTGGTAAAAAGTGTATATTGATAAGATGAAATAAATGTTTCATTACATTGTCTAATGTTGTAAGAAATTAGAGTAAAGAAAATGATAAATGTATCATTACTATTCCTTTAGCAAAGTCATTAAAGAACATACCTCTTGTAAATTGAATATAGTATGCCCCAAATCGTCAGCGAGATTATTGAAAAATGTCAACATGGAGGTCCTGATGAATTCCGGACAGTTCTTCACCAAGGATTTAGCATCAATGCCCTTCACAAGGACTTGTAGACAACGGACGGTTATACGTACGTCCGGGCCGAACGCTGCTAACCTGAACAAAAACGTTTAGTTAAATAAGAAATTTCTATACTTTATAATACGTGTCTGAGGAAATCGAATAAAATTTATTCAAAAATAAGAAAAAGATAAAAAGCAGATGATCATGACATGTCTAACACCGTTCTGTGTTAAAGCGTCAGTATATGACCCCAGCCTTGCGATTCTGTAACTCACTTTTCGAACTCTCACAGAGGTTTTCGCAGCGGAGGTCGCGCTCAAATCAGTCGTGAAGCAGTCATTTTTCGATTTGGCATTCTGATAAACAATAAACTACAAGCTCCCTCCGCTTGTCAAGACGTAACGTGAAATTGCTTAACAGAATACCATGAGATTCCAAAAATTACGTGAGTGACGAAGGGAGCGTTGTTAGTGCGAGGTGAACTCACGGATTAACAGAATTGCACGGCAGAAATTAAATCCCGTCGAAACAGTACTTGTTTAGGATTGAACGGTACAAGGTCGCCTATATCTAGGCCGAGGCCAAAAGACCGTGGATCAAACGCAAATAGGGGATAAATGAGGTCATCAGCATTTTTATATCGTACTAGCTGGCCTGGCGAACATCGTACCGCCTAACAGTCGATTCTTTATTTTTTTTAAATTCTTATTCTGCTATTCGGGACACCGGTCTAGCTAGTAAGATAAAAAAAAGAAAGTTGATAAGACAACAAATACATTATGTCAAAAAATAAAAATTTACCTTCCCGGAACCCCTCCACTAACATTTGAACTTTATGACATGGTATTAAAGTTCAAATTGACTTTTAAGTATTATTACGAATATTTTGTATGGGAATATAGAAAAGTGTTGTTGCTTTTCACTCAATTTTTTTAAATTTTTCTCTCCTAAACCATCCTCTACTTCAAGAAATATTATATTAAAAAAATCAGACAAATCGGTCAAGCCGTTTTCATGTTATGTCGTGACAACGGAAAACGGGTTTCATTTTTATATTATATATATATATAGATAACTTAATATTATCTTCAAAACACTCAATAAACAACTATAAATAGCATGTCTAACGCAAGGACTCATCAGTACCAATCTAGTGGATATTATGAAAAAGATACAGGCTGTAGATTTTTCGAATTTTAATAAGAATTAGTAAAAAAAATCTTATAAAAATGCAAAATAATTTATAACTCTGCAGGGGTTGAGCTTAGGGACCTCCCGTAGAACAATTTTTTGCACCTGATAACCTCATCTATCCCCTAGTTGCGTTTGATCCACAACTTTTTGGCCACCCTGTATACTATATTTTACATTTCAAGAAATAGGCGTCCAGCGATCCAGGATGTATGACATCTATTATTAAAATTCGTGATTAACTCCAAACTTACCTAGATCGTAATAGACTGGCCAATTTACAGAATAAAGCAGCCACCATTTCCTTCTCTTTCAAACTCGCTGCACCAACATTGTTAGTCGCTGTGGCAACTGCTATGAAGTAGTTACGATGTGTTGAGAAGTACTTCTCCATCAAAGGTAGTACAACCTATAACACACGCCCAATATATACGTTACGTCATTTCAGGTAGATGATACTTGAGTCTGGCTAATGAAAGAAGATAATTGAATTATTTGAAAACTTTCGGATGGCAACACAGAATGTCATTGAATTTCTTAGGTTAGTATGATTTATTGTTCATGCAATTACTCGTTTTTATTCTATAATATATTGATTCCTAATAGTTAACAGGTATGATAGCCTAATAGTAAAATACTAAATACGTATAGTATTTAATTTCATAGAAATACAGTTCATTAGTCAGTATCAATATAAAAAATAATAAAATCAAGTATCAAGTAACTTTAATCCTTTTAGGGATACCATACTAAAATTAATTGAATTTGCCGCGCTTTTTGTTATCTTCTTTCATTAGCGAGACTCTAATACATCGTATTAAGCATTATTTATAAAAACTAACACCACAAAGTACATATACAATATTTTAATACATAACGTTATTAAACTTTACATATTATTACATGTAACAACGTTTTATTATTTTGTGTTGTTTGTAAATGCTTTTATTTGAAATTGGCAGATTTTTGTGAATTGAAACTAGTTTTAATAGCGAAATGTTTTTGTTTTTAACACAATTATGTTTAAAGAACATTTCACCAATTCTTTATTTTACATTTATCCATTTTTGCAAAAAATAAAGCACTATTACGATACTCACGTGAATAAATAATGAATACGCTTACTAATCTTCACGAGAAAAGCTAATAACGAACTATCCAATTTGTTTTCACTACTATATGATCTTACAGAACAAAAAGCTTTGCGTAACACAATTGATTAGCGTGATTTGTATTTGCGATTTTTTACAATGATACATATATTATATATGAAACGGCCATGATTAGCATTCTAATGACACCATGATTGTTTATACCTTCTTGAAGTATCTTAGCTCCCTTTTGTCTTGCTTGTAATTTGAAATAAATAATCATCTAACCACATTTTCTTGTGTTTATACAAAAAAAACGTGTGTGTTATATATACTTATGTACATGCGTTAGAAGTTATACTTCTTTGGCGTAACAAGATCTTTTCAAAAATGTTATTCTACGTTTGTAGAAAAAACGACACTAACAATAGAAAAAAAGGTATTTAATATATTGAAAGTTTTATTATAACGCATTATCTGGTTAAATAAAGTTTATTTAAATATCACAAAAAAACTAAAATCTTGACTATAGCTAAATTCAGGGTGTCGGTTTCTTGTGACGGTGCGCGCGCGCATCGTAAAAATCTACTCTCATCATATTTCCCTAACGCGCCAAAGGAAGTATAACTTCAAAAAAATTTTTTACTTTTGATTAGATTTATAGTAATTATAAAACTTTGTGAACATACCTTAGAGAAGAACTTAATATCCCTCGTGCTTGTCTTAAAGCTGGATCGTCTACTGAAAGTAGTAGACGGTTTTAGAAGCTTCATATTAATTGTCGCGCGGTCGATATACTGGATCAGTTTCTCTAACAAGGAATACGCGAATCTGAGCTCTATTGCGACACCCGTAGTGGTCTGTTCCGTGTCAATTTGGGAAGCTTTGCTGGGTCTGTGTAGTTTGTAACCCTGGTATTGAAGGTATTTGAGGAATTCTTGGGACCTTTCGCGGTCTTTTTTCTTCTCCTTGTCGGTTAAGAGATCGTAAGGAACTAGTTGCGGATGGATACCACCTTAAAGTGAAGCATATTTATTTTAGTTTCACAAAACTTACTTATTTTATTTTACTTTAATACTACTTAATTAGTTTAACTAGATATTTTTGTTGACAATGATTTTATTAATACAAAAATGCATGGCAATCAATTTCGAGTCAATGTACTAATCATAATGATTTAGGTTAAGTAGAAGAGAACAAGACTTATAATTATATGTACATCTTTATTTCTCACGGCTAATTCTTACTTAGCCGATACGTTAATAACTGCAAGTCAAGACATATCAACTCTTTTTAAATAAATAGTTGTAAATATTTCGGATAATTTTACCTCCATTGGTAACAAGTTCTTCTTTCTTCTTCTTCGCCCAGATATCGTGCGCGTTATCAGCTAACCTCTCAGCCATGTTCTGCATCTCCCTTGACAGAGTCAGATTGGTCATATCCACTGGATGTGGGTTGTAGTTGAAGGGCGTTGCTGAGTCCTAAATAAAAAAAATATTTTTGTATTTTAGCTCTTATAATATAATATAATATAATATAATATAATATAATATAATATAATATAATATAATATAATATAATATAATATAATATAATATAATATAATATAATATAATATAATATAATATAATATAATATAATATAATATAATATAATATAATATAATATAATATAATATAATATAATATAATATAATATAATATAATATAATATAATATAATATAATATAATATAATATAATATAATATAATATAGCAATAGAATAATTATTATAGAATAATTGAATTTGAAATGATACAATATTTTTTTATTTAGTTTTATATTTTTTAAAGTTAAAAATCTCATATTTATCTTACCAAAGAATCTGGTGTTCTCTGATAGCAAACCAAAAGGACAATAAATTAATCGTTGTATAATTTGGATTACTTCTAAAGCCATAAAGAAATTTATATTACCATCCCTCCTTCCTTATTGCATGAAACAAAATGTGTTTTACATGCAAAAGTTGACACGTAAGTTAAATTTAAACCAAATTTGGTGTTATTTAGATAAACAAAACACTTTAAACCTTACACTGAACAGTAAAAACAATGAAATAAATAAATTATTAGAAATAACAAAAATTCATTTAGCAACAACTTGTCTACTTACAATGCCACTCTTAGACTGTCGTCTCATGGAACTCCTATTGTTGCTGGGTATATCCACTTCCGAATGTTCTACAGACCAGCCAATAGCAAGAAGAGCCTTGAGGGATTCACGAACGGGCTCCTTGTAACGTTCTTTCTCCTGAAATAAAAGTATTTATCGTTGATTTCATGTTTGAATTCTCCAATCGACTATCAGGTTGTTAATGTCGTGGTGGCTAAGCGAGAGTCTTAATGAGCTGCCCATTAAAGTATTTCCGAACCACTTATCACTTAACGGTATCACTTAACATCAGGTGAGCCTCCTGCCCGTTTGGCCCCTGTTGTTTTATATAAAAAAAGGTCAAGCGTTCGAAGGCTACATATACGATACAATGATGAATCTGGTCTTCAACACAGTAGGCTGATTCGCTAATTGCTTTTTAAATCGATTTGCAAATCAATTAAAAAATATTCGTGGAAATAGATAACTTCATGGCAGAGACCAAGAGTTGAAGCGCCAATGATTTTCTTTTGGTTTTTTGTCAGTATCACGGAACTAGATTGTTAAACACACATTTTATTTTGAATAATTAATTAAATATAACATTTTATTGTTGAGATTACGTGAAAAAGGTGAACTTACATAGTCATTGAGCATGTTGTAGGGTTTCAAGCGTGGGTGCGTCTTTTGGCTATCAGACCAGTTTTCACCGTAGACCCAACCATTTTCGATTTTTCTGAAAAATATGTCCTTTTGATAACAAACATTATAAATGACTCAAATTTCCGTTCATATTATATTAGTTAAACAAACTTTCATATTCTAAACAATCTAAAGAATCTTAAGAATTTTGAATTGAAAATAAGTCCTTCAAGACGGTATTTGCGTCGAATTCTTATAAGGCCGGCAATGCACTTGCGAGCCCTCTGGCAATGTGAGTGTCTACATCAGGTGAGCCTCCAGCCCATTTTCCTATACACAAATAAATAAACCTAGAAAAAATGCTTAAATTTTAAACAAAAAGTTATAAAATTCTAACCTTGACGCCCAAGCATCATGATAATGTTCGGAGAACTTCTGAACGATTGTGTTAAGGTCGTTATTGAGAGCCACCGATGAGGTATTGATGGGCTGAGGGTCGTACTGTGGATTGTCTGCGCCTGAATACAAAGACCTCTTTAAAAATCGTTAAATAAAAATATGCAATCTCTTTGGACTTAAACTCCTTGGTTATAAAGTCACGAGCCTGTTTCTTTAAATAAAGAACATAATGTGTATTTGAGATTGGAAATTAAAAACAAAAGAATAAAAACAACTAAGCTACTTGGTCATCACTATAAAATATTACGATTTAGAAAGATTTTTGATTGAAATATTAAATTACCTGCAGCCTGAGTATCCTTGCCATAGAACTCGTCATCATAGTTCTTTGAGAGTGAATAGTCAGGAGGAAGAGCGCAACCTGAAAGTATTGTTGAGTTATATAATCTTTTACTTCACAGTTAAATGCTTGGGTATTTAGAAGAATTTTTTGGTTTATTGAATTATTACACTGTCACAGCTAAATTAATACGCCTTTTTTAATCAAATTTTATTCATTGTTTGATACAATACACGAAACAAACGCAGGCTGCAATTTCCCCGTACTAGACTATCTAAAGTTAGTAATTCTTTTTTGGGGAAAGGGATACTCTTCTTTAATAAAATCCCAGAGGCTCTTTTATCACTGCCTTTCAATAAATTTAAGAAACGTATTAAAGAAAAGCTGTGTAAAAAGGCTTACTATAAAGTCAACGATTATCTAGTTGATAAAAGGGCCTGGGACTAGTGCTAGACAGGCTACTTCTAATTAATTTGCGATATTTGTTTTAAATAAGTGTTGTTTGATGATTTGCTGTTTTAAAAGAGTACCGAGAGTTTTTTACGCCGGCTTTTCTCCTCGGCTCGGCCTACACCCTCTGTCTTCTTTGCCGATGAGTAGGGATGCCTAAAAGTTCAAATTGAATGACGTGGAATAAGTGATACATGTATCTTATGTTCCATAATAAACATATTTTATTTTATTTTATTTTTACACATTTTAGTAAAAATTTACTATATCATACATATATAACGCATAAGAAATTGATTTATTATTCCTAAGTAAGACTGGTAACATATCGCAAAAGCTCCCATTCCCCACTTGCTCTCGCAGCTTAATAGTTTTCTCGACTCTTCTGTCCGACCTATTTGTAAAGCGTATGGGGACGTAATATACTGTGATTTAAAAACCTACTTAGAAAAGATTATTGTATAGCAAAAGATTTTTTAAAGATTACTTTTAATAAAATTAACTAATTACCAATAGCAATTAAGCAAGGAAGAGCTTTTCCAAACAACTCTGGCTCGTAGTCCATCTTGCTGAGAGAGTCGAAGATGTTCGAGAAGAGCATCATTGTGAGTCTCTTTTCTTCATCAGACGAGGATCCGTAGGAGCCTTGACCGCTGGTACTGCCATAGTACTTTGCACATCGCTCGTAGTGCAATGTTAAAAGCTGGAATACGAGAGTATATTTGTTTTCATTTTAAAAACTTTTCTGAATTTGGTTTTGCGCTTGGAAGGCGCTGAAGTGGTGATCATAAAAACATGATTAGAGAAACATAGTTAAAATTGTGTCCAGCACCGACTTGTTCTTTAATCTTCTTTTTATATTTTACATTTACTTCTAAATGAATCAGAAACACTAGGGCATTAAAAAAAAATCATAACCCAAAAAACAATATTGTTTTAGTTAGTATTTAGGAATACATCGTGAGAAGCCGGCATATCTTATACTTTAGTTGACGGCGTGTGTCAGACACATATGTCACCTGTACTTGCTTATTAGAAAGAAAATTATCACGATACAGAAATCTGGGGCCTAGATCTCAAAGGGTGTGACTACCCTGTTATAAATAATGGATAGACAAGGCCAAATACATCAATCACACATACCCTTAAAGCCACAGTAGTATATTCAGACAATCGGGAGACGTCAACTGTAAGTTTTCTCAAAAGCTTGAGTAACATGGAAGGCTGCATGGCGGATGTCAGAGCAACTAAAAAGTCTGACACGGCCTCACGCTGACCCTTTGTCAGCATACGGTTCTTTGATAATCTGAAAGTAGTTTGAAAAATTTTAGGCTACTTTTCATCATAGACTAGAGACTATAGTTGATGACCACTATTGTTATAAACTTATAAAGAGAAGGACTCCGCGTCTTCTAAATAATATAATTATTTTGTTATATATAATTTATAATAAAGTTTATTTGATATGTTATTTATTTATTTTATTTATTTCCATATAATTATTCTACCTTTACATTAACTAATTCGATAAACAAAAGAATATTTTACCCACACCAATTAACCTAAATACAAAACATTAACAGAATATATTTATGTGCCTAAATCTTATAACTATATTAGGAAGCCTTTGTGAACTCAGCCAGTGTACAAACAAATAAGTCTACCTTAATAAAATCTTATTTATTATGTGTATTGCTCCGTGAGTGGTGCTTCGCTAACCAAGTTGGAATGTGCCGGTACATCCAAAAGTTGAGACTTCCGCCTCAGGTTTCTACTTGGTACCCGTAGACTCAGTCTCTCCATTATGTCCGGATTATGAACCCGACCCGTAAGTATCTTAAATATATACACCGACAAGGCTAGCTCTCTTCTGAGGCGTAGCTGGTCATATCCCACCATACCCAGAACAAACAGGGTCGGGTACATAAGTGGATACAAAGGATACACTCCATACAGTCTCATGTAGAGGTACCGGGTGAATTTATTTTGTATTCGCTCTAGCATGAGACTGTATTTAGCCTCATATGGGGCCCACACCATTGCATTGCACTCCAAGTGACTTCTGACTAACGCATTGTATAAAATTTTAATCGCATTGATATTTGTGAAGCCACAAGCTATTCGCAATATGAACCCTAAATTTCTGTATGCCTTTTTGCAAGTCTTATCGACTGTTGCGCAAACCCAAGATTGGCATTAAAATATATTCCTAGATCTTTAACCTCCGATACTCTAGCTAACACTAGACCACTAATAGTATAATTGTATCGAGTGGGAAATCGTGCTCTCGAGAAAGATATGACTTTGCATTTCGCCAAATTAAACTCTAATCTATTTCTCCTGCTCCAATTTACCACTCGATCAATGTCTTCCTGCAGCCGCATACAGTCGTCTGTACTTTCTATGGGCATGTAAAGTTTGATATCATCAGCGAAGAGCAAGCACTTTGCATTCTTGACAACTTTTGGTAGGTCATTCAGCATTATCATAAATTCCATCGGTCCCCAAATTACTGCCCTGTGTCACGCCTGATCTCTAAATAACTTCTGACCTACACCCAGCGTATTCCACGTATTGCGTTCGATCTTCCATAAAGCTAGCCATGAAGTTCAATAAGTGTGGAGTGAATCCTACCTGTGCAAACTTCTGCAAAAGCACGTCGTTATCGACCAAATCAAACGCTTTTTTAATATCGAAATAGGCAGCGTCCACCTGCTTTCCACTATCCACTACTGGGCTAATATTACCATATAATTTAAGAGGTTGCTAGTGGTACTCCTCGTAGACCGAAACCCGTGTTGAGCTTCTGAGAGTTGGGAACTCACTTGATTAAGTATGCACTTTTGAAGTGCCGTTTCCAACACCTTCGCCGGACTTGACAATATAGCTATCGGCCTATGCTGTTCTACTTTATCCGCATCCTACTTTAGGAAACTGGAATTACCCGACTGCTTTTCCAACATGTGGGAAATGTTGCTGCTTTCAGACACAGGTTATATATGTGTAGCAGTGGTTCAGCAAGTACAGCCACAATCTCTCAAGATATAAGGCGGTATACCGTCCGGGCCTGCTGCCTTTTTGGCTTAAGTCGCTTAAGTGCCTCCTGTATATCGCTTAACTGTAAGCTCCCAACGTGGACTCTTGCAGCCCCGTTTGAACAACCCGCTCCGCACCTCGCTGACGTCGAGCTTTGGCTTTGCTAACTAAACAGAGCTAAAATACTCGGCAAATGCTTTAACACTCCTATCCGGCGGTAGTACCTCTCCGTTCTCAATAATACCTGATGGTTCTCTATTGACTCTGTTACTATTAATAAATCTCCAGAATGACTTGGGATCTTCAATCACATTTGATTCAACAGCCTTAGTATAATTTTCAAGAGCCAATGCAATTAATTTCTTGACTTCAGCTCTGCAACAGCTAAACTCTTTGAATCTCTTGGGGATTTAGTGACCTTGTATCTCTTATGCAGCGTGGCTTTTTGTTTAATTTTTTTAATTACCTCCTTTTGTGTACCATTTTGGATATAAATACCTTGAGTATCCTAGGTTCCTGGAATTTTTGGCACGCATTCCTCAAAAGAGTTTAACTATAATAGAAGCAATTGAGACTCAGATTTAATCAACGAGTACTCAGACCATCCACTTCTCTACCTTAGAATACAATGCATTAAAATCAGCTTTCTTAAAATTCCACTGTAACAAGCGCTCACCCGTTTTGCCGCATCATCCCTTGAAGAAACCGCCCAAACGCGTGGACGCACGCACACAAGAAGCGGTGGATGCTGACGTCTACAGGTACTAAAGGTTCATCCATCTCACACACCCCACGCTTTGCATTCCCCTACCTTTGCTCAGAACCAAGTCTAATAGACGGCCATTAACATTTTGTATATTGTTACACTGACTGAATTCACAATAGTTACTAAAGTAATCCAAAAATAAGTATTTACATTGTTTGAACAAGAATATAAATTAAAGTCACCGAAACAATACATCATCATACTTGGAACAAAATTCTTCAATTGTTTTGAGCAATAAAAAGTATTCATCATCATTCGTATTGGAGGAGTATAACTACTAATAAACATGATCTACTTTTTAATAGAATCCAACTTTCACGGGCGAGTTCATGCAAATCACAGGGCAAAATTACGCGGCGCAGTTCCAGCGTGGGGAAGCCACGAGACATACCCACCATGCTTGCGCCCATCCACACGGTCACATCGTAATACCGTATATCTGGGAGGGACTAACTCAGTCAGCTTCGAATCATTACATCCTGTTTCCCGTAACTGCAAACAAATCTACAGAGATTGATGAGACACTCATATAAAATTCCTTTATCTTGGTCCGAAGACCCCTCACATTTTGGTAACATATCTTAATAGGTCTACTTCCATCGTTTTGGGTTATTTGGTGATCTCGAAACCACACCCAATCACAGTATTCTACATTAATAGGCCAATTATCCGGTTTACATAATAATTCATATTCATATTCTGGTACCCCGATAATGAATGATGCGTAATCCTTTTCCCTTTTATGATTAATCTGTTCAACTCTTATAGACACTTCCCTAGCATATATGACGTTCTTAACATAGTTCTCCAGACATTCTAAACTTGTCTCTTTGTTTAACCGCCACACATGCAGAAACTTTTTCCGCTCAGCTCCACAAATCTCCACTACATCGCTTCTACCTCCTTTTTTTACCTCACAGCTGGGGTATTTTCCACGTTGATATTTCCCAACTCTTTCCTTTGTCTTATCGCCACAGTTTTCCCTTTCAACATTGGTTTCAATTTCTTGTTCTTTATTTCTACATGCTACATCTTCCGTTACCCTATTTGTTTTCCCCGTAACAGCACTCTGCTTTAAGTTGTTGTTTTTTATTTGGCTCGAGCTCTGTTTTGCAGCATTCGCAAACGAGACCACCGGTGAGTACCTATCTCACATAGTGTTCCGGCTATCGGGCTCTTATCCAAAGAACAGTTCTTAAGGTAATTTTCATTTTGTTTCAATTCATGGACCTGTAGTGCATCCACTTCAAAGGTCTTCTCCTTTATAACCCTCATACTTTTTCGTAATTCTTCTAATTCTCTTTCAGATTTGTTAAATCTTCCCTGGAGTTCCTTATATTGCTTTCCTTGTTCTTCAAAACGGCTATTCATTTCCTGACAAAAGTCCTGCATCTCTTTCAGCAAAAATACTGTGGTACTTTTGGATCAAAGCTTCAAAGATTCGTGGACTTGCCTTTTTGGTGACAAATGATCCTGCATCTCCTCACTTATATACCGATCCCCTTTTGTGCCCCCTGCACGAACAGTCTGAACATTTCCAAACATCTTTGTCTTGCTGATTCATTAAAACTAATTTTTCTTTACTAACTTTGATGCATTCAATATGAAAGCTTTTATGACATTGCACTCTGCAACACTTTAAATATAAAGAATTAATTATCTTCTTATTACATTTATTGCAATCCATTGAGTCCCAATTCTTGTATAATAAAAATTATAAAAAGAAAAACTATATAAAATATATTTGCTGACTGGTCTTGAACTCAGATCACCGATGACGACCACTTTCAGTAGGCGTAACACTGGCGCTGCCACAACGACCGATGGTGGTATGCTTGAATAACTTGTATATTATTATTTTAACGTATGAAGTTTGAAAGGAAATGACTAATGCAAAGTAAACGTTTACTTTCTGCAGGTCACATACGCACTTTTTTTTCTTTTTATTTTTTTCCACAAGTCCACATACAAATTCCAAGTGTCTTATATAGAATTTATTACTTTTTATGTCACTTGCACTAGAATAGTTACCGCACTTTTAGTTCTTTTGATAAATTCGAAGAATGAATTTAACAAATTTAAAAACATAAATTTTCCTGTTATATCCACTTCCGAGGAAGGAGATATCTTTTGCTGTGGTATATATTTCACTACTAAAGTTTGTTATTTACGTTTTATTACGTATCTTCAATAATTACTATTTTTAAACAATTTATTTATGAGGACTGGATGTTGACGTTGCGCCTACCCGCAGTAATAAAAGTTTATTTGAAATGTTATTTATTTATTGAAGTATAAAATTTAGAGACCCAAGACGGTTGGTCACCGTGGGGAAAGCGACCATCCCTCCATCTACTCCCTCCCACCCTAAACAATACTTTCAACTGAGAAACAATTTTATACCAAACAAATATTTACCACTTCAACACATTATCCCTAAAGTCTAAAGAAAGCCTTAAAGAACTTCTATATTCATCAAAAATATTAAGTGGGACATTATAGGCCTGAGCAAAGAGGATGGCGAATCAATTCAGGAATACGATGAAGTCATATTATATTATAAAGGTGAAACTCCAGGAAGACATGGAGTAGGTTTCCTGATCAAGAAAGAACTCAAAAACTCTATAGTGGAAATAATCGGCATCAGAAAGATCGCTATATTGAATGTTAGAATCCCTCCAGGCAGAGAAACTGGTCAAGTGCAAATATATCACCAGCCAACGAGTTCAGAGATCGACCTTTTCTACTCATCCCTTAACACCGCCCTAAAAGAACACACACACAAAAACTGCATTATAATGGGCGATTTCAATGCACGTGTTGGAACCCCAAGAAACGGTGAAGATGTCTACTAGGTCCTCAGTACTGGAAAACGAACACGAAACGGCAAAAATGATGGAAATGGCATTTGAAAATAATATGAAAATAATGAATAGTGTATTCAAAAAAGAGCTTCCAGAAGATGGACATGGATATCACCAGATGGTCGATACAAAAATGAAATAGACTACTTTTTTAACGAACAGACCCAAATCAATCGACGACTGTGGCACCATCTCTACCCTTAACTTCAACAGTAACCATAGAATGCTTGGAGCGTGTTTAAACCTCATTTAGTTTGAAGTTATGTCGACCCTTCAAAATTAAAACATCCACAATGGCACCCTTTGCCAACATAAAAGAAAACCTCAAGTCCGTGCAGGTATCATCGCTCGACACCTAAAAACTCAAGAGAAATACACTATACACGAGATACTAACAGCAAGATCGAAAACCACGTCTAAAACCAAATCACAGGACAATGGCCACATATCACTAAACAAAAGACCTCATAGAAAAAATCAAAATTAATTAAAATGACTTACAAAACAAAATCTATCAGAGAACAAATAGGAAAAACTAGCAAAGAAATTAAGAGCCAAATGAGAAGAGACAGAGAACGTCTTAGACGTGACACTTTTGAAAACATATTATCAAGACGGGTGGCATAAAAAAAGGCTCTTAAGCTCTTATCTGACAATACAAAGTGGATACCTAATATGAAAGACCAATTTTGCAAGACAAGGACTTCAGATCGGATTTTTATCAATAGCCACAAAATTCTATGAGAACCTTTACTCCACAATATCATACTTACAATATAGACTTAACGCAACGATAATGTTCCTCATTAATAGAAGCAGAAATAAACAAACAATTGAATCCCAGAAGAAGGATAAAGCTTCCGAGCCCCTGACGGATCAATAATGATATGCTTCAAGTCTGCAAAAAAGAGATATCACCACTACTAAAATACATCTTTAACGATATACTGAGCCTGAACAAATTCCGTTACAGTGGACCACATCAACGATCATCCTCCTCCACAAAAAAAGGTGACAGGAGTGACATGAACAATTATAGGCCGATAAGCTTAATGTCAAACATCTATAAAGTCTTTGCGAAAGTAATTTTGCGGCGAATAACCAGAAATCTGGACGAAAATCAACCTATAGAGCAGGCTGGTTTCAGGGCGGATATTCAACATTAGACCATATACTTACGGTAAGACAAATATTTGAGAAAACCAAAAGAATTCAATGTGCCGTTCTTGTTGCTTCATAGACTACAACAAGGCATTCGACTCAATAGAGCACGAAAATATCTGGCACTGCCTCAAAAATCAAGGAGTCGACCCAAAGTACATCAGAATATTAAAAAATATATACACGAATAGTACCGCTAGAATAAAACTAGAAAAAGTAGGAAAAGAAATCAAAATAAATAGAGGTGTACGTCAAGGAGACCCCCCCTATCACCTAAATTATTCACAGCTGTACAAAGACATCTTCAGAGAATTAAAATGGGATGGGTACGGACTAAACATAAACGGGGAACAACTAACACACCTACGATTCGCCGATGACATCATACTATTTGCTACAAACAAAGAGCATCTAAGAATTATGATTACAGACCTGGAGAGGGAAAGCCGCAAGGTAGGGCTAACAATGAACACCTCAAAAACTAAAGCCATGACGAATGCATCAGAAATATTATTATAGTAAATGGAGAGTCAATTGATTATGTGAAAGAGTACACATACCTGGGCCAACTGATCTCAACACTGGTATAATGTCGAAGGAAATTGATACAAGAATTGGGAAAAGTGGAAATGTACTGGGGCTTAGCGAAATCATGAAAAACACAGAAATAAAAAAAATTCAACAACTGTAAACACTGCATCTTCCGTAACAACGGCTCCAAACTGCCTCACTAATGCAAACCAGGCAATTGAAGACATCGACCGATGGAAAGAACTCTAAATATCAGGAAGTCCGACAGAATCAATAATAAAATCATACGAAACCACACGAAGATTGAAGACGTCACAACGAGGATACGAAGATTGAAATGGAAATGGGCTGGTCACGTAATAAGAGGTATAGAAAAGTGGAACAAAAAGATCATATTATATTGGTACCCAAGAAATAATAAAAGAAAACGAGGTAGACAGTTTCGAAGATGGGAAGACGAAATAAAATCCGTAACTGGGAAAATTTGGACCAGGAAAGCTCAGAACAGAGCAGAGTGGAGAGAAATGGAGGAGGCCTTTGCCAAAGTTGGGCAAACAGATGGGTTGTCGGTGTCACCGACTCACTAGTGTTAAGTTTAAGTTTAAAATTATGTTATTATTTTCTATCTGATTAAAGGCTTTATTATTATTTATTTATTGAAGTCTAAAATTTAGTGATTAGGCCTATCTAGTATGTGTTCACAGACTGCTGATTTTGTGTGTCGTCTATGTCTTACGTGTAATAGTGTTTATTCTGTTATATTTGCGAAGAATTCGAATGAGATGTGAATTCCTAGGTTAGCTTTTACAGATGGAATTTGAAAAATTCCTCTTATTTTGAACCTATAAATGAATGAGGAACCACAATATCAATGTTCTGAAGAGGTTACTGTACTGGATTTAACCATTTATCAAGTGTTTTCTATTCATAAGTGTTGTAATGAATTAGGGACAATGACATAATTCCATATTTTTAATAAATTTTCTAATTATTTGTAATGTGCTTTACTATTAATACACGAAAATAACCTAAAGCCCAGTTTTAAAGACCAATTTCAAAAGTGTATTCTGTATTTGTTGTTGTGTAATTTTGAAGCAAATCTTAAACTCATACTGACCTATACACAGTATGAAGCGTAGCATCAAGCAAACTAGCGTAGTTTTCAGCCTCGTTGTAGAAGTTAGCATGTTTGATAAGCAACGGGAGTATGGAGTTGCCGATGTATCTGTTCATTGATAAGGCCATGTCTGACTCGCATCCGTCGTTCTGAAATTTTTTTATAATATTAGGAAGAAGAAAGAAAGTACCGTTCTTATCAAATGGTATAACAAAACGCATCATCTAAACCAGTGATTACCAACCTATTTTGCCATGTCCCACTTTTATTTGTGGTGGACACCCCTTATCACTTAGGGGTTTGAAAGATAGATAGTAGCTGATTCTAAGACTTACTGAATATGCATAAAAAGATTCATATGAATCGGTCGAGCCGTTTCGGAGGAGTAGGTATGGAACGAACATTGTGACATGACAATTTTATATATTAGATTGTCTTATTTAGAAGAATTTTAAAAATTGATATTAAAACATACCCTGTCTAACATAGTAGCAGCTCTAAGATCAGGAAGGAAGGCCTCTTCCAGGAGTCGATAGAATAACTCCTGCGTTTCAATTCCATATACTCGTTCCAGGAAAAGTCCTACACTCTGCTTATGTCCTGGTATTAAGCCGGATGGCATGTCTAAAAAATACAATTTTGTATGAAAACATCGTAAATTTAATCAAAATAAAATCTTTCACTTTTCAAGATTTTGATATCATGGCACCAGAACCCAATATGTCTTTTTATAATATATTTGAAAAATTTCTAAAGAATTAAATAGTATTTATAATTTTAATAGTATTAATATATATGATATGTATTTTGCTTGAAAATAAATCAATAAATAAAATACTCAAAATAGAATTTAATAATAATTGCCCCAAGAAAAGTAACGTGTTCTCATTTTGAACTTTCTTAAATGTAGATTGTAGACTTTAGATAGTTTTTTCGAATTACGATTTACCAGATTTAGGCCTCTCTTCGCCAGCAGCCGGGTTGTTGAGAGTGAATCTCAAACTGAGTACGCCTTGGAGGTCCTCCAATGGGACCAGGGACCTTAAGATGGCTCGGGCACGAAGGGATTCGTTTTTACCCTGTAACAGCAAAGTATAGCATGATTTTCTATTGGAATTAAAAAATAACAGAGTTTAGAAAATACCTATATGTGGATCTCAGTATACTTAGTAATATAATAATAGGTTTAGTATTAAAAAGCCAGCAACGCACTCGCGGACCTCTGGCATTGAGAGTGTCCATGGGCGGTATAACTTAACATCAGATGAACCACCTGCCCGTAGGCCTTCTGTTCTATAAAATAAATATATAATTAAAAGACATGCATGATAGTCGCAGACGCGGACAGGTAGAAAATATTACAAGAATGAGTTACCAGTGCGATAACACCTGCATCGGGTGCACAGCGTCCCAACAAGTCCACAAGAGTACAGTAGAAGTTCAAAATGGCGGCGCCTGTATCTATGTAATCTTCATCGTCGTCTGACTCGGGTAACGGGTGGCTGAACTGTAAAAAAAATATATTTGTGAAAAGGATAACTTTACCAAAGACATGCCAGTATTGTAAATTCCTCCTAGGGTGAAATGAATAAATAAATCATAAGCGCTACAACCTTTTTAGTTCTCGTCCTCAGATTTCTGAATCTGTTTAATGATCATTTATCATCTAATAGGCAAGTAGGTGATCAGCGAGCTGTGCTACGTTGTGTTTTCCTTTACCGTTCGAGCGAATGTTTACTTCGCACATGGAAAGTCAATTGGTGCACAGCCAGAAATCGACCCTGCGACCTTAGGGATGAGAGACGCACGCTGAAGCCACAAGGCCAGCGTTTAAAAATATCTGCTGCTGCGGTCAGGTATCAAATTTGGGTCTTAGGATATTTAAGTTATAATATAAAAAAACATTTTAAAATGTTCGTTTTGGTAGTAATAAATGAATTTTCATACATTCACAAATTATAATATAACATTTTCGTTTCCGAGAATGTCCAGTTGGTCAACATCATTTATATTATGGGTAAAAGATACGCCACTCACTTTTAAAAACATAAATAAATACATAACTCAAGTTACAGTTTTTGTTAGTCCAGCATCGCAACCCCACTATTCCTAATTGTATGTATAAGCAAGGGTTTTAAACGATTAAAGCCAGTTGACACTAAGCTTTGAAAAGTGTTTCATTTATTTCAACACCCCTCCAGGCTCCAACAACCGCCACCGAACTTAACTCGATCTTAATTAAAATTTTAACCCAGTATGTCATAGTTTAAATTTCATAAACCAGTATTTGTGAAAGTAAGTCTAAAGAATACTTACACTGATATCTCCCTCCTGCTCTAAATCCCTTAATTTCCTTCTATCTGCGATCCTTTCACTCATCTTATTAGCGTCTACTATAGCCTTTAATAGACCTTCGCCTTCACCCCTCAACGCTGGACCCAGACATTCCGGTCTTCTGATGAGAAGACGGATAACAAGATTTGCATTTTCTTCTACGCTTTCACCGTTGACCTAAAATTAGTTTTAATTTAAAAATTATTATTACTTTCCTTATTTTAATTAGCGTCTTTTAATAAGCTATTAATTAAAAATGGTCGCTTACCCAAACACAGAATCTTAGGAAATCCAGATAACGTTCTCCCTCCACTGGATCCCAACCCAAGTCTGGGTAACCTTTCTCTATCAGTTCAGAGTTACTTTGAAGACCACAACGAGACAAGTACACCGCTATCTTCTCCAAATAGTGTTCTCTGGAAGATTACAAGCCCATATTAAAAACATTATTTAAGTTAATGTTAATGTTTACTTAGTTTATTACTTTCTTTGATATATACTTATATAGTTGAATAAAATCATTTTATTGTTACCAATCCAGTTAATATTATTAGTACTTAACTATATGTAAAGATTTATTTAATGACGTAAAAAGAACATTATATTTAGTTAGTAAATAATAAGCTATAAATCTTTCTCAATAAATAAAAATAATAAAACAAAAATGATTAAGCATCGAACAGCCGTTCTAAATATCAATCGAGCATATTGACCCACAATCTCAAGACCTAAGCATAAGAACTAACCTCAAAGCGAGAGCCAGCTCAGTATTCTCCATGAGACTCGAGTACGCGACATCTAGCGGAGTGGATCCTCTTAAAGATGGCCTAGCGAGCAGAATGTTGGAGTTCTCGAGAAGGAAGTCGAAATGGTCGAACATGGCTTTCTGGTTCTGTCTGCCCGTGCGACAGAAGTAGCAGAGGAAACGACAGCATGCCACCACCATTTCGTGCGAAGTGTCCTGTACGTAAATTTATAAGATTGAAAAAAACTTCACTTGTTTTAACTTGAATCGCTGGACTTAAATCTAGTTTCTTTAATTTGTGGCCAGCGAGTTCACTGAAAAGCACTCGCAACAGCACTTTATTAGAGTGTTCACTTTACTAATTCCTGTAGAAATCGGTATTGCTTTAACCGGATTGTTGCCGAAAGTTCTCTTTTTTCGTACATTTTTACTTGAATTACCTTTTCCTTATCCTCAGGAGTTGGCGGTGAAGTGGCAGGGGCGTCAGATTGCGCCTGCGCACGTCGGCCTAGCGTGTTCATCATTACGGCCATCACGTTCTCGTGTACACGTAACACTCTTTATGGAGTTTAATAATTAAAAATGTGTTTATAAAAAAACGATTTCTCAAATCAAAACTAAAGAAAAGATAACGATAATAATAATGTTTAGGCTTTCATAAAAATACGCGATTTCAATAAAGAACATACCTGATTAAATCCGGATGTTGGAAGAAAGTGTGATTGTTGACGAGTTTCCTGAAAATGGGTTAATAATATGACGCATATAATATGCAGACCGTAATGCACAGGTGAAGACCAGAACAAGATAAGTCTGTCTGCTCCAGGTGATTTTAACTAACGTTTTTATTTCCATCACACAAATATACATTATTTACTATATTCTTAACCTACATGGTAATAATAAAATTAACAATTAAAAACGAATTAATAGAAAATTAAAACAAATTTATAAACTTTGGTCCCTGTGGCAGGGTAGGTACCCTGGTACAATGCTGGCAGCATTCACTCGCTGTATTGAGATGTTTATTCGTTGAGCGAGAAAAGGGCTCTGGGGTCTACCAGGCGCCAACTTAAATTTTTTATAAGCGCCTGTACACAGCCCGCTTGAGGCTCAAGAGTAGAGACTCCAAAGGGAACAAAATCAAAGTTGGAGGAAAAACTCTTATATTTGAGTTTGATACTTTTCGCCTGCTCTACGGTCGCGCCAGCTTGTGTTTAAGATTGTCGAAAGATTGACTATCATTCTACAATTTCTAACAAAGACATCAACTAACAAGAGCCATGTAATTATAGCAAAAATATCCTAAATTCATATTGTTTTCATTAATGAGCTGGCGTTTGCTGTAATTTTTTAACTCACCACAATCTCTTTCTCATAAGTTCCTCTTCCTCCTGACTCATTTGAACGGGCAATAAGGCTCTGATCTGACTCAGTCCGACCCACATTTCTGCTACGTCTAGTTTGGTTTTCGCATTGATTACATATGTTTTCTCAAGCGCACGGATTAGTTCTCCCACCGCATCGTATTGACGGACCAGAAGACTGAAAATTGTATTAATTTAGAAATGCATACTAGGTTTAGTTACGTTACGTTAGTTAGTAGAGAGCACAAAAAATTAACTTAAATGCATTTAAATTTAGCAAGCGTTAACTATATTTTAACCGACTATAATGGGAGGTATGTATATTGATGAAAATGGAAAGAAAGTGTATATAATATGTTATCGAGATATGGGGTAAATGCTTTGCTAAAGGGTATATATAAATATAGGTAAATAGTGTTGACAGGTGAATTCCACTTAATAAGGGCCTCATAGCCTAGCGGTCCTTTTAAGTGGCAGCTAGGTAAGGGGTACCGGGTTCGATTCCCGGTTCGAGGACAAGTTTTAATTTAATTTAAATTTGTTCTCGGCCTTTGGGAGGGTTGTGCGGTACAAGGCGAGTGCCTTAACCTACATGGAGATACACGGTGCCTAATGCAAGCACAATTATAAAATCGTGCCAGAGCCATTAAAAAAAAAAAAAAAAGTGTTACTAGCCATTTACAATTAATTCAGTAGTATATTGCCTCAAGAAAGAAGTAGAATACGTGGCTTTTGGTATAATTTCAGAAATTGGTTTTTTAAAGTAAAAGAACTTGTAATTCATTAACAGAATTTGGAAAGATTTATACCTGAACATTTCCCTAACGAGTTTGGGCGTTTCGATTTGCGACTCCTCAGCCCAGTTGACGATTGTCTGAATCAAAACTTTACGGAACTTCTCTTCTGGAGTCTTCTTCTTTTCTTCTTCGAGGGCCTGAGGGAAACATAATTATTTAAATTACAATTTAATGTAATAAGTTTGTTTGGTGGTTTTGTTAATAAAATAATTCCTTTATAAATAACATTATGTTCAACATAGTTTTGGTGTTTATTAATTTAATATGAAACGATGTTTTAAAAGATTTAGTGTAATTTCAAACAATAATTGGGAATATGTCCGCCAAAGGCTAATCCGTGCTGAGTTTAGTTGGATCAACTACTAAAACACTTTCTAATGTTAGAATCTATTTGTAGTTGTGGTAGTGTTTTCCTCAAGCAACGAACTCAGACGTCGTATAGCCTATGAATTCGGCTACCGTTTCACAATTTTGTGAAAAAGGTGGTCTCTGCGAGGACCGTGACAAAATAAATTTCTTGTGAAGATCTTTGCAGGGCGGTAAATACAAAAATGCTAAGTTGTGACTTCAAAAATTGTCTCTTATTTATAAAAATGATTATGCACGTTAGCATCGAGGTAAAATAATTTTGAGAAACTTTTTAATGTTGTTTTATAGTTTATTTGTGAACGTCTCGATAGAGCGGCCAAACTGACATTTTAAAGATTTTAAAGGTGTGAATACATTCGAATTTATATGAATTATTTATATTCGATATTAACTTTCTAGTTTCTACCCTGGGTACACTACAGTATTAATCTACTTTTACCTCCTCAACTGTTTCTGTGTTTTCCTGTAAATTAATTGGTTTTTAGATTATGTTGTTGTGCGGTTTTACTGATGACAAAACCTTTTTAAAATTGTAAGATTTATTCATAAAAAAACATTCTTTTTGCATAGTTTTGTCTTTTATTGACATAACCTTTACACTTTTAAAGAAAAAACTTTTTAACCGGATTAAAGTTATGTATTATTATAAATTTATAATTATTTAACATAATTTTTAATAATATTTATTTATGTGACTGCGCAACACCTGTAAAACGAACTCGGACCAATTTTTATGTTAAATTTTTGAAAATTTGTAAGTATAAGGGATCTGGGAAAAGTTTTTGTTTAGATTCTTAACAAATTCAGCGACAGACATGTATTGCCTATCATAACGTACCATAATTTGCAGATTTTCTTTATAAAATGTTGTTTTTAAAAATATCGCTTTAAAATCAAAAAAAAGCCTTGGCTTCGTCTCTAACCCTTCACAGTGTGATGATGTTGTAAAGTTTACCAACTGCACCTGGTTCACTTCGTATAATTAGATTTCAACATAATTATTTAAATAAGAGTGTACCTAAATCATAAAAGACATACTAATATTTTTTAAAGCCTGCACTGCAGTCACCGTTGAGAGCCCCACGGGCGGCGGTACCAATGGGAGCACATAAAGAAACGTTTCCGGTACAGATTCAAAATTATACGGGTGTACCAATAAGTAGTATAAAATTTCAATATAATCCTATTACTCACTTATAAAGAAAAGGTTGTAACTTGCCGGTGCCGACTACCTGACCGTGCCAAACGGGTTTAAGCTTTACTGATGTAGGTGTTTTGATATTATTACAAATTTTGCGATAACGAAGTATTGATAGCCTTTGTTTGATACAATGTTTATGGGACAAAACTCATAATTTCCACAGCAACAGAAATGTTACAATTTGATAAAATTGTTTGTTTTTGAAACAATATCGTTAATATTAATCTAAAAAAAACGTCCTTGGCTTCGTTCTAAACTCCTTTTCACAGTCCTTGATGATGTTGTAAGAATAAATTACAATATGTTCCATATTGGTTTCCTTCCGGCTCATATCAGATCACTCAACTGTACTTCTCATTCTAAATTAGACGTGGATCACTTTCTAAAAGTATAAAATCTTCGTCCGACGTACTGGGGCATGATTTTAATCTCTTTTTAAAGCACTACACTGCCAATCGCAAGCCGTCTGGAGAGAGTTGTCATGTACCGGCCGGTTCTTTGGTACCACCTAACATCGGATGAGCCTCCTGCCCGTCTGTTCTATATAAAAAAAGTGCGTGCGTACAAAGTACATGTCAGAAGTGAAACTTCTTTGGCAAACTAATTATTAAGTCTTGTTCATATTTATACAAATCTAAAACTTTAGATTTCCGAGACCTAGAGGGAGGGAAAAAGGGAGATATGTTAGGAATTAAATAAATTTAATTATTATTAAAATATGAAAAGTGTCGAAAATTAATACGAATTATAAATAATTTTTTTAAATTTATTGCTTCGATATTAAAAACACGTGGAAGTTTAATTTACAATTCGTCATTTGAGAGTTCAATAAATAATTTTGTATAAAATACTAATATTTCATAAATTCTCTTTACGAAATTTTAATTTTAAAAATAGAATTTCTATAAGATGATTCGCCCTTCTCACTCTCTCTCAACCGGTTCCAATCGCTCTCTCCCTTTTCTTCCACAAAAACGCTGCACATTCGTGACGTTTTCGTAAAAAAATTACCCTCATGCGCCTAAAGAAGTTTTACTTCAAAAATATAGATATACTGTAAGGTCTGTTATGAGACTGTTGTCGCTAGTTGGACTCAAAAGCGCGTACCACTGCGTACAACATTCTGAAGGGACGTAGTAGGCCTTATGGATTTCAAGTCCGACTCGACACCTGGCTTTATAAATGAACGGCGATTTATATTTAATTTATTAATTCTAAATGACCTTCCATTAATCTCATAACAATAAATCGTATAACGAACTTACATCACCATCTGGTTCCTGCAAAGCACTCAAAGACACGTGTGACATGAGAGCATCGTGGAACTCATTCATTCTCGCGATGAGCTCTTCACCACATGGACAGTTTTCCGGATCTTCATCTTCTAAGTGCTTGAAACCTGGAATACAATTTATTTTAATTAGCTTACGAGAGATCTTTTAAGGTGCCTTTATTGCTTCTAATTGCTGCCTGTCAAACTATGTTGCAAACACGAGCCTTAAAATTAAGGCCCGTCAACGTACTCGAGCTTTGTGGCAGTTTTATTACAAGCTAAGATTAAGAGCCTATTTGCTATATCTAAAAAAAACTGAATATCTACTATAACCATAGCAATTAGATTGAAGTGGGTATGCCAAATCCAGGTAAATAAACGCACTTTAAGCTTCAAGTAGAATGTTTTGTCCTTATCACTCTAGTGCAATTTTGCATATATATTTGTTTATAACAAAAAGTGTCTCAGTTTTATATATGTTAGTGATTAATAATAATAATCCAGTGGCGTTACAACCTTAAATGGGTTTTCATTACAGATTGCATCCATATCCTTGATATTTTTTATTTCTTAGACAAGTATCTGCCTTGTTTTGTGAAATGCCGGTTTCCTCACGATGTTTGCCTTCACCGTAGAAGCAAGTGTTAATGGCACATAGAAAGAATATTCCATTGGTGTACAGTCGTGATTTGAACGCACGAAATCAGGGACGAAGGTCGCTTTAGCCACTAGGCCAGCACTGCTTTAGCAATATATGTATAATTTTATTTGAAAAAATTAAAATTATTGATTAAATAAAACTCTTACTTAGTATAGCATTCATCTGTTCTCTCGGCGGACAACGGAATTCTCTCGTCTTCTTAGCAGCAACCGCACTGGGCAGATCTGACTGTTTGATTTCTGTGTAACGTCTGAAATTAGTTACAAAATACAATCTATATTATCTTTTATTAATGAAACAAGTTGAAGTTAAATTCTGACGTTTTATGCGTTCGACTTAATCTTGCTTTTAAATAAAGTGTCCGTTGCAAAAAATTTAAGTTAATTTTTTTTCCAATTATGTTTGAAGCCTATATATGAGAATTGGGTTAGAGGACGACGATTCGAAATACCTTGGCGACAAACGCGAAGAAGCTAAGGTCTTATAAAAAAAACTGTTTTATGCCTGAGCCTGTGATTTATGTATCCTTTTCGTGATCTTTTTTTTCTTAATAGACAAGTTGGCCGTTAGTCCTGACTAGCACACGCTTTTGAGCTTTTAGGTTTACATCTAGTTTCTTCACGATGTTTCCCTTCACCGTAAGATCGAGTGTTAAAGACAGAAGGTCCATTGGTGCACAGCCGTGCTTCGAAGTTACGACCTGCACTGCTTTATAGGTCATATAATTATCAATATTAAATATGGATAAGCATTTAATGCACCTCTTTACGAACGTAACATTTCAGTTAATAACTGTAAACAAAAATCTTACCTCAACTGATCAGTTTGAAGTTCCCCAACAAAATCATGCGCAAACGCAATAATTGACTCGACTCTGTGTCTTAACTGAATGTCGTTGAGATGTTGAAGTAAGTAGCACATTTGGAGTTTTGCACCTTCCGCCATTTTCATGTGGAGAAGGCCCTTTCTGTGCTCATCTTTGCCCTCTGAAAGTTTATATTAATATAAATATAAAATTTAATAAAACTATGGCAAAAGCCAATTCTTAAAAGGTAGGCACCACATTTACGAATCTAGTAGTAGGTAGTGTGGTATATGTATGGCGGTATCACTTAACATCATGTTAGCCTCTTGCCCATCAAAATTCTAATTATTCCATTTTAACTTCAATAAATCACACTTTGAGGTACTTTTGAAATCCTACAGAGAATTTTAATTAAATCAAATCAACATACGTTTATTCAGCTTAGATGCGTCTTAGCGCATGCTTATGAATGTCAAAAACGCTTACAAAATTCGCGAAAGAGCAAAACTACGCCATCTGTTCGCAAAACCAGGAGGCCTTGCTCTGAGAAGAACGGGCAAGAAACTCAGCATAATATAAATTGTTCTTATAACAATAATTATTAATTATGATGATGATATTACCTTTATCAAACGTCGGATCCCAAGTCTCAGGGTTGATCATTATGAGAAGTTTCTCAACATCTTCATCTCTCATCATTCCCACTAGAAGTAAGCGATCCACCAGCTTTATTAAGGGCCTACAAAATATAAAGAAAAATTATTGCACACAGTTAAGATTGTTATAAAGAAAACAGTATTTGACGTTGCAATTAAACTCCTCTTAAACGGCTGGACTGTTTTTTTTCGTGTTTTCAAGTGGATTCGAGAAAGGTTATATATTTTTTTCTTTTAAGTTTGAAATTCTTTTATTCAAGATGTGTGTACAGGACAACTTCTGTCGGGTTCACTAAGTTCCAAAATCAAGACAAAAATCCATAGAAATGTTGAAAATATAGTTTTGAAGGTAGTCCCAAACTGTAAACCATAAATGTTTAACATTATGAATGCATATTGACATTTTGGAGAAAATGTAGCATTAAAACCTTATCCCCCTGAATCCATCAACCGTTTCCGTTAAATTGTATGTACGCTGTGATGAAAAGAGATAAATGAGTACTTCCGTTAAGTTTTTTTATAGAGAAGAAGAGGGTTTGAAGTTAAATTTGCTCGGAATATAATATACTAAGCGCTTAAAACAGTGATAAACTGTTTCCCTTTTTTTGTTAGCATTTAGTTTACGATTTGTTTCTTCTAAATGTATCATTTGTCTAAACACGTCAAAATCGTAATTTAAATTAATCAGCACCTACTGAAAAAATTGTTGTAAACCTTCTTTTGTTTTAGTCCCCTCATACTTACAAGAAAAGATTCTCATTGCTTCCGCCAGTAGGATCTCTGTTGTGTACTTGGTTGGTCTCCACGGCTTCTGCCAAAGCCTGCATGACGAATTCCCGGACCACTTCGAGGGGGAAATAGGGGGAGTAGAGGTTGCTTATGTCCGATATGTTTTCTCTGTAATGTTTATAATATCTACGTTACACTTAATCCTCGAAGCTAATTAAAAACTTTGATTTAATTATAAATATTATAGAGCCGAAACGAGACCAATTAAATCAGTTTCGGTTACATATGTGTATAAGTTAGTATATTTTCTAATGTTGGTATAATATTCTTCATGAGAAATAAATATCTTATTATTCAGAATAATGAAAGCATGCGAATTGCAGAGACAACATTCCAGTAGCTTAGTGGTTAGCAGTAAGTGTGTCATCTAAATATATAAAACAAAGTCGTGTTAGTTACACCACTTATAACTCAAGATCGGCTGGACCGATGTTAGTTATCTGTTTTTTGGTGGATTCTTCCCCGCTACTAATAGCAGAATAAGTTATAAAATATCGGATAAGTTATCGAATGAAAATAAATAAATTAATTAATTTTACGAATGCAGCATGTGGTGCCATCTGTTGACAAAATTACGCATATAAAAGAAACCTACCACTTTGTTCTTGCGCCGGATAACAAAACAAAAAATGTATATCAGAAAGTGCTTTAACATGCAGTATCGCAATATTGGCGCTAGAGAGAAGAGGCCTAATGTGTAAAACTGCCATTCTTCTTTCGCAATGGCAAGCAATAAAACATTTCTGTATTTGCAAAAAGGTGGATTAATGTTATTAACATGATATTATTAAACTGTTAGGCGGAACAAAGTTAGCCGGGTCAGCTAGTATTATATATTTCCTACTCACGCAATATTAGTCATGTTCATATGGGGCCGAACACTCTCAGTCTGCAAAGATCGAAGGCTGTGACACATCTCCCGATCCTCGTACAACGACTTCAGTTCTGGTCCCAAAGGTATCACAAATTCGTTCTTACACGCTTCCCTGAAAACAAGTTATTGAAGTGAAACTTCTTTAGGCGCATGAGGGTAAAATTTTTACGGATGAAACGTCACGAAGATGTGCAGCGTTTTTGTCGAAGAAAAGGGAGAGAGCGATTGAGACCGATTGAGACAGAGTGAGAAGGGCGAATTAGAAATTCTATTTTTAAAATTAAAATTTCGTAAAGAGAATTTATGAAATATTAGTATTTTATATTTTATGCAAAATAATTTATTGAAATCTCAAATGACGTGTAAATGAACTTTGACAAAAAATGACATGAAATTGTAAATTAAAATGCCACGTGTTTTTGTTATCCAAGAATTAAATTAAATTTATAATTTGTATTAATTTCCGACACTTTTTAATATTTTAATGACAGTTAAATTCATTAAATTCCCAACATATCTTCCTTTTTCCCTTTCTCTAAGTATCGGAAATCTAAAGTTTTAGATTTGTATAAATATGAACAAGGCTTAAAAATTAGTTTGCCAAAGAAGTTTCACTTCTACGTGTCAGAAGTACTTTGTACGCACGCACTTTTGGAACGAAGTTCCTTATCGCGCGTTGTGAAAGGGGGCTAGACGGAAAAAATTCTTACGAAAAGTTGTCACGACACTTTGCTATTTGCTATTGTAATACACCGGTTCTCGTCCGATCACCGAAGTTAAGCAACGTCGGGCGAGGTCAGTACTTGGATGGGTGACCGCCTGAGAACACCTCGTGATGTTGGCTTTTTTTTGTAGGGATAAGAAATGAAAATTATTTTTGGAATCACTTAACTAAATTAGTCTTGTTGGAACGAAGTTATCGAGCGTTGCGAAAGGGGACTAGACGGAATAAATTAAGACCAAAAGTTGTAACGACACTTTTTGCTATAGTTGTTATATTTTACATTTTCGATTTAGCTATCGCCAACGTCCATACTTCTCGTCCGATCACCGAAGTTAAGTAACGTCGGGCGAGGTCAGTACTTGGATGGGTGACCGCCTGGGAACACCTCGTGATGTTGGCCTTTTTTTTTCGTCGTAAGATTGGTGTCGAGATAATCTATCATACTGTTATGATACCAATTAACATATAAATTAATCGAAAGGAATTTCGTTCCATCCGGGTGTCCCTTGACACCTCTAAAGTTTTTTTTTGTATATTAATTTAGCACGTTGACTATATTATAAAAATGCTAAACGTTATTTTTATGACATAACTAAGGAGAATTAGGTATTTACTAACTACTAACAGATGTAACGCATTCTTAAGAAAACATAGAAAGTTTTTTTAGGACCCGTAAAACATTTATGAAACGCACAACGTTTCTCAAAATCTAATCCACGTTTAAATGTTTTGTAAACATCGTGCCTAGAGAAAGATATAAGAATTTGAAAAAAAGGGTAATTAATTTACAGCAATTGCACCTATTGCTGAAATTGAATTTATTTTCATTAAATTAAATTTAAATGGTCCGTTAATTTGTTATTTAAAGAGAAAAAAACTTACATAGTAGTGGCATGAGACTCCAAATGTAAGGCGATGAGCAAATCGTAGAAACCTTGCCGTAGAGGTCCCGACATGTACTGAGATCGGATCGCGTATAGCAGTTGTTTCTGATCGACGTGTTGACACAAAGCGTGTGCAGCCCTGAAAAATTCGTCAATATGTATTTCAGAGTAGTCGATTAAATCATCTGTAATTTAAAAATAAATAAAATAAATCAGTGGCGCTACAACCTCTTAGCCTCCTTTTTCTGAATCTGTTTCATGATCATTTTTAAATCTAATAGGCAAGTAGGTGATCAGCCTCCAGTGCCTGACACACGCCGTCGACTTTTTGGGTCTAAGACGTAATAAAAAATTTAAATGTGCACACAGAAAGAAAGTCCATTGGTGCACAGCCGGGGATCGAACCTACAACCTCAGGTATGAGAGTCGCACGCTGAAGCCACTAGGCCAACACTGCTCTGTAATTTAATAGTATTTTAATTATTATAATTATGTAGTTAGAGAGAAGCGGTTTTAGGAAGTATTTCCGATCGGATCTATCAAAAAAATTAAATAGCTAAAGTAAGTCATTATGAATTATAACATTCATATACCTGTAATTGCTTTGGTAACAGAGAGCGGCGTATAATGTGAGAGTGTGGGCGTGGAAGCTTAGAAGTTTGTCCATCTCTATCAACTCTAAGATGTCTATGCATCGGTCCTCCTCTGAAATTAAATGTTATTAACCATAATATCCACTGATTAAGCACTCGGTTTTAATCTCCTAGCAAACATTTATATATTTGGTGGATGAGACAACACACAAGAATAACTACTTTTTCATCTTAAAATATTTTGTATGAGTAAAGTAATTGTTTAGCTATAAAATTTCGTACAGAATATACTCTCCTAAACATCTCAATATAGATACCTGGAATATGCAAAGCCAACATGGATACAGCGTCTTCACAGAGCATGGACCAACCACGAATGTCGGACAACTTCAGAGCGTGAACTTGAAGGAATTGGTTCGGTACCTGCAAAAAAGTTGGAAAAATAATTTAGAATATCTAAAGACCAAAACGGATACCTAACTTCACGTCCGTAAAAGTTTCTACGTTATACTAGTCGTTTACTACGTACCGATAAAATGCCTAAACAGCTGTTGAAACACCTCTTATTCATAAATTACGTGAGGTGTTTAAGGGGGAGAGGGGTCGAGTCAAATCTCATTAATCTTACGTGGAGAGAGGGGGTCTTGGCAAATATCACGCAATTTTTTTTTCTGATTAAAAAAAAATTCGAAAAGGTTGACCCTAAAGGCCATCACTGCAACTTCCCGCTAACTCCTTACCTAAACGCTCAACATTTCACTTATTTTGTTTTTGAGCTCTTTGAGCTCAATAGTACAAATTCTGTGTTATTTTGAGTTTTACGTAAGAAACCGACATTTTGAAAAATCTCACGTGAGATTGGAGGATGGGGGAGGGGGTTGAATAAAATCCCACGACATCTCGTAATTTATGGACGCCCCCTAACTGAAACGCTCTCAGACTCTAAACAACGTTTAAACATTTTCTCACCGATGGGCCGCAATTAGCGAACATTTTTTCCACATTTACATACATAAATATTAATTAAATAACGCTCATTTAAAAACAATCAACATAATCTCTTTTATCACTTAATAGAACATAGCAGATCATAAATATCATATTGGTAAAAAGTTCGAGAGGTTTATCGGTGTTAATAAATACTTTTTAGGTTCACGGGTTAGTCTTAGTTTTTTTGTGTTTGCGTGTTGTTCCCACGAGAATGTAAGTGCATGCTCCTATTACACCATGCCTCCTGCTGATAGAGGACAACTCTTTGTTTTTAATTTATGTTATTATTATTAATTACGATTAAGATGTCATGTGGAACATGGTGTAATGGTTGCAGCTCCTTACAAACGTTGTGTACAAAAAAATGCCGATTTTGACGACTCATTGGTCTAGTGGTTAGTACCCCTGACTGCGAATCCATGGGTCCCGGGTTCGAACCCCGGCTGAGACGAACATCGATGTGATGAGCATTTGGTGTTGTGCTTAGGTCTTGGGTGTTTAAATATGTATTTATACGTCTATCTATCTATAATATGTATGTATATCCGTTGCCTAGTACCCATAACACAAGCTTCACCAGCTTAGCATGGGGCTAGGTCAATTGGTGTGAATTGTCCTTTACAAAAAAAAAAAAAAAAAGAGTGGCGGAGAGTTTATTGCCAGTTATTCTCTTCCGTTCTACGCCCTTGATTTGAGAACTGGCAGTAAATGTAAAATTAGAAGCATTAATATGTATTTCTTTAATGACGAATCACAAGTGTACATTGTGTTACCTACGTGAATAAATGATTTTTGAATTTAAAATTTGAATTTACCCTAAATCCATCACATATTTAAATATTACGGCGAATTAACTAGACGTCAGGTGCATTTCTTTATATTTATTGAAGTTGTACTTCTTTAGGCGCGTTATGAAAAATTGATGAGAGTGAAATTTTCGATGCGCGCGCACCTATGACACAAAATTGGCATGTGATTAGCGTGCGCGAGCGAGATGGGAATAAGACAATCTACAAGTAAAAGAAATAGAATATGCGTGAAGCTAACTTCACGCATATTCTTAGCTTACACTTAACAAGAATTTTGAATGACCATGACATCTGACAATGACATTTACCTTTTAAACAAATATAGGAGTTTTAATTATTGTTTAAAATAAATAATTATATACCTAGTTATTTTCATTATACGAATTGATTATCTAAATCAATACTAATTAATATGATAAAATATTTGTGAAAAAACTGTGCCAACCTTCCTGAGTGCTTCAATACAATTGAGGTTAACTATCCGTATGTATTTCGAGTATTATTGTTGATTAAAACTGAAACATGAACCATTATTCATTGCTTTTGTTTATTGCGTTTTGTTACAGCAACTTTTTAGAAATATTCTACGACCCTATATATCAATAATTGAGAACAAAGATTTAAGCACGAATACTAATAAGGAGAAAATAAGGCTTGGAGCGATATAACAGAGAAGTAAACATTTTAATAAGTACCTGCATCTCAAAAAAATGACCACATTATTTAATCTAAACATGTAATTTTTCAGATTTAATCTAGCAAATATATGGACAAGAGACAAAAACAATGATGAATCAGTGGAAGTGCACTAAATTGAATCAGCTTATCGCCGTGAAACATGAAAAACTGGAGGTGGAACAAAGCCACCATCACCTTCTCGAGACACAATGGATATGGCAGAGATGATACCGCAACGGTTTGAAGTAGATTTCAATGAATTTGATTGTGATGGTGTCGAGGTAGGAATGTTAATTATAAATATGATGTATGGTGATGTTCAAGGTTCAACCTTTCAAGCTAGGTATATGCTCACAACAGTACTTTATTCCCCTACAGGGTAGTTAGAGATATTGTAATACCTCAAAACATCCATGTTGCACTTGTAGTACCGAAACTCTGTCCAGCCAGAAGTGAGCCCATTCCCACTTATAATGGACAGTGGGTATAATACACCTTAATACCTGAGTGCGAACCACTCACCATGATACTTAAATTAATAGATGTTATTTATATATTTCAGGATATTACAAATTAAATCATTTTGGAAACAATTGATATCCCAAAAGCAAATAAAGCCAACAATGACAAGGTAATAAATCAGTTTTGACATAACTTTAATACTAAAAAGCCAAACAAAGGTGTGCACAACAGTACAACTAACTTAACAATTTCATTATTTTGTAGGATTAAAGAAAGGTTAAAAGAAAAATCATGTCGAACTGAACAACAAGAATCCCCAAACAACTCCAAAAGAAACCTACAAGGAAGACACCGATATTATATTTAAATTATCTCTATCTCTAAATAGAATAAAAGAAAGTTGCTATTCAGGTCTGTAGCATGTGCTACAAATTATATTATTAACACATTTATATAACTATAATAATATAAATGTGTTAAAAATTTTATAATATGAATTATACAAAATTTTAACTTTTGCATGGACAGAGCTTAAGTTAATATTCTCTTATTTGTTGCAGAAAACAGTTTTGGAGAAGCCTCGTAGATGCACAACCAAGTAATGATTAATTTAAAATTACAAACCGAAATTCTGATGAAGACATTAGAGTCACTTAAAAATAAATAGTATAATGAAATGAAAATGTTTTAAAGATAAATAGTGTTTTATTTGTTTAATGTAAGAGAATAATAATAAATATTTATTTAATTAATTTTTCAAATGTATACTGAACTTTATTGACTTTAATGACTCCTTTTCCAGTCTTTGATTATTTAATTGTAATTAATTATTTGCATGCAATCAAAAACTATTTTTAAAAACTATTTTTAATAATGCCAAAGAAGTATAACTTCTTACGCGCGTACATAAGTACACGCACCCTTTTTTTTTTTTATATAGGTAGTCAACGGCTTTTATAAAAATTACAAAACCAAATGAAAATAAAATACTTCTAAATATTGATGTGTGCGTACGTATGTGCGCGTGTTTGTGAGAGGGTATACGTGATTATTTACTTAAATTACTTTGCATATCATTATACTGGGAACAAATTCTATGTATTCTATTCTATGTTACGAGTTTAGTCCATGATCTTTCGTTTGACGAATCACAACTGACAATGCGCCATTGTCGTTTAATTTTACGTTCTTAACGATAAATAACTAAATTTAAACTTACTCTAGCCCATTGATGCGGTTTCAAGCACTGCACTTTAAGCCTCGGTGGGAATTGTGGGTTCACGTGTTTGTCGCTAGTTGGCAGCACTGCAGCACTAAGTGGAAGACTGGTAGAGGACCGACCCAGCTCTATTTGCAGGATTTCCTTCGATGTGGCCTCAACGAATATCGCCGGGAAGAGTTTTGTTTCTGGTTCCATCTGAAATTTTTGTCCAAATGAATTAGTCTTAATAATTCCTTAGTTGCTTCGTTTAATTTTTATTTTAATTAGAATTGTTTTACGCATTTTTTTTTCTTAATTAATATTGTTGATAATGTTTAAACTCCAACATTGATTTCTAGTAATTACAATAAGTTTTTAACCACACAAATGAAAGCAAATCACATAGGCACAGATTCTGGCTAAAATTTAACCTTAAAGTCGTACCTTAAACTTAATGCTGGTATCCTTTCCCTCACATGTAAAGGATACAGTACCAGTCGACGTATCAACAGAACAACCAATGAACATTCCCTGGGAAGCTCCTTTTGCTGTTGCTTCCGCCATCACTTCATTGTACAATTCATCAGCTCGCACCATATAACACGACTGGCGGTTTACACTGGAAACAGCAATATGATGTTTAGGATATGAAATCGGGTTATGTAAGTCTTTTTAGTTAGAAAACCCGACGAACATTTACGTTACATTTTGTGTGTCTGTTTATTCTCTGGATATTTTTATAGAATATGGGGCAAACGGGCAGGAGGCTCATCTGCCGCCCATGAAGACTCAATGCCAGTGGGCTCGCAATTGCGTTGTCAGCCTTTTAAGAATTAGTACGCTCTTTTCTTGAAGGGCCCTAAGTCGAATTGGTTCGGAAATACTGCAGTAGGCAGTTCCACATAGTGGCAGTGGTGGATGCGTGAACTAAGTACGTTTTATAAAGCATTGTTAATCGTATCGTATCGATAAAACGTTCTCAGTCACTGACATTTCATACTGATGCATTTAATCCAAAATTTTCCAGAAGACATAAAAAAAGTTTCCGGGGTTTCCTGGACATACCTCTCAATCACCCTATCATAATCGTCTGTGATGATAACTGAAGACTTGGTGACTTTATTCTGATTAAAGTCCTTGGAGTGCAAATGGTACTGAGTGGTCACCCATCCTATGTACACATGAGTGGGATCCTGACCGGGGAAAATTCTGAAAAATATTTTTAAAATTTAGGGTTGTCTTTATTTTTGTCATATTAAATGGTATTGTGGAAATGCTATGTTGTTGCTTTTAATGGCATAAAAATAGCCTGTAAAATTTAACAGAAATGCCTTTGAAATCCCCCCCCCCCCCCCCCCTTTTTTTTTTTATTTTAAGGGGGGATTCAAAAATATTTTTGTTTTTTTAAGTGGGAAAGTAAGTTATGCAAAATAAAATAAATTTGACTAAAACTAAGAATTTTAATTACAGCGCCATCTATATATCCTCTACGGCTATACGTTTTTGAATTGATATTAAATATGGCGGCCCTCACCTGACGCCGTAAAAGTATTCATTGATAAGTTTCAAACAGTCAGCATCAAATATTTCATTCCCGATCGTTTCTGTCGCAGACTTGTCGAGTGTAGCGGTTGTCATTTGCTTACGATCCTGCGTTGGTGTCGGCACTGTCAAGTTTGTCTGAAATATTTAATAAATGTTATCTATTAACCTGTCCGTAATTTCGCTGTACTAAAAATATAAAAAATCCTTTGAAGTTTTGCATATTATGACCTTTACAATGGTGAGATTTGAATCTTTAATAGTATACATCTTTGTTAATTCACTTCAGTTTTAAGATACATTCAGACTGCAGAAAATCACTGCATATAAACTTAGCCAAGGTTGAAAGTTTAAAAGTTAAAAGGCGTAAAATAAAGTTTGTAAAAATGAATGAGATGTTGGTGCAAGGATAAGAGGTAATGAATGAAATGAAACTAAAAGGCCCAAGTACGTGTCCTGTAAGTACACAGCGCTATTGACAAGTTTAGGACTCTTTAAGAAGTTTAAAGAAGAAAGCTTCAGATCACGACATTTCTATGACACATTAAGAAACAGAAGAAACAAGCGTATTCTCTAATAACTTACGTTTAAAGCGCCTTGACTGTCGTACATATTGGCCCCATTATTTCTATTTTGAATGTTATACCTCTGATTGGCCTTTGGAAACAAAAATAAATATAAAATTTACATGCAGGAAAGTGTGCATGGAAAATAATAATTCTGGGACTATCATACAAAAACTCTGTGTGTCTATGGAAAAGCTATTTTTAAGGATTTTTGTGATTTTAAATAGTGGTTCTTTATAAATGCGAATGTTTAACTGTATTTTTTTATTTTAATTCTGTAGATAAGTTTATGACCGAACTACGACGCTTTGGTTGCGAGACTATTTTATTCAGCAAATTTGTTTTTTTCAGTAAACTATGTGTTTTATACAAATCAGATTATTTAAAGTTTTAGTTATATGATGAAAAATAATTCGAATTTAATGTAAAAAGAGAACTTTCGCATTTACACTAGCTAATTTTTGGATCAGGAATAAAATCAAACAAAAATCTGTGTATAATTTGGAAAAAAATATACAAGCAATACTGGTATTAAAATTGTTATACCTGTGATACTCTGATTTGTGGATTGGGTCGCCGAGCCCTATCTGGGGACACCTCCGTATCTGTGTAGGGATCAGGGGTTTTCGACTTCCTCGATTTACCCCTATCCCCACTCTCTCCTCTTTTACTTCTAAAGAACCTATAATCAGTGTTATGGTTATGGTTAAATCTATGTAAATAAAACGGAATCGCTATATACTGCCAAGCACAAAATTCTCTATTTATTCCTTGAACTCTGAGGTAGGCAGATACAGAGTTTTTTTAAGCTATTGCATAGATTTTATCGCGGGCTTTGAGCGCGGCGACCGAATCAAGAAATTCAGTAATGAAAAAACCTAACACACGATGACGTAATATAGGTGCGCCAAATACGCGTTAGAGTGGGACATAATGCATACTCGCATTCCCATCTCTCTGACGAGATCGGTGACGTAGCGTGAGCGCGGCCGGTGCAGCCGGTACGCGTTAGAGTGGGACATAATGCATACTCGCATTCCCATCTCTCTGACGAGATCGGTGACGTAGCGTGAGCGCGGCCGGTGCAGCCGGTACGCGTTAGAGTGGGACATAATGCATACTCGCATTCCCATCTCTCTGACGAGATCGGTGACGTAGCGTGAGCGCGGCCGGTGCAGCCGGTACGCGTTAGAGTGAGACAGACTATTTAGGCGTTTTAGTCTGAGTCTGGTAGATTGAAATAATATCAAAGAAAAAACTTTATTTATATCCAAGATAAACAAATACTGCACAAAAAAAAATTAATAAATAATTATAACTGCATAAGTTGATAAAAAATGCTATGCAATAGCTTTACCGCGGCAGTCCCCGAGTGCTACACGCTTTTTTTTAAATTCAGATTGATGTACGACTTAGGTTTTTACTCCGGAGAAGCGGAACAGTGTCTATGGGGTAGCATAGCAAAATGTTCCATATGTTGGTAGGTAACTTCTAAAATTATATTATGGCGAAACGAGTCTGGTAAAGGGTTGCTAAAAACACAAATTATGTTAATAATTACTCTTAAGTGTAATCAAAAGTAACATTACGTTATTAAATTTTGTGTTTTATGTATTTAAAAGAAAATAAAGGTCAAACACATCTTTATATATATAATTCTTCTGTGAGTGTGTATGTCACTGAACTTCTCTCAAACGACTGGACCGATTTTGATGAAATTTTTTGTGTGTGTTCAAGGGGATCTGGGAATGGTTTAGATTCACAAATCAGCCCAGCAGATGGCACTGCAGTCGGTACTTTCATACTTTGCTTAATATCCTAATCGCTTTAAATATCATGCAGGACAACGTCTGTGGGGTCCACTAGTATACATATATTTTTTTAATTAACTTGATATACAGTGTAAACTCTTTATAACGAATTTCAAGAGACCGAGCGTTTTTATTTGCAATAGAGAGGTTTAGTTATAGGGAGGGAAGAATTAATGTATGGGTATTGGGTTAAACCAAATAAATTTAACTCAGTTTTACGTTTTAGAGAGTTAAACTGTAGTTAAAAGCAACATCTTTATAGGGATTCACTAACTAACGAACACTACAAATAAAAGTATAAACCGTACTATATTATAGCCATCATAGAAAGACTAGTACAAGTTTCTGTGCAGTGTGATGTTCAAGGTTCAATGAAGTAGTCCGGTTAAATGTGGGATAAATTCCCGGTGACGTAAAACCTAAAAAAATATATAAAAAATCTTACTTGAATGGCGACCTTCCTCTCTTATCTTTCTTGGTATCTTCAGGCAGATTTTGTACCCCGAGTTCATATTTTGACATTTCCGCTTCACTTGTCGACCGGTTCATTCCATTTTGACCTAAAATAATTTCAGCTAACGTTACTCATACATTTTCTTTATATTTCTAGTGTTAGGTTTTAGTACAACAATTCATAATACAGACAGAAGCTGTGATATGTGCTATTCTGATACGGTCAGACATCAAAATTTATTATCTTGACATGAAAACGGTATTTAAATATTAATGTTTTTTTAAATAACATTTATTTAAATACCGTATATTTATTATTTTATTCATAAGCGAAATATTAACATGCTAAATGCATTGTGTAAAGCATGGTCAGGGCTAACATTTTTTGTCAATTTTCGACAATTAAACCAAAGTAATAGTTTAAAAATTAGTATAATGTAATAATAATATCAACATTTAATAAATGCCAAACAAATCAACCGTATACGTACATGTACGTACGTACTAGATTAGTTAGGATTACGTGAATTTTTTTTATATGTATAATTAAAAGCGTAATAAGGTACGGGTGGGTCGTGCCTCTCAGAATCTTGTGCTAAGAGAATTCTCACGGCCCAGCCCTGAAAACACCTAGCCAATGTTAAAGGATCACACAGATTAATCTATCAACGACTGTTAGTTGTTAGAGAACCTGGTTGTAAATTGTAATTCTGTATTGTGACGTTGCGTGTGATAGACCCTTTGCGGGGTGGACGTGAGGGCTGCCTCTTGATTTTTACGTCTTCTTGATTCTCATCGTAGTGGAGACCTTGAGAATATTGGACATACGGTATTGGACGATTTTATTTGCATATGTACAGATAAAAAAATATGAATCTAATTGTGTTCTAGTCAATGTTTCTTGAGAGGAATAAAGATTGGGTCAATTTTTTTCTGAATTTAAAATGATAGTATTACGAAAATTTAAAAGAAATATTGTTTAAGACTTTCTAAATGATGTTTGGTGTATAATATACAATGCTTATAAATTGTATGTCAATATTTTGATTTTTCTACTAAACAGGAAGTGTGAGTACAGTACTATTTATGGGAATTGGTGGGAAGAATGCAGGTGCAAACAAATTGCATTACCACAAAATACTATGTATATACAATATTTTTTTTATGGAAGTCGATATTCTTTTAATATATTACGATTATTCTCGCTGATCATTTATCAGGCTACAAAAAATATCAAAATCGGTTTAGCAGTAACTAAGTCTCACGCTTAAATTATTGTTAAAGGTGCATATATATTTATTAGTGACATTTAATACACTAAGGAATATTTACATTCAATATATTCGAAAAATATTATAATCTAAAAACTAGATAGATATACATTTTCAATAGCATATGGCTAGCCAAAGAGGCTATTAACATGACAACTGACAGTGACATTTGTAATCTGTCAAAATAGTGGCGCCATCTTTGTCTCACCTTTAATATCGTTCATGGTGAAGCCACTTCTCATTATTTGGTCGATATGCGCCGGCATTTGAGCTTCAACCGCTTCCTTCATCAGAATCTGTTGACGATCCTTGATCTCCACCCAGCGGCGAGCTTTTTCCGATTCACTTTAAGAATTTTAATTAAATAAATAACACTTTTTATTGAATACATGACGAAACCTTAATTTCTAATTCATTTGAGTATCATTTGTTTTAGTTAATTTTTTTTAATCAAATAGAAACAAAACTATTTTACCTGTCTAAGACTTTTTACTTGCTGTTAAAGGATGGAGTTAAAGCCGAACCTTTGCCTACTGTCTCAGACATACTTTCATATAAAATTATCTAAAGTTAATTAAAATGAACAAACGAATATGTATATAGAAATCTAGAATACCTAGGAACTAGGTATAGTAGATTTATATATACATATTCGTTTGTTTCGTTTTTGAATACTACCTATACCTAGAATTTCAACTACAATAAAAAGTACACTCTGTTAGCCTAACGAACCAACTAAACGTTGAATTCAAAAACATGACAACAAATCAATAAACAAAACCAAAACAATTTGCTCGGAAACTAAAATAATCTAAAAATATTTAACAAAATTATTGGTCCTATTATTTCGCAACCTTAGTCACATCTTCGGTAGTATAGTGGTCAGTATCCCCGCCTGTCACGCGGGAGACCGGGGTTCGATTCCCCGCCGGAGAGAACTCTTTTTTCCATTATAAAATAGTATATTGTTAGCTTTGAATATTTATTTAATTAAATTCTAAACATTTTTTGTGAAACATATTCTTAAGAATCTTGCTACAAGTCCGCATGTGCAATAGTTAATTATCTCTTTGGTTGTTTTCGAATTGTGACGAATAGATTATAAAAGAGGTTTTGACACATGCGCACGGGCAATTCCTTTATTCAAGTTTGAAGTTATACATTTTATGTAAAGTCAGTGAAGTGAATTAAGTCATCATTGGAGTGTTTAATTTCCTACCTTAAGAACTAGATCACCAAGCCCTTACAATATACATACACACATGAATTAAAAATAATTAAGATATAAAGCATGTTAAGGTTATTTTCTTTAAAACTAAGTGGCTCAACACTCACTCAATAAACTCAGCATGGCATATAACAGGTAGCGACAGCCTGAGGAACTCCCAATTCGCCTTTTCCATCGTCTCAAATGTGTTGTGCGATATTTTTAAGCATGGCGGCGTGTCTGTGATAAAAACAAACGAATATCTATTGATAAAAATCTACGAAACAAATGCGAAGAAATCGATCACATTTTTAGAAATCTTTTTGACTTTTGTATTAAAATACGACCTAATCTCATTACAAATGTAAAATTATTGATATTAATAACAATTATTTTAATATTAAGACTCTTTACACAATCAGTATAGCTGTCTCTACTTACTAACTTCTAACTTAATAGTAGCTAGCATTGATTAAACGTAGGAACTCTTACTAAATATTTAGGCACGGGGTTAAGGCAAGTTTTGAAAAATATAATTTAATTCCCCGCGTTATAATGAACTAAGAGCGAAAAAACACGTTTCGTTCGCTTCTGATTGGTTCGATCCGCCATTCAGTTCGACCAATCACTATCGAACGAAACGCGGCATCATTTGATCATTCTCTTTAGATTGTCATTCGTAGAACTTTCAATATTTATCCTTACCAGAGCCAGCTGGAATCCTGGTAACATCAATCCTCGTGTCGATCATTTCATCTGTGTTCTCAAATATCGGCTGATCTTTTGTATACCAATGTGTTACATCACGGTTCATGTTGCTGCAAAAATCATCAAAATTTTAGATTTTAAGGTTAAAGTGGGTAGGTCCTACCGCACGTTGACTATACTTTACAACCAATTAATTTTAGGGTATTTAGTATTGTATGAGACCGTGAGAACAGTATAGACGACAATCACATTGGTTGTAAGTATTGTAAGAGCACATCTCCATATAAGCTTCATATTTACCAAAAATTGGTACAAAATATTATCAAAAAAATTAATCAAGTTGCTATAGTAAAAGTAAAGAACGAATACTTGTATATCTTGGGACGTAAGCTGATTCATAGACGTTTTTTTTATGTAATAGGAGGCAAACGGACAGGAGGCTCATCTGATGTAAAGTGATACCGCCCATGGACACTCACATTGCCAGAAGGCTCGCAAGTGCGTTGCCGGCCTTTTAAAAATTGGTACTCTCTTTTCTTGAAGTATTTCCTTCAATGTCAACGTCAATGTCAAAAACTGCCGTAAGAAACGCTCAGTTGTGGAACGACCGACGTCGAGGTGATACTTTGTATTTTGCCTTTACGTCTGATAATGATACTTAGCTGCAGGTATTAGATCGAACAACCGTCCGTTTTTAATGTGTGTAGCAAAAGCCTACAAAAATACATCCGCAAACTGTTTCCCATTATGAAAAATCTTGTCAAGTTCCTGTTAATACCAATTGGCTGATACTAGGTGTTCAAATACTTACACACAGAAAGGTTCGTAACCCTCTTGGAGACCACAGGTTGTGAAGTACTTTAGTGAGTTCACATCTTGACCATATGATAACCTGGAATTCAGTAATTTAATTAATCATAGTTATCATTATAAGGCTTTCCTAATTCTCCTTCTCAAATTTATCTAGATTCTAAGCTTTTACTCAAGTCAAAAGCAAGTAAAATAAAATTTATATTATAATTTACTTGACAGATGGTCTAAAACACTAACCAAAAGGAAAAAGGAAGACGGAAGACCAAAAGAGCGATGGTTCGACGGGATCGAAAGGGAAGCTGGAAGATTTTGGATGACGATGGCACAAAGTAAATTAGGGTGGAGTTTTCTGAGTGAGTTACGTTAAATGTATGACAAGATGTGGATGAATAAAGGCTTATTATTATTATAATTTACCTAGCTTTTTGACCGACTCCAAGGGTACAGGCTGGCACGAAGTTATCTCCTTGGACATCCGCAAATGTAGTCTCACCACCAAGTGCGTCCATCAACAATTCACCATTTAGCGAAAAACCTGATTACAATTTCATACACAATATTTTTTAATATACTAATTTATATACCAGATTACAAATTCTATGTTTATGGTAAACCCAATTTTTGCAAATCTAACTGAATTAATTTTTGTATTATTTATAATCAAATCATCTACAGTTCATTCTAAAATCTACGTAAAAAGGCGCCAGCTCCTTAAAATGAAATACAAAAAAGGTTTAAAAATGGAAATAAGATTTTTTTTAAATTTGTCTATTAATTCTACAATAAGTATATACAATGCAGTTAATATAAAATAAGAAAGTATATTTCACAAACTCTTGCGTAAAATTTGTCAATATTACTTATTAGTACAAAGCAGCAAGCATGAATATTATAGTTTATTTAAATCATACAGTTTCGTATCATTTCATGTTTTCCATTTCATCTCAGCGTAAACATGATTTGACAGAAAGAAACAAAAGAATACTTAAGTTTTCAGATTGCAATTTTGTTTGAGATTAGAACCTGTACAGTATGGTACAGAACAATGCCAGAAAGTATTTTCTTTATCCTATAAATTTCAAACCAGATAAGAAACTGTATAATAAGGATATTAGTTAAAACCGTGTCATATCAGTATCTAAAAAAATCGGTGTAATTAAAAGTATTTCGTGCCCCAAAGAGGCTTATTCCATAAGCGTTTACCAAGTATTTGCAAAGCGAAGCACGTGATGTTACTTTATAAGCTATGATGTTTTGCTGTCTAACCTATATCATGCCTATTATTCGATCGAACGCAAGCTAATTTCAGACAAATCTAAGCTTGAATAAACCTCGGCAGGGACATTTTACGATAATCTAAGTAGTCATTATACAAGTATAAAAAATATTAAATTGTAATTATTTGTAAATAGCAAAAGATAATATTTAAGTTATAAGTATTAATCAAAGCTAGTGTAATGCGTAAATTGAGATGGTAGTCATACATTTAGGATATATTCTGTTTTAGGCGTAATGCTTAAGAAAAAAATCAAGAGTGAACAGACACAACAAACGCAACTGGACTAACCTACGTCCTAAAAGTTATTTAAATATATACATACAACTATTGAAAACCTTTTTGAAGTTATACTTCTTTAGGCGCGTTATGAAATATTGATGAGAGTGAAATTTTACGATGCGCGCGCACCGTTACACAAAATTATGAGTATGAAGTTGCCCATTAACGAATTATTTTTAAACCAGCCGGGCGCCGAGCGTGCGCGAGCGAGATGGGAATAAGACAATCTACAAGTAAAAAGAAATAGAATATGTGTGAAGTTAGCAGCTATGCCAAGAATTTTGAATGACCATAATGATCTTTTAAACAAATAAAGGAGTTTTAATTAATTTTTTCAAAGGAATTTTTTTTCTTTGTGAAAAGCAATGCTTTTTCACAAAGACCTATTGTTACTTCGTTAAAAGGTTATGAAACATACCTAGTTATTAAATTGAATGAATAATATAATAAAATAATTAATAATAATTGAATAATATACTAAATATTAAATATTATTAAATTATTAACGTTAAATATTTATTATTAATTATTTAATATTTTAAAAAAATAAAGAAAGCCAAAGAAGTATAACTTCTTACGCGCGTACATAAGTACACGTACCATTTTTTTTTAATATACGGTATCAAATGTGTATAATACACACCAATTTAGTGATTGGAAAATACAAGTGCCATAGGAAATTCGAAATATAAATTATTATTTAAGCTTGAAAATGCCCCTGCCTGTATGAATCGCGGTAAGCAAAATTCGTACTTATCGTCTTGTCTATGAGATCTAGGAAGACGCCTACAACATCACCGACCGCCCATTGCTTCCCAAACGACTCCAAGCTACCGGAATACACTTTTTCCTCCTTAAATTAGAAATGTAACTTGCAATTACATTTTGATTGAAAAAGCCCCAACGAAAGCCAAAATATTGTATATAACTCTGTAGTAGTACATCTTTACAAATATGTTATATAACAAAAAAGATATCTTATTATAAGGATCCGTTCTATCTTGTAGGAAGGTAATTATGTAAACTGAAAGACGAACAGATGGCTCAGTTGGATTCTGATTGGTCCACAGCATCTATAGCCACGTTGACACGTGACATGAAACGTCATGTTATAACGTTCTTTGACCAAATACAATCGAACGCAACTTTTTGTCTTGCGGCATTCATTATATATATCTCAGCCCCAAGATCACTTTTGTTGGCACCTATTAAAGAATAAATTTTACAAAGAGGTGATGTCTACTGCAAAGTCTTAGACCTTCTATTTTAGCGCTTTAATATAAATAGTTTGTGTCGGTCTAATCTATGACTTCCATATTGTCAAGGGTGTGTTGCACTCATGTTTCTACATAATTTTAATTTAACCAATTTCAGATATTCAATATAAATGTTTGTTTAGATAATGTGACCATGTGATTATTATTTAGTAATTTGGAATTGATAAACCAATTCAACACAAACTCAAAGGAATTACATACATTATAAGAAGAAAAAGAGGAAGGGACAACATATAAATTTAAGTTAATATATTTTAGATTTTCAATATACTCGGAGATGGAATTCGAAGTCAATAATGTATGTTTTGTGTTGCCACTACTAAATTGTCTTTTATGTAGATGTCAACCAAGACCATTCTATTATAAAACCTTTTTAAATATACTGGCAACATTTCTAATAACATTGATAAGAACGAATAACATTATTTTAAATTGTCAAAATTAGTAAATTATTTAATTATATTTCTTAATAGTTTAATAAAACTTTACTATCATGAAAAGTTTTACTATTGCTCGAGACTATCTGTTGTCACTCCTATCAGTGTCAAATTGACAGCTTACATTTTCGATATCGAGTTCCATCTGGTCATAGTTAGACAAAAACGTTCAGTTTTTTTTATTTTTTGACTCACTAATTGTTTGATCTGGAACATCTAAGAAACAGGCGACTATATCGCCTACTTTGAGCTGCTGTCCAAACGTGTCGCTTGAACCACCGTGCCATTTTAACGACTGCATTGCAATTTATTATGAGTTCAGAATATTTTATATTTTAGACTGTTTTAACAGTGTGTTAACGATCTATCAATCATTTTATAGTGAATGTTCGTCGGTCCACAAAAACGAAATTAATTCCCATATTACATATTTTTTTAAATTTTAGTACCCCTACAGTAGCCATCCGATCAGGCAGATCTGTTGCCTAAAAACTTGGCAGCAGGGGAGTGTCTTAGCTTGGCGTCTCTATATATTATACTTACTATATATTCTTCTAGTTTTACAATACGTAATATTTACCCGGAATCACACTCAAGATACTATCATGTCTGACAACCGAATAACTTATAAGATTAATTATTTATTAAAAAAATACGATTACATACATTATATCCGTCGAATGCCCAGGAATTTTCGTCTTGCCCCAACATCATACCTGGAGGCATATCAGCATGGGCCCAGCCAACCTGCAAAAAACGTTGTTTCATTAAAAGCAAGTTTTTTTTAACATAATCACTAGAATAGCTAAAGCCGTTTGATAAAATTCACCCCCATTCAAAGCCACAATAAATTTAACTTGATAAAGATGAAGACTCACCCTCATAGGTCCAGCAGTTAGTATTTCGAATTCAAAGTACCATTTGCCAGAACTAACAGCGTAATTCTTCTCGGCTCTGTATGTTCTAAATTCTGCTTGCTTTTGTCTTGAAGCTTCAGCAAGTAATGCTGAAAATGAAAACAACAATTCGTAAAAAAAATTATCCCGTTTTCATAGTTAACGACCCGTTCTAATTGGGGAAGCATATTATAGGGTGTTTTCTGAGCCATGTCATGATTAAAAAAAAACATAATTACATGAGTTCTATATAGAACATATTATACATTCGAAAAGGCCTTGTTTACTGGAAACAAAAAATCTGGAAATCTGGAAATATCACCTTCGTGTTGTTCTCCCGTGGGTGGATCCAAGTTGTATCCATAGACTAGTAGAGTCCTTACGGTCTCCGACGCGGTGTCTCTGTTAGCTTTTTTAATTGCGTCGTCAACTTTTGGATACGGCACTAAATGGGGTGAACGATTCATATCGGGATCCTGTAGCAAGTGTATAAATTATTAAGTAAAATAAATTCTATATTTCTTTCAGTTGGTTTTATTGATAATTAGTATGAAGAGATTAAATAAGGCACATTTTGTAGGTTATTTGCAAATGCTGAGTGCCATTGAACTTGTTATATGTTTAAAAATAATAAATTATTTTTCTTTAAAATCGAAAACTTTAGTTTATGTGAAAAATTATACACTGGTTTGTTCACTGTCCACAGACCATAATTATGAGGTAAACGGAAAGATCTACAACTTCTAGGCTTTTTGGAGTTGTGGACGTACGAGGATAGTTGCGTATACGGCGCGGTCTTGACAGGACATATCACTGAGAAGCTAAAAAGTGCTTGGACATACGGCAAAACGTTTGTTTTCTAGTGAGGTGAGATGAAACAATGTGTCCACTTTTATGTTTGGGCAGTGAACCTGTTAATGGAATATGTAATTTTTTGCATTATGATAAAGGAAGCAAGTTTTAATATGCAATAAAAATTATCAGTCAAAGCAGCAGAGCAATCTAAACATATCATACCTCATTAAGGCCATAAGTCCACCCTTGTTGTATCCGCTCCCTCGCCCATAAATTGTGAGTGTTCTCAGCTAATTGGTCCACTAATTCGTCCATCTTAGGAGTAAGGGTCACCGCGCTTAGGTCCAATGGAGCTGGCTTATAGCCGTTCGACTAAAATTACAATAATATTTCAGGACTATTATATTGTGTGAACTTTATCTCTATATATATAAAATTCTCGTGTCACAATGTTCGTTCCCATACTCCGACCGATCCGAAACGGCTCAACCGATTATTATGAATTCTTTATGCATATTCAGTATGCCTGAGAATCGGCTACTATCTATATTTCAAACCCCTAAGTGATAAGGGGTGTTGAACTAAAAAAATGTTTCCTAGAAATAATATACATGGCAAAACAACGTTAGCCGGGTCAGCTAGTATTTTTATATTTATCATAAATAAAATTACCTGCATAAATGGTTCGTTGGGCAATCTGACGTTACGGATACGAGCCGGTGGTTTATCCAAACTTATATAGTAACCCAGGGCCAATATAGTCCTGAGAAAAACATAGAAAAGTTATAATTAGAATATACTTTGAAAACAAAAAAATTGTACTACAGTAAATTTTCGAAATTAAGCTTCATAAAATCTTAGTATATTTGTAATTTTACATTAAACGAGGTACCATCTTGCTTGTCTCTTACTTAGACAAATCTTGAAAAAAAAAAACGTGTGGCATTCGGGACTGCCGCGGTAAAGCTATTGCATAATTTATTTTTTTCAACTTATGCAATTATAATTATTTTTTTATGCAGTATTTTTTTTCTTTGATATTAATTCAAGTTTTTTTCTTTGATAAATTAATTAAATCTACTCGCCTATATAGTCTGTCTCACTCTAACGCGCACTGGTTGCACCGATCTTGTCGTGAATACGCAGTATGCGTTCTGTCCCGCTCTAACGCGTAAGGTTTTTTTCGTTACGGAATTTCTGTATCCATACTTATCCCTCAATAAATTTCTCCAAACTTTGTGCTTGTATTTGATTACAAAGTACTGTTTTGATTTCCTTAAAAATGTGATAAGGGGGCGTTCAAGTATTACGTCACGCAATTTTTGGTTACCCCCACGTAACGCGCCGTAACGTTTTTCTGTACCCAATAGTAAAACGTCTGGACCACCCAGTGACTCTTTATACCTAAAAGTTACAATTTTGTGGTGTAAAGTACCGGAAAGTCGCCCCACATCGTAACATTTTACAAAAGGACCCCCCTCCCCCCATAATCCGTTACGTAATACTTGAACGCTCCCTAATACACTTCGACTTACTTAAGAGTTTGAACTGCTAATTGGATATCGTATCGCTTTTCAGCAGCCGGAAGACGCTCGAAGGGGACCAGGCAAGGATGTACTTTATGCAAATCATCTCTTTGGTCTCCGTACATCCAACCTGCTTCAATCTACAAAACGTTCTTTTTTTCATTTAAAATTATTATGACGTCATTAAAGTTATGAAACTTGATTTTCAAATTACTGCAAACGCTTTTAATTGCCTGTTATTCAAACAGAAAGTTGACTTTGGGTCAGCGACTAACTTTAAGAAATTAAACTTAACCTAACCCGTTGCTTACATACTAAAAGTTAGCCAATGCTTAAGACAACTTTTGTTTTATTATATTCCTTTTCAAATTATGTACCTGTAATGGTTATGGCTGATATGAGAAAAGAAAAAGAAGTTGATAGGTTAGGCGATAAATTTTACATCTATAAACCACAGCGGGTGGCGTGAACTAGAGTTGCACGGGATATAAATAAGTTCAGAGTTAGGGGCCTCATAGCCTAGCGGTCTTATTAAGTGGCAGCTAGGTGAGGGGTACCGGGTTCGAATCCCGGTTCGAGGGCAAGTTTTAATTTAAATTTGTTCTCGGCCTTTGGGAGGGTTGTACGGTACCGGGCGAGTGCCTAAACCGTACATGGAGGACATGGTCGAATTTCTTAGGCAAAAAGCACGAATTATAAAAATCTTATACTTGACGCTGGCTAATGCACAAGCCGTGCCAGAGCCATAAAAAAAAAGTTCAGAGTTAAAAATGAAGATGAAATATTTAGTTTTTTGTATATTTAATTAAAGTATATTATCTCATCACCTATTCAAGAAAGAAACACAGATTGAATTCATTATCATAAGCAATCATAAGCAAAATCAATTTGCATCATTAAATAAGTCATGTTGAAATAAATAATAAATGATCAAGAACATTTTTTAAGTTGATTTTTATTTAATTTTTAACACAGATTTTGGGTAGTTATAAATATTAAGAAAGCATATTTTACCTTATTCATGGCCCACATTTCGTGTATATTTTCAGCAAGTTTGTCCCGAATTTGTTCGATATATGACGACAGTGTAATCTGAAAAAGAGATTTAAAATTTCTGGGTTAACTGAACAGTTAAGGTTATGATTTTTATTGTTTACAAGAAACTGATGACCTTATTACGAACACTTTACTAAGAAAACATTTACTATGCTTGCGTGTAATGCTTTCAAGAGGAAGGTGATTAAATTTTTAAAGGCAAGGTGCTTTTAAGCGTCGGCGAGTACTTAGATATAAGTAAGTTATGCCATAAGTTTGACAACAAATATAAATAACTTAACTATTCTTATTATTATTATTATGAAATTATGATAATTTATACGACATTTGCATGGCTTTTTTATATGGCTGATGTTTATAATTAATGGATATGAATGTTTCTTTCTCTAAATGTATTTTATAATTAATTAATTTTGAATCAGACTAAAATACATATCTAGTTCACGAGTGTTTTGTACAGGAAGATAAAAAAACAGTTAATAGTTACGAATCGTAAATATTTACTTAGAAAATAACGCTCTTAAGTTGGTACTTCAATGGTAAAATGTACCTTATTGTGAAAATACTTACAGAGGCAGTATCAACAGGTGTAGGCACAAAGGCAGTGTCATCCTGTACCAAGGGCGGACCAGCCAGAGCGCGTTTAGCCAAGTTGCCAAAGTAGAAGCATGGCTCCAGGTTCAATATCTGCTGCGGTAAGAGAGATTCTACCAATGGGGAGTATCCTTCTGGCGCCGCGTACCTTAGCCTACCGTGTTCGCCTCCCATGAGAAAACGGCAACTGAAAATATTTGGTATTGACGTTACATTAAAGTTTCGCGTTTTACCTATATATAATTAAACATAAGTACCACAAAAAAGTACTGAACGCAGAGATATCAATATACTTAAAAATTAAAGTCTTAGACACGTGTATATTTCTATCTCTTTCTTACGGTAGTCAATCATGGAAGGAAAGGAATAGCAACTTGTCAACGAGGAATGGAACGTAGTATTCTCTGTTTAAAATAAAGATAAGAAGGACAGAAATAAGAAAGAAAGTAGAAATTATTAATTGCAACAAACGGAAGTGGAAATGGGTGGGCCACACCGCTCGCATGGACAATGGCAGATGGAAAAACAGGGTAACAAGGTGAAAAGGATCACCACAAAAAAAATACAGGTTGCCCTCTTGCACGGTGGGCTGTCGAGCTCAAAGAAGTGGGTGAAAGATTGGGAGAAAAAGGCTTAAGATAAAGAGAGATGGAGTCAGTTGGACTGTACTACTCTATAAGAGGTCTTTGAAAAAAAATCTTCCAATCGAACGAATGTTTCAAGGAATAAATTTAAATATTTTTACCATAAACATAGTCACAATCAACATAACCAATCGCAAAGAAAACACATAGTTACTTTATTTAAAAGTATACTTGACCAAAGACAAGAAAGACAAAAGACCGTAACCTCTATTAGCAAGATCATTTATTTTATAAATTGTAACGACATCTTATTTTGTATGTTTTAAAGTTTATTATTCAATGGCACACATTAGAATTGGCCATTAGCCCTAAAAAGCCTTACCTCAACTTGCTAGAACAACTCATGACAGGGAAGAACATTCCTTCCAGGTTGAAATTCGTGAAGGAACCCGTGACCCTCACTCCGTTGAACATGAAGTTGATGATCGGGACTGTGAGGTCTAAAGCACAGCCAATGACATCACCTAAAAAATTATAACGTAGTAGTGTTGGTCTAGTGCTTCAGCGTGCAACTCTCATCCCCGAGGTCGTAGGTTCGATCCCCGGCTGCGCACCAATGGACTTTCTATGTGCGCATTTAACATTCGCTCGAACGGTAAAGGAAAACATGGTGAGGAAACCGGCTTGCCTTAGATCCAAAAAGTCAACGGCGTGCGTCAGGCACAGGAGGCTGATCATGAAACAGATACAGAAATCAGAGGCCCAGACCTAAAAATGTTGTAGCGCCACTGATTTATTTATATTTATATAGTAAGTAGACGAAATTAAAGGTCTTCAAATATCATATTTTCCATGGATCTCTCTCTCTCTTCAATTGGCAGCTCAAGTCTGAGCGTCGTGGTCAGCAAGGAAGCATCTGGACCGGACTATATATTTCCAGCGGTTTTATGGGTACAATATATACTTTAACTGTTTTAGTTGACCTTTGACGGTTCGAAAATCGATAACAGGGACTATGAAATATAGAAATTTCTTTTCACCATCATACCTTTCCTGATAAAGGGCTCCTCAGCATGAGTCTTGTTGACTTGAGTCTTCCGCCCACCAGACCATAGGTAGGCTCCATCAAACCCAAAGGAATAAAGATCGTCCCCGACCCCATTACCACCCCACTTTTCACCGCCGCCGGGGTAAGGAACGTAACTGGAATTCGAAATATTTAAAACTAAAAATCCAATAGTACAGTGGGTTCGTTAAAAAGGAGTATGATATATGAAATAAACATTTTTAATCACCACGTGCAGACCCAAATACAGAGCGAGGTCGCGTTACACAATTGACGGCTCATTGGTCTAGTGGTTAGTACCCCTGACTGCAAATCCATGGGTCCCGGGTTCGATCCCCGGCTCACAAACATCGATGTGATGAGCATTTGGTGTTGTGCTTAGGTCTTGGGTGTTTAAATATGTATTTATATATCTATCTATCTATAATATGTATGTTTATCCGTTGCCTAGTACCCATAACACAAGCTTCAACAGCTTAGCATGGGACTAGGTCAATTGGTGTGAATTGTCCAATAAAAAAAATAAAATTTTTTTTATAATATTCTTAGTTAAACAAAACAGTTGAGTAAAATCTCTTTCTGTTAATGTAACATTTTCAATTAAAATATTTCCACTTACTAAACATACAAAGAACATGGATAAGATCCGGAGTCTAAACTTAGTCAAACATATGTCAACTTTAATACTTTTTTAATATACAGGAGCCAGACTTAACGCAAAGTCTCGACCCTAATCCAAGATTCGTTAAACTCCTAATGAATTTAACTGCCAAATTTAACCAAACGTACCTACTCACTAAAATTGACTGAGCAACTTTTTAAAATTTGATTAAAGTAAATTTACTTTAAATTTAAAAACTACTTACATAACAAGTGTATTTTTGTGTTATTATGTCTTAAGTGCTAAACAGTGGTAAGTGATAAACTAGGTGACCAGAACAAAGTGTCTTCCCCTTAATAGAGACTATAAGTAGTGTTATTTGAACCTTTCTAATGTGGAATATTCTGATTAATTAGATTAGATTTAAATTAAACAGCATTAAGTTAGGCTAGATTGTAATATTGATATCTCAGTAGAAAAACAATGTATAAAAATAATAAAACTACGTTATGGTAGAAATCTTAAATAACTTACCCCGTTGTATTTGCCCATCCAATCCTCAAATGCGGCATCATGTGTGTGGTCTTCTCAATATGGTCCATGGTGACTTCGAAATACCATTTTTGATATACGGCAGAACCTTCTACACGACCCACAAAAATATTTGGTCGCACACTGAAAATATAAACTCGCAGTGTATTAAAAAAATACAGATACAGATTACTGTGCAAATGAAAACAGATTCAATTTATGCGTCTAACCGTAGTTTTTTCAATATTGAATAAATTTTTGAATCATCATTTTGCAATTGAAAGAGTAGAACTTTGAAGTAATTTTTTATTTTTATTTTTTTTAAATTTAAATTATTAAAAGTTCTTTCGTGTTTTATACAATATTTTTTCTGAATTAATCCTACGTGGGTCTGAAAATGTTTGCTCCTATTCATTACATAATAAACTCAAACTCAAAATAAATTTATTCATATAGGTAACCGAGTTCACTTATGAACGTCTACAGAAAAGATGTTAAATCGATTCTAAATTTTCATATGCTACCAGTAGTAAATTAAAAGATGCGTAGAGCGGGCAAGAAGAACTGGCAAGAAACTCTCCGCCACTCTTTTTAATCGCCAAGTTTTGAGTCATACAAATTGTTTAAACTGGAGCAAATCAATTCCAAGGATTAGAATCATTTAAATCGTTATATCATAATATTAAGTTTTGAATTTATTCAGTGATAATTCTCTAATTTTGCTTGGGAGTATATACTATACATTTCACTTGATAGAGAAAATCAATATATACCTTGACACATGGTCAACTAAAGCAGTCTGGAGTAGCAAGTTCTTCCCTGGTAGTAAATAGTCACAGATGTTATTCTGCGACGACCTGACAGCTACTCCATTACCCACACAAAGCGAACACAAGACGTCCAATACTTTCGGATCTCGGCCGTGTTTCTCTAAAAGCGAGATGATTACTTTGATGTGCTCATCCTAAAACACAAAAATTAACTTAAATTAATTGAAATTACTTTGATAACAATATTAATGTTAATATTTTTTTCCGGGTAAAGTCATAAATCAACATGGCATCGATTCTGTTAAAAGTAAAATATTGCCACACTAACTGAAAACTTAAACTCAAAATGACTTTATTCAGATAGGCAACCAAGTACACTTATGAACGTCAACAGAAAAGATGTTAAATTGATACTAAATTTACATTTTACCAGGTCGCAAGTCAAGGGCGTAGAGCGGGCGAGAAGAACTGGCAAGAAACTCTCTGCCACTCTTTTTAATCGCCAGGTTGTGCCCCGCGTTTTTTTTGAAGTAGAAACCCTACTGAATACTTGAGGGCACTCTATTAGATAAACTGTATATATGTATTCTATATTTCTGTTATCATGATTCTGTCTCTTATATATTTTGTTTGATCGAATAGTCTAGTCAACAAGTTCAAAAACGTGAAAAATAGAGATAAAGGTCCTAAAAATATGAGCGATGGCTCATTCGATTCGGAATCACCTCTAGAAAAATGTTTTTGAAGGATTTTGGTGCAGGTTAAAAATTGCAATTGTTATTAACAAAATAAGATGAAAAAAAAATGATATTTCGTTTTTTGTTAATAACTCGAAAAATATTAAGATTTAAGCAATTTTTTTACTTAAACAAAAACTAAAAAAATCCAAGTAATGTTGTTATAGTAACAAAATTGTTATAAACAAAGTATAAATATTTTTTTTACTTTTATGGCACGATCTTGTTAAGTATGTATGTAAGAAAGGCTCTACGAAGCGAAAAATTTTTACGACCATTATTTAAACATTTTTTTTCACTTACAATCACTTTTTCTAGAGGTGATTCCAAATCGAATGAGCCATCGCTCATATTTTTAGGACCTTTATCTCTATTTTTCACGTTTTTGAACTTGTTGACTAGACTAGAAGCACGATGCTTTCTTCGGTAAAAAGACTAACCAATAAACAATTACAATTCCTGTTATTACCGCGTTAATTGTGCTTTAAATTAGTATAGATATATTTAGTAGTTAGATTTATTACTCACTCGCATCATATTCAACGCTTCAGGCGAGTCAATAAGCACACAATGTAGTACATCCAGCATCCCAGTTCCCTCTCCAGATGCCTGCGAGCCCAGACGAGAGAATAACCAGTTCAGGCGGTTCGAGTTCGCGAATTGGGCACAGTTTGTGTGGTTGCCTTTGATTATCGCAGCTGGAAATGATAAATGTATTTTTGTTAGAAGATGTTAAATGGACCTGGAAAACCTGCACAACAACAACAAATCAAGGACTAATAAATTAAAAGTTATTAAGATATTTATTTTATTGCAAGGTTTGTTTATTATTTTAAAATCTCGTGATCTACGATGTGCATTTCTGTATTTTAAAATAAGAAGCGATTTTATTTCAAACTTTACAAAATATATTTTTACTAATTGAATACTTATTTTATTCATCCTAAATCATTAAAAACTAAATGTTTTTTTTTAATGGCTCTGGCACGGTTTGTGCATTAGCCAGCGTCAAGTACATATAAGATTTTTATAATTCGTGCTTGTCTTTAGAAATTCGACCGTGTCCTCCATGTACGGATTTTAAGCACTCGCCCGGTACCGCACAGCCCTCCCAAAGGCCGAGAACAAATTTAAATTAAATTAAATCTTGCCCTCGAACCGGGAATCGAACCCGGTACCCCTCACCTAGCTGCCACTTAACAAGACCGCTAGGCTATGAGGCCCCTAAAACTGAATGTTTATTTACCTAAAAGTTGATACAAATACACAGATATCATATCCCAACTCTGTCCCGATTCGTCTCCCGCCAAAAAGCCGGCAAGGAAGCCCTGTGACGTAATCACGTTTATCTTGTCTATGGCTTCTAAAATGAGGTTCAATATTCCTTCCTCTTGGAATAGATCTTGGCGGTTTCGGAGGGCTCGGAATCTATTTTGTTTTTCTTCGTGTTCTGAAAAAAAGCGATTACTTAATCCCATTTACAAAACAATAATCATTTCGGGTTCAGAAGTTGATCACCTATGTCAAAATAAATAGTTTTTTTTCTGTGGCTGACAGATGCCTTTTATTTTTCACATATATATAGGTTCTATTGCCGGGGAAAGGAAACCTCTTTCCTTATTTGATGTTTTTTTTAAATTCTGTTCCTATAAAAACATTAAATAAAGGTAATAAATTATGCAATGCAAAATTTTACAAACATGAATATATTCTTTACTTTGAAATGATTAATAATATAATTTTTCTAATTTAGGTTCATACCCATATCCTCTTCGGGTTGTGCGAAATAATTAATCAAATCCTCAAGACACATGACCATTTCTCCAAGATTCACAGACGCGAAGAACATAGAGTGACGTCTGTTCTCTTGTAATGTCTCAAGGCCACTGAAAGTTAGTTTTTTATGACATTATTAATAAAAACTAAAACTGTCTTATTTATTTATAATAACATACAGCTACACATATTATAAAAATACACTTATACCCGACTTTTAACTCCGCAGAATTCTGACAGATATAATTTTTTGACATGTCAGAGATGGCAAACCTTTTTAGCCGAGCACATTTTTCAATTTCAATACGAGTCTGAACATCTGAGTCTATACATACATTTTATTTGTTAGTGAATGTATCCATTTTTTAAGTGCGGTGTTCTACATTAAAAGTGGTTTAATGGCGAGTGATAATTACGTCTCTTTTCATCACAAACAATAAAAAACGCACAAGTTAAGATAACATTTTATTTTACTAAAAAGGTTTACTAAACCTGGAATTAGTGGGCAGTGATGGCAGCTAAAGAATAAAATAAATTAATTAAAGTTAATTCGATATATTGTTCCTGATATTTAAATATTTGTTATTTTTGTATTAGGTCACTTGAGTAAGTAATTATTTAGATTTACCTTTTTGTAGGTAAAACATAAAAATACGTAGCATTTTATTTTTTATTGCCCTCAAATGGGTCAAATTTGTCCCTTTTTCGGTGGAGAACTTTTTTAGTAGCAACACTAATGAAATGGCAGAATTCTACAGAATGAAAAATCGGAGTATAGACAATATACAAAGCCAAAACAGATTACATTGTTAAACAAAATATACGAAACAATTCTAGAAAGTCTAGAAATTCATCTGATCGTACGCCCATTTAGAAAACTCCACTAAATCTCCAGAAACACGACACTCACTTAATGAACTTCGTGAAGAGTGAAGAACACTTCCTAATCACCCTGGCGGTTCTAGACTCCTCTTCTTGGGACCGAGAGAAGTCCAAACCATCATCCATCTTTCCTTCCTCGTGAAGTATCGCTTGTTTCTCTTCTACTTTACCTAATCCCTTTTTCTTCGTTTCGTAAGACTGTAAGAATGTTGCATAGGAAATTGTGTTTAGTCAAATACTGTTAAAAATGCAATAAGCGTTTTAGGAGGAAAATGTATTATTATGATATTTTTATTATTTATAAATAAATTGCCATTACGGGTGACCCCTAATGCGGCAAGTATTTATACTTATACTTACATACAAAAATATATATTTTCTAGAAACTATATTTAAAACGGCGTAATTGCAAAAGTAATGAACCATATATCAATTCAGTAATACTGACCACTTTAATGTTCATATAATCCCAAGAGAGTGAGTTCAATTCAAGGCATAACAATAATTATTTGGTGTAGGCAAGGAATTTTGATGGATATCGAACCTAGATACTCTGAATTACGTGGCATGTTCGTTTTCAAGTAGAGCACTAATGCGATCAACAATTAAATACTAACAAATATCATAGTTTCGTATCAGGAATTAAGAACATACGCCCTTCTTAAAGTCGGTTAAAATGTGAATGTATCAAATACCTTATAAGATAACCACAATCCGGTTTCAGAATGCTGTACAATGACAGTGGAGTCTCCATACTTGATGATGGGAGCCCCGATGACCTCTAAGTCTTTGTCTTCCAAAACCACTTTCTGGTCATCCTTCTCTTGTCGGAGGCAGAAAGCACAAGATGCTGTTGTAGCTTCCTCTCTGAAGTATAAAATTTTAATTAATTAATTTAGCAATATATTTGTGATGATATTTCTATGAAACCAAACACTGAAACATCTGCATATAATGAGAACAACTTAGTAAATGCAGAAATTTCTGTCAAAGTGTCAAAAAATGAAACTAAAAACCGCAATAAAAAAATTCGTTTATTAAGAAATTCCTTTATTTCACTAAATCTTATAACTTAAGACACCGTTCAGGGGTGAAACGCTCATTATAAAAGTATAACCCCTATGGACACACAGACTAGGACAACTTTTGAAATAGATTAGACTAATTTTATTTGTAATTTCTTTTGATAATCTTTACTTTGGCCTAGTCTATTAGGCTTTAGCGTCCGACTCTCATCCTGTGGTCGTAGGCTAAAGCGACCGTACACCAATGGCATTTCTGTCTATGTGCGTATCGAACAAAACCCGACATGTCTCAAATAAAAATCGACCACATGTGTCAGACAGAAGGCTGATCGCCTATCTAATATATAAAATTCTCGTGTCGCGGTGTTTGTAGTTAAACTCCTCCGAAACGGCTGGACCGATTCTTATGAAATTTTGTGTGCATATTGGGGATGTCTGAGAATCGGACAACATCTATTTTTCATCCCCCAATTTTTTTTTTTAATTTTTTTTTATGATACAACATTAAAAAATACATCCAACCCCTCAACAATAAACCCCTATTTTTTATTATAAATATGCATGGCAAAACGATGTTTGCCGGATCAGCTAGTCTGTCTATAAAATAAAAGTGATCAAAGAAATGAATGCAATCTGAGGGATTCTAATATTTCACCAAGACCAATAATCTGTTTGTATAATATCAGCTGCCCACTGAAGTATTTTCGAACCAGTTCCACTTTAAGGGTCCTTTAAGAAAAGAGCGTACCAATTCTTGAAAGGCCGGCAACGCACTTGCGAGCCTTCTGGTAGTGTGAGTGTCCATGGGTGGCGGTATCACTTAACATCAGGTGAGCCTCCTGCCTGTTTACCTCCTTTTACATAAAAAAATATAAATGGGAGTATTTTTTAAATTTTCTCACCTGCTAACCAAATACAGCTCGTTCTGATCGTTGACTCCCAAATAGCGGCCCGTGGTAATGTGTCTTATCCTCATGGGGTGGTACCAATTTATAAAACCACCAGCCCATTTGGTACGCGCCAGCTCCAGTCGCCATAAAGAGCGAGCTTGAGACATTACTGAACCACCTTCATATACCACGATACTGAAAAAGCAATGGAATAGTTAACAATCTCATGTAAACTTTAAAAAAAAATTACTCTAGTGACAGTAAAATCACACTTAGACCGTATTAATGCGAGTGAAACCACTAGGCACAGCTAGTAGTTGATACAATCCAATAAATGAAGTATAAAATAAAAGTATTTTTTTATTAATCTGACAAATTAAAATATAATGGCCACTTTTGACTATCATACTACGCGTTCTATACTTAATTTGTATCGCATTTGTACAATATTCCTATTTCTATCAACCTTGTAAATTTTTGATAATTTTGAATGTTATGGCAATATTATTGTATACATGTTACATAAAAAAAATGAATATCATTTATGATGAATACGTAACTCACGATGTACATAATTAACGTCAATTATCAAGCAAATAGTTAAATTGAGATCTCAAAAAATTAAGGCTTTTGTACCTAACGGATGTATGAATAATGGCAATAAAAAATATGCGTGACTTACTTATAAAGAACTCATCGATAATACAGTCCTAGATATTTTATTATGATTATGTAACGTTATTTATTTATCTTCGACTAATCCGTCAAGGTTTTGTCTGACGAGCTTTTTGACCGAAATGATAAATTCAAAATTATACAAATTATTTTATTGGTTATTATTTTTATTAAGAAAGGCTTGTTGACATACCAACTAACATTTAATGTAAGTATCCGGTATTGATCATTAAATAACTAAATATAAACTGTAGAGCGAAATTATTACGATATTGAAGCCTACAAAATTTAACAGCAAATTGAGTCAAACACAAGTTTTACACTTGCCCTTGCGCGGGGCCAAGCCAAAATACCCAATCCCTGCCCCCCACCCCCCCCCCGTTATAAAGGGAGGGCCCCCCCCCCCCCCCCCCGGCCCCCCCCCGGGCGGGCCCCCCTCCCCCCCCCTCATTTTCCCTTTTTTTTTTTTTTGCCCCCCCCCCCTTGGCCCCCTTTTTTTCCCCCCCTCCCACTTGTAAATATTCGTTGACTTACTTTAGCCCCCCATCTTTGCTCCATGTACTGGGTATCGTGAGGCATTCATCACCTCCATGGAAGAACCTCAGCACGTCACCTCCAAAGACATAACCCACGTACTTCATACGGGAAATTCCAGTACCATAAGGCTGTACTGACCAGTGTGTGACGTGGAATGAGGCGTTTACTATTGAAACTTCGTTCTCTTTGGTTGTATGCTGAAATTTTGAGTCATAATATAATATCCTGATTGTCACTTTAAAACTAAGTTGAGCGAGATTCAATTCTTATGAGCTGGTTATCATACATTCATAAGTTTAAAAATTAGGCTAATTTCGAAGCACTTTTAGTATCCTTTAAGGTTTACAGTTTTAGCGAGCTTTAGGTAAACTTTTTAATTTATTGAAGTTATACTTCTAAGACTCCTACATAGGCTACCTCTCTGTCATCTTTTAAAACTCTTCTTATAATCATTACTTAACCTTATCCTATCCTGATCAATCGTGACTTGTATAAATCTTATGTTTCCTTGTACATCACTATTTGCTGTCCATGTATTTGTAAGATTAGCTTTTAAGTTTTTAGTCTGTTGTTAGTATTTTTATTTTTGTATTACTTTAGATTAAGGTACTATGTATATATATTTTTTTTTTTATATAACATTTGTTACTGCACTTCTCCACGAATCATGTTTTTTTTTAGTTTTTTCTTTAACTAGGGTTGCCTGGAAGAGATCGCTTATTAGCGATAAGGCCGCCCGTTGCATCCCTATAATTTTTTTTTTATTGTGTTTGATTTATTGTTTTTTGCAACGAAGTGTTAATAAATAAAATAAATAAATAAATAAGCGCGTTAGGGAAAAATTATGCGAGTAAATTTTAACGATGCGCACGCACACCGTCACAAAATTCCGACACCCTGAAGTTGAGCTATAGTTAGTTTTTTTTGAAGTTATTAAGAAAAATTATGAGAGTACATTTTTCTATTGCTAGTCGTCATTTTTTATACAAACGTAGAATAAGGCGAAAGATAAAATTTTTGAAAAGATTTTTATCTTGTCACGCCAAAGAAGTATAACTTCTAACGCGTGTACATAAGTACACACACGTTTTTTTATGATTTATTAATTCGCCAATGGATATTTACATCCTCCGACAGTTAAACACATTTTCTAGAAAAAAAAGTTTGATATTAAAAAAACTACGGAGTTGTAGTAAGAAGATTACTTCTTTAATAAAAAGTCTCGGAATTTTATTTTCGAACATAATGTGGGATAATGTAAATGCCTTATCAAATTCCTTACCAAATATCTCTCAGTAGCGACTGACACTAAGATCAGATCATCACCAACTCGCACCTTCTCACCCTCAGACCTATGACCAAAAATATTTGGTGAAATAAATTGAAGAGGAAGGTTTATTTTTAAAAACACACAAGCTATATTGATAAAACCTTATTTTACTGTTGCTAGTCCCCATACTAGAACATTGCTGTGTTGTGAGTGACCAGCCTCTTCCGAGATACAATAAAATAACAAAAACTTAGTATTTGAATATGTGCAGTAAAATAAAATCAAATAGATCAATGAATCACTTAAATCAACTATACTAAGTATTCTTTCCATTGTGTCATAATAGGGGTAATACAGGGCCCCTCAGATTGAAGTTTACAGAAGATTTCCTACATTCAAGAAACAACGATAGTTCAGTACCCTAAACTCCGGTATGAAACCTCTCGCTTCATAAGTACAAGAAACAATACCTTTGTTTGCTGGCAGGATGCAGTGTCCACCAGCATGCTTCACCTTGAGAATGCTCTTGTAAACCGACATCAAACGCCAACTTGTCTTGTGATGATGACGTGGAAAGACACGCCAAGTACTATAAAAAACGTTCAAACTGCTATTTTAATGCTGATTTAATATTAAACGAAAGCTCATTAAATAATTCGGACATAACTGCTGTCTTAAGCAGAATTTACGCCGTTTCCTTAGCTAAGCTTTGTGTTGCTTTTGAATTTAAATAATTTTTGTTACTTTAAAATAAACTTCTGCATAAACTTAAGAATCATAGCAATGATACTTAGGTCCCAGGTTTAATTGAAGAGAAAACATAAAATTAATTTATTTGTTTACCCTAGTGACATTTCTTCGTTATAATAGTGATTTGTCTTAAAACCCAATCTATTTTGTATAAGTAACACACAAGTCCTACAAAAACTCTCTCGAAATATACTATTGTTACCAAAGAAAATGAAACTGGAACAGCTATGAATTAATTAAAACATCGTTACCTCTGAATTCAGAGCGGTAACTTGCAAAGGAAAAAGCTAATTTAATCCATCATCCTGCTAGTAAAACCTCGAGTAATTAATTTATTCATATTTATTTATGCAAATCGGATCCACAAGAATGTATTTTATAAGGCAGCTTCTTAAAGCATTGGAATTCCGTTAGTACCTCATGATTTTAACAGGTACTAGCAAGAACCATACATATTCTACGTATGCTTAAAATATAAATCAATTTCATATAGAAAACATTAGCTCCAAGGGCGGTTTTGAAACTAACGGGAGCGCGAACTTTCACATAGTATTAGTGTAATCTAGATAAATTGTATTAAAAATTAATACATCCGACCTAAAGTAACATTATCGTATTTACGTACAGTTGAAGAAAGAAAAAGTAGTAGCTATCAAGAGCCTTGGGCCGACATTTTGCGACAGCCGACAGGCGAGACCTTAGGTCAGGCTTGGACACAGGACTTTTAAAAAGGTATTTTAGTCTCAGCCCCTTAGCATAGACAATAGAATAACTTACCATGTCACTATTCAGATGACGTAGCAAGATAGCATTGCCGTAAAGCAATGTTCTGTGACCGGAACCTGTGCCTTTACCCTGTGGGGGGAAAATTAAAAAATAATAACAAAAATATAAAACCTATTTTTGGTTAGCCTTAAAATGACAAAAATAAATGAATTAATAATTTGATCATTCAAGTTACTAAAATATAAATCTGAATAAAAACCCTTTTAATATTACATATATGTTTTATATATAATGTGCAGTGTAAAAATATACTAATAGGTGAATATATTATATACAAAATAGATGCATGCATTTAATTATCCTTTTTAAGTTACATTACAGTAACTTAAAAAGTGCATATTTTGTTAAAATGGCGAATTAACCTAATTGTTTTTACAACAACATATTATAAAAGCGAGATTCTTTCTTTTAAAGCATCAAATGCACTGACCGTATTTTGGCCTAGTTTATAAAGAAACAGTTGTTATAAAATACAAACAGCAGGGCTACTCTGTGAAACCGATAACGACCTTTAATAACTAAATAATGTGCTGGAGTTGGCTCTTCAATAGTGCCAATACCGATAATTTATAATATTGTGTAATAAAGAAAACCCAATCAATGTAGTGCATTTAATATTCCTAGCGTGGCTGGGCGTACTACATGCTGATATTGGAAACTGGAAAATGAGTAATATCACACTCAATATTGAAAACGGCATCAGATAGCGCTTTTGAAATTACGGGGTAACTTTGCAGATTGTTAACAGGTTCGTGCATATCGGCGTAAGTCTAAATCAAAATGTAATGACATTTTAATTTTATGAATAAAATTTATTATAATCATTAAATGACGAAACGCTTGATTAAACAAATTAAATCAAAAGCCTATTTGCCTTTAGATTAGCATGAATAAAGCGCGGTAAAAATATATTTTTAAAAATTTCGAAAATTCCATTCTTTCGAATGAATATCATGCTGTACAGTCGTGACGAAAATATTATTTTAGTATATACATTTTTTTATGTTCAATATTTAATTTTGTATAATTATTTTTTATGATCGATGGAAGTTTATAAAAAATATTTTATATTTTTTAAATATTTTCGCCGCAACATCGTTTTGTTACCGCGTTGGCACTTGTTTTCATACTCACTAAGGTTTCTTTGCCCTGGAAAATTTAAACACGAAAGCAATACGTAAAACAAGATAATTAATCACAAATGAAATGTTACAAATACATAGTTATCTGGAATATTTGATATTGAACAGACAGTTTTACAGGAAAATCATAACAACCAAAATATAGGGGACATTCAAGTATTACGTAATCAAATTTACTGCAATTTATCTCCCCCACCCACCTCCTCTTGTTAGCAAAAGTAAGCAAATCTCTCAAAAATTATAGTAAATAACGTAATACTTTTTTGTAGGAATCCTCGAAAATGCATTTCATTTTCAAGCTTACAATGTGTTTGTAAAAAACTAAATAATTACTGTTGACGTACACCATATAAGAAAATCAAAGACCCCCTCCCCCCTATAGTGTTTACGTAATACTTGAACGACCCCATAGTTGTTGATAAGCTAGAGTTGAGTTGGAAAGTTTTTTTGGAAAGAGTTCTTTAAGAGCTTAGAGTGGACTTTGAAAACAATATGTTAATTTACAAATATAGTTTATTAAACGAAATTCTTTCATGATTGTACTTACGGTCTCTGATCCAGCAGCCGTGACTAATTCCTGGAGAGCTCGTACTGACAAGGCCTGAAAAAAGGGTTACATAATTAAATTCCATAACAAAGTAGCTTAAAAATTTACCCACACCGCATGGCAACGTTTTTGTGACGAAACGGAAAGTCATAATTACGATTTGACTTAATGCTGTCAATTCTATACCCGCAAAATAAAATAAATTATGTTTATTATGTAACATAAGATACACTTTTTCCACATCCATACAATTAAAACAAATATAAAATATTTCCTCCCCGTGGACACACTACCTTTATAGCTAGCAGCATTTCCTCGCTGTATTGTGCGTATTCGTTGAGCGAGGAAAGCCCTAGTTCTGGGGTCACGGGTACTATCTACCAGGCGCAACTTAAATTTTTTATGTAGTTTTACAAATGTATGATTTTTTGTATTTAAGGCGTGTTGTCTCGGGTCCGGTGGTGTATTATAAAACACAAAAAGTACTTACCTGTTCAATAACAAAGACGCACTGTGATAGATCTGGTGGGATATTTTTATCAGCGATGTTCTCCAAGAAGCAGTGCCGGTTTCCAAACCCCTCTGCAGCCAGGCACACCCTTTCTCCTGTGGCCGTGCACGAGAGACAGACCATGTCCTCCTGTTAACACAATCGAAACCACATGGTCATCATCCATAGATAACTTTTTAAAACAATAGAATTAAATTTTACGCGTATAATACAACTTTTTGACAGGGCAAGCCATATGATCATATATTGTGTTGGCAACATTTTACATGAAAATGGTTAAAGTGGGATTTTTACTCAAATATCTTTTTTATCCAAGTATAAGAGCTCTATAAATCGTAAATAAAATTCCTTAAATTATATTTTTACTACACTTAAGTTGTATATTTTAAGTTAATTAATTAAAAAGCTGTTCAGCGACAATACAGCGGTTCAATCTTGTTCAAAACGGAATGTATATATAAGGATTCATTAAGTATCTACGACCAGTGTTGGGCTAGTGGCTTCGTGCGGCTCTCGTCCCTGAGGTCGTAGGTTAGATCCCCGGCTGTGCACCACCTTTCTTTCTATGTGCGCATTTAACATTCGCTCGAACGGTGAAGGAAAAGATCTTGAGGTAACTGGCGTCTCTTAGATCCAATAAGTCGACGGCTTGTATCAGGCGCTACTATCTACTACTTGCTTATTAGATTGACAAATAACCATGAAACAGATACAGAAATCGGAGGCCTAGATTTATTTATCTACAAACGCTTTAATCAAATTTACATCTGAAATATATTCAGTTCTGTTCTACCTTGGAGATATTGGCATTGATGTATCTATGACGACAATATGATTCATAGATTACGTCTTTGTTCATGCTTCCGTTATGCAACGAAATTAGACCCGAGGTTTGAATTAACACAAATTATACTGTCGGCTATTGTTAATTGGTTGTGATGATAAACGGTCAATCGCTATACTCAGATTAGTTCGTTAAAAGTTACAGTTATTTATTTATTTGTTAACACTTCAATGCATTACAATATAAAAATATAACATAATTAAATGAAAAGGAGGGCAACTGGCGGTCCTATCGCTTTCGAGCGATCTCTCTCTCTCTCTCTAAAAATGTATTAAATTTGATAAGGTAGCCAAGAAGTGCAAAAATACATATTACATATTAAGGAGGTCACTTAAGTAATAGATGTAAATAAGCTTACTATAGCATTAATTGATTGAACAGTAATGGTAGTTGATTAGAACATAGTTACTAATAGAATCTTTGCGTTACTTATGCATAATTTATGACTAAGTATACTAATTAATAAAACCTCTCACAATCTGAACCCCTCAGCACTTATATAAAATTTAATATGAAGGTTATCTTCAATCCTGGTTCACATGCAAAATTCAATTTAATCTTCGCAAAGTTTCGACCCAGGTCAAGGCTCACAAGAGCACTCAAGGTTTCTCGGAAACTTGAATTTATGTGTCATTTACGTTATTTAATACACGACTTCGTTCGTGTGAATTTACCGTGCAATCTGGGATAAGTTAAAAGCTTCAACCTAAAGCTTACTCGCTGATAATATTATCCTTAGTCATAAGAAATACATCAGTCGTAACGTAACAGTACTCACCTGTCTCTTTTTTTTACAGTGTAAAATACAGAAAGAAAAGAAAGAGTACTATAGTCAAACAAGAGCGATTTGGACTGATTTAGTTTTTCTGAATAAGGGGTATAACATGCAAGTATTAAAATGAGTTCAGTAGTTTTTAAGTTTATCTTTGTTTGTACAATAAGTACATTCAAACCTATCACCTTGTAGATAAAATAAGAACTGGTTTTTCATAATTACTTTATCTATGGTTGTATTGTTATTTACGAAGACAAGAGATAATAATTTATAATATTGTTTTCTTGCGGTGGGCTCTTTGGTATCTGAACTAATACAAACTTTAAAGTTTAACCTTTGAAAACCAATTTATTAATATCTAGGTACATAAATAAAAATGAATCCCAAAATATTACTAAGCGCAAAACTCGAAGATGACTGGACCAATTTTTATTTATTTATTCGCTGAACTCTCTAAAGAAAGTTTTTATTGAGATAAATTGAAAAAAAATTGAAAAGTTTAGTTCTATATTGGTAGGTACTTAGGTTTCTATTCTGGATAAGGGAACAGTCTATATGGAGTAGCATACAAAAAACGTTCATATGTTGGTATCTAGCTACTAAAAAGGTAGGGTAGTAAAAAAAATATTAAGGCGAAACAAAGTATGTTGGGGCTTATTAGTAGCGAGCTATTTAATAAGAATAATAATATATAAAACGGAATTCTATACTAAAAATAATGTACATAAGCTATCTAAGTTTTAGTTTTTACTTAGGATATACGGATTAATCAAATGCTTCATAATAGACTGTAAAATAGATTATCATGGTTTGCTGCTTGCTTAGGCTTTTACCGGAAGTCACTTACCGTTCGCAGGAATGAAACATCATCTTGCTCGCTTGCTCCTCCTTCCGCTTCCGCCATTTTGTTTTCTTACTTATCACTCAGTTAGTTCTTGAGACCATCGGGAAATGCATAACTGTAAAATAAAAAAAAATAAGTATCCTCAAAGTTAAGTAATTGAATCCGGAAAAATAACAACTTTAACCCGAAATCCTATATGTTTTTGACCCATGGGCGTCATACTTAGCGTCTAAGTCTCGTCTAGGAAACCTACCCTAAGACAAGTGATAAGATACATTAATCAAAATTTAATCCAAAGTCATTATCAATATCAGATTTTAAATTTCATTCAGAAATGGCCAAATTGCAGAAAAAATATTGATATATATATATATTTGATGATAAGGAATTTTAAGTTTAGTATAGTATATTCAAAAATATTATATGTAACACCATGTAGATTTAAAAAAATTAAAGATTCTAAATTCAAATTTACTGTTCCGAAATCAAGAATGGACAGTCTTAAAAGATGCTCGCAAGGAGCTGCAACTATTACACCACAGAGGGTATATTGAAGCTGTGGAACTTGAAATATTTTTAGATCCTAATAACAGTAGGCATAACAAAAGGTTATGAAAATAACACGTTAAAAAGATTGAAAGGGGTTTTAATTTTAAATTGGAAATAGATTGAACATCTTTGAGTAAATTACATATTAATTCATTGTTCATATAATTAATGGACCCATAGAATCTAATTAGATGTTTTAACTAAATGGCGCTTCAGTGAACTAATAAACGTCAAACTTTTCAATAAACGCAAGTCTAGACACCAGACGGTGAATTTGCAAATGGTTCACTAGTTCAAGGGTAAACTGTCTATAATTCAAATTCACCAATATTTCATCGAATTATATTCTATTGAGATTTTTAAAATAAACTCGTACCTACTAAAAATTTGCACTTTGTATTTGCGGATGTTTATATCATATTCTAAATTAAACCTTTTCGCTAAGTAATGAGTTTTGCATGACGCATAATTATGCTCAAGGACAGATATTCAGTCAACTCAGATTATTCAAATTGTTGTGATTTTTTACTTTAATTTCAAACTTATTAACCTGAAACTTTACAAATGTCTTTTGTCATAATTATTGGGACCTTCTTTTATTTATCATAATATCATTAAGACAGACTGTTTGGCTCATTCTGCAATAAAAACGGTATAAAGCCACTTTTTCTACGTAATACTGATGATCTTAGATGGCATTGATCCTGATAAAAAGTCAATTAACATTTGAAATTCTACTAAATACAGATTTAGTTATGTACACAAACTTGATATTATTTATTCAACGCGATGCTTTTGGCTGAACGCCAGATGTTTGGTTAACGTCTATTTTCGATATGAAATAATAATGAACTCGAAAGTATTATGGTGAATAACCTGCTTTATGGTTGTTTTTACCGACCCGAAATAGCTATGGTTTCGTCGGGAATTGAACCATGTACCTACTGACGTTCACGTTGATAATTTTACTTTAATTGACCAAGCTAAATATTCGATTCCGCAGTATTAGTATAATCAATGGGTTATAACGCTTCAAGTAGAGATGAATTACAGCGGCAAGACGAACTGTCGGTTTCGTAATTAGACGGAACGTGAACTCAGAGTAAACACTACAGTTAAAGCGACTATAGTTCAACTAATGAACGTTCAAATTGAGAGACAATATTATTACTTTTGTAGTTTTCAGCCGTATGTTGTAGCTTTATGTTGGTTCACTTATTAAAAATGGATGTGACGATAGATCATCAATTGTTTTTAATTGCCTACCGAATTGACTTCGATAACAATATACTTGGAAACAAAAATATTTTACTACCACAAATTCAGATGATATTGTAATATCATCTGAATTTGTAGTAGTAAATATGTATAGCAATAATTGTAATTATTGTTGAGGACCTATTTCGGATAGCAAAAGGCAGAGTCCATATAAACCAGTGTAGTTAAAGCGGTTTTCGTCTAAGGCAGATTGCATATCTTGCTTAAATATTTCTGTTATAAAAATACAAGATTACTACTTACATGCAAAACTTAAATATTTTTCCATCCGATGTTTGATGTTATTAACGTATATATTTATTGAATTTATTAATTTTACAGAATAATAACAACAAAATGTTATATTAGAAAACTGCTGTGGTTTATATAATAATTGTAACCATAGCAGTCTTGTTTAGTTACGCGACAAATACATATTATATAAAAGTAGTTTTTCAATTATAATAATATATCATAATATCAAGAGCTAAATACACACATAGTGCTAAAAGATTTTATGTAACGCTGTTGCACAAAAATTAGATATTTAAAACATGTATTAGTATAATATACTAATACATCTTTTATGGGACATAACTCTCAATCTTAGTCGATGTACAGTGTACACAAAAAATTGACATATTAATTGGGTGGTAACCAAAAACCTGTAACATCATGGTTCACATGTTCATGTTTATAGTGACTACGACTAGGTTACATGGTTAATTGAATTGAATGAATTTATTTGCAGTTACTATTTATGCACCTTTAAGCACCGGTTTTAACATGTATCGATATAACAATGGGTTGATACAGATAGCACTTTTACGATGAAAATTACGTTTTGAAGTATGCTTTGTTTAATTGTACGTACAATGTAAGTTATCTATAATTATAACTTATATTTTAATATACTATATGTTTCGTAAAGTATTAATCTGATGCTCAAGGTGCAATCAACGCAAAAGAAGAAGACAATTTAGTTGATGGATAGACCAGATTAAGGAAACAGAAGACAGAAATGGCGGGATTTCTAGAAGGCCTTTGACAAAAAATGGCACACAGATACCTAGGAATTAATGGGGGGCATATAATTATGTGTTTAAATGTAATGTATCTGAAATAAAAAGCTTTTATTATTATTATACCTATGTTTCGTATACAAAAGTTGAGACCGACACAGATGGATTGAATGTGTTAAGGAATATGAGGGATGTGATGTTCACGGATCGTAAAATGGAATATAGTAGAGATTTCACAATAAAGCGTAAATCAGTATTATCACTTATAGTAACATGATTTATAGTGTTTTATTATTAAAGACTGGGACTGACACCGGTATTTTTACTCGTACTTATAAGGGTCTCCAAATCTAACAACAATTAACGTCTTTTTTGTATTTTGAGGTCATTAAAATAACTTATTTAATATTGCACTTTATTATAAATGTGTAATGATGGAACTGAATAATAACAAAAATACCAATTTCATAACTTTGTGACGATGTTTGCGAGTTAGCGATAAAACTTTTGTCAAAATGTTGAAAGTAGGTGAATAGCCTCATTGATAGTAAAAATATAGGGAACACTTCCGATTCCTATAGTCGCGTTTTATGCTAGAATTAGGTAAATGACCTTTCATTTATGTAACGAAAAGGATATTTTGTACCTTTTCCTTAAATACTTAATTTTAAATACCTCGTAAATAACCCTCTTGGTAACCCCAAATACCTTTTTTTTTTTTTTTTTTTTTTTTTTTTTTTTTTTTTTTTTTTTTATTGAATGTACCATCCATTTGATAGCCAATGCTCATCACCGATTTTGTTACAGCCGGGAATGAACCCCGGAACCCAGGGTTGCCGAGCCGGGGTTAAAACCCCCAACCCAACGACCCCGCATATTGAATGTCCAAAATTTAGGTTCTAATACATATTAATCTAAATAAATCTTAAACCCTATAATCATAACGCAAGCCCTTAATAAAATAATGAGAGAACTACATCGAACTTGCATAAGAAAACGTCGGGTAGGTATTAGAAGATACTGAGTACGGGCGTATATGTTTGTATGGTGTACCGCGCGACCGCAAAGCTTCAAAATATAATGCAATTGGCTACAAAAAATTCAAGCTTTCGATATTAAAAGTACTGACTACCGGTGCGGCACAGTAAAACTGTCAAACCGTTGCGATTGCTCGTAGAGAACCGTAGCATATACGGAGTGACGCATTGCAAAAAAGGTGCTACGCTGCTACACATTTCGTAGCGCTTGTATGTTAAAACCTTTTGATAATATAATTTATTTACAATTGTTAGTAACCAATATGCGTTATTGATGTAATTATTAATTATTAAAGAGCATCAAATAGCTACTTAATGTTTTGTCTTAATCGCTCATAGGAAATGAATTTTTTTCAAATAATCTCACACCGTATGAATACGGTCATTAGAAATAAAATATTTAAAAAACTTAGTTTTTATTCACTTTAAAAGACTATTCCTTGAATAAATGTGTCACAGTTAAAGCCTTATGTAGATGAAGTGACCATTGAATATTCAAACAAAAGCTTTGCTCGTTGCTCTACTAACAATGGGTTGTCTCTCTCCCTAAAATATGGCGAGGGGGCCGATGGCTGGCCATGCGTCATACTCGTGAACGGGTGCTACTTGTGGTGACTGGTCGTACTTGAATTCGTGTATGCGGTGATGTTAATTATTTCGACTATGTGTTTGCGTGTTGTTCCCACGAGAATGTAAGTGCGTGCTCCTATTTCACCATGCCTCCTGCTGATAGAGGACAAGTCTTTGTTTTTAATTTATGTTATTATTATTAATTACTTAAGATGTCATGTGAACATGGTGTAATGGTTGCAGCTCCTTACAAACGTTGTGTAAAAAAAACATGGCGATTAAAAAGAGTGGCGGAGAGTTTATTACCAGTTCTTCTCTTCCGTTCTACGCCCTTGATTTGAGAACTGGCAGTAAACGTAAAATTAGAAGCATTAATATGTATTTCTTTAATGACGAATCACAAGTGTACATTGTGTTACCTACGTGAATAAATGATTTTTTTTTTCTTTAGATTTTACTTTATTTTCTTTTAGTTATAGTTACATGTTATTTTGAATATTTGTTTTGTTAATTATTTATGCACTTCTTGTACTTTACTCTCAAAAAAAAAAAATGTTTGGTATTTCCGAAAATTTTCATTGCATGTATTCGTGAACCTTGGAATTACTTTTTTATTTATAGAGTA